GTAAGTTCAAAAAAGTCATACCAAGGTTGACCGGTATACATTTTAGTGAAACATACATTTTAATGAAACTGATTTTGGCTAGAAACTGTGTTTTCTAGATTTCAAGACTCTTGGGGAAAATAATGTGATTGTTCTGATCATTATATAAATTTATAAATTTACTTTTAAATTATAAATTTACTTTTAAAATTCAGATACATTTTTTAAACATAATTCCAAGTGTTGGCCTCATGGCTTCTTAGGGTCAGTTTCTGTATACTTGTTGTACATCTCTGGATTTACTGAGCTGTGATTCTTTTCCCTCTATTACTGTCCTTTTCTGTTTCCTTTTCCTTTCATTCTCCCAGCAGTCCTGTGCATCCTTTTTCCTCCATCTTGCCCACACTCTTCTCTTTACCACACACTTCTCCTACAGTCTCCCTGCGTTAATCTGCACATAAGTTTTCTTTTTTGGACACTCCTTATTGCAGAGATTGTGGTCTCATCCTCTCTTACCTGTCCTGCCCCTGCCTTCTCTGCCTTTGTGCCCATTTGCTATCCTCTGCTGTGCACCATTTCCCAAAAACAAGGACGCTCAGTGTGATACAGTCTGTTGCCAACCACTCCATACTCAGATTCATGCTGCTCTCAATCCCATCTTGCTGTATTTCTTAACAGGTTTACTTTCACTGAACCTTGAAGATAACAGCATTGTGTTGTTGAAAGGGGTGTATCCCAACAAAAACACAAGGTCAGAGTCTAGCCATCCTGAGCAATATGGTCTCAGAAAAACTGTAATAGTTTGTTATAAGCAAAATATTTACATTGCGGTGGTGATAAAAGTGCAAGTGTCTGCACACCTTGTGTAACCAGAAAGGTAACTTCGGATGAGTTTCTTTTCTGGATGTCAGTTAGTGGATGAAAGTAGGTTTTGTCATAATGGACATATGGATTCCTTGCCAGCCATTTCCAAAAGGATCCTTGTCCTCTCAGTAACCTCATTTGTAAAATGGGGGAACAATACCTTCCGCCTTCGATGGTATTGCTCAGTAATTGGGTCTTTGAAGCATGGTCTTTTGGCTTCCATCCCAGTGCACCTGTGCCATGGTGAAAGGGCATTTGATGGGGCTGTTTGTCTCTGTCTCTCAAACTGCTGCTATGCTGGTCAGACACTTTCCCAGGTGGGGAGCCATATGTCGCAATTGCTTATGTTTGATGGCTTTGATTAGGCATTTTTCTTTCAACTAAATGAAAATTGTCAGATTTTAAACAGAAGTATTAAGTGTGTCCATTTGTGGGTAAAAAGCAAAGTCTGTAGAAGCTGTGAAGAAAGCAAGCAGTAAAAGTTGAGTAAAATGGGTACAAAATCTGAGCCCCAGCAGTATATCTGAGAAGTGTAACTTCTGATAATAGCATGGATTTACATGCCCATAAGGAGTACAATGGACTTCTATAGATTAACAAGTTACTACCCTTCTTCTTTTTCAGAAGGTAGAAACAAACTGTTTGTTAGCCTTCTTTATTCTGCAAGCTATGAGTTGCTTTATATACAAATTACAGTGTGACATTTATTTTCATTTATGTTCTTTCCTGTGTGGATGTTTTTACACAAAGACATTTAGGACATGTTCTCTTGTTAATCTGGGGGTATCAAAGTATGAAAACTATTAGTACACGGATGCTATTCACCTCGCTAAATTTATAGCAAAAAAATGTAAAATTAGCATTTTCTTCCAGTCTTGGGTCACATTTTAAACTCATTAATGTTGTATTGTTCTCAGGATGGGGCTGGGGAGAAGTAAGTACAGGTTCCTGAAGCATTACTTCCCACAGGAGAGAAAAGTTTACATGAAAGCTGTTTGCAGTATGGATAGCAAAAAGATTTATGCAACTCATACTTAATTGATAGTATCTATAGGTACATTGTATAGAAAAGTATTTACTGCTTGCTGGGTTTTTTTTCCATTAACAGAAGTAAAAAAATCAATGGTCAACTGTGCTAGGAGTGGGTGCTTACTACTTTAGAAAGAACATTGCATTATTTTGACTTCTAAAATTCAGCAGAGCAAGGCCTATAATGCTTGCTTGCTGACAGGTGAACGAGGATTATTAACGACCAGGACTGTATTGTCATAGAATTTTCATGTGCAGTCATTTAACTTAGGGTTGTACTTACCATGTCTAGTTGATACAAGTAATGTAATTGTATTATACACATACACCTTTATACACAGTTTTTATTTGCATCCAGAAAGAAAATGTCATTAGGGGAAATAATTTCAGATCAGCTACTTCTGTGTGTCTTCCTGGTATGTAAGTGGCATTTGACTAATGTGAATAATCTGATAAGGAACACAGCAGCATCTAAATTTGAATTAAAAATCCACCCCCTAGAATGAGTAGTAAAGCTTAAATGAGGGAAACCAAACTGCTGTTTTGTCTTGTATGTAGTACAGTAAACTTCTTTTTCATTTCAGTGATTTCTTTGGAATTTAAAAGTTGTTTGGTTTCTTAGATTAAAAACTGTCAAGAACAGTGTCTTAACTATGTCTTTCCCTAGTCCTTGATAAATTGGATTTTGTGTTGCATTAAGTGCAGTTCATTTCAGAAGACTTAATGAGGACCTTCACAGTAAAGTCAAATTGTGAATGAATGGGCTCCTGACCGAATACTTACTGCCCAACTGGTAGGTGAAGGCTTTTTAATCTCATAATTTGGTTAAAGAGGAAAAAGATCTTGGATTTGAGTGTAGCTTACTAGTAGGGTCCTGTTTGGACACCGGAATTGTAAAATCCGCATGAAAGAAGCAGTTTCAGTGATTCAGCTTGGGGCCACAACAGTTGCTACTTATCCATTACTGTTGGCTGTGCCTGCACGTGGTTAATGCTAATACTCAAGTCTCACTCCAAGAAAGTGTAAATTCATAACCTGACTAACAAAAAGCACTGGACCAAAAAAGCTGCCCAGTTTAAAACAGTAAAGAAAGAGATATTACAAATATCCCAAACATCGCATGTGTAGGAACTCTGGAACCTCAGGCTCTGGCACATGTTTGTTCCACATGTCTGTCACATTGGAAAGTGGTTATTATGACATGTCAGCAGGACATGTCATTTAAGTGTTGATTTTTGTGGAATAACATTTGAAAGTGAACAGGCTTGCCATTTGCTGAAGTATGTTTGAATGACAGCTGTTCTGTTTCCCTAGATTTCAACAAGAAAACTAGCTTGAAGTTTTCAGGAGCTAAATCTGTCACTTCTTGATACAAAGGAAATTGGAAGGGCTGGAGCACTGACAGCAGTGGGGATAGAAGCACAGTTGCAGAATAAAAATCAGAAGTAAGTACAGATTTACTTTGCTCTTTAATTTACATTCTTGCGGTGTTTGAGAGCCCAAAGCAGAATAGGGGTACTATAAGGCCACTACTAGTAAAAATATTTTCACAAGGCTTTTGGGGGTATATAATCTACCTTCCTCACTACATCACTGAAGGCTACAGTTAGCACAGAACTGAGAACTGAAGGCAAAGATAGCATAGCTGTGGCTGTGCATCCTCAACAGCGGGACCAAGCTGGAATCTATCCTGCATATTGCACTTGGCATTGGTTTATGACGCTTATATGTGCGATGGTAATCCTCACCATTCTCAAAACTCTCAGTATCTAGTGCATGGTTATAAATTAATGCTTTGGGTATCACATCTTTGTTTCTACAACTGCTTCTAATGAAGTTCTCTGTGTGCAGATTTTATTTAAATTCTACTTTTCTTTTGATCTTGCTGTTAGTATTTGAAGTTGACTGATATTTATCACTGTGTTCTCACTACCTGCCTAGTTTCCCTGGTGCATACCCCATGGCCTTCTTGCTTAATGCCGAACTGGCAAAGATGCTGGCAAACTTTATCATAGACAAGCTGATGAAGTCAGACTAATGACTTAGGCTGGGTTCTGAACTTAGAGCTTTTGCCATTTTGGTTGAGGTATTTTTCTGTTTTGATTCTCTTTGGGAGGGGTAAGGAGTGTTACACCCAACAAAAACTCTCAGTATTCAAGCAGCTACTAAGCTAGCAAAGCTAGTCTGGCAAACTTTAGCTTAATATTTGGTAAGCATTCAGTGATACATGATGGAGGCCTTGAGCAAGTCAAATGAGTATTTTAATTCATAGGTTTTAGTGTGTTTCTCCTACTGTTAGGTTACTCTTTTTAAAAGTGGCTGTATTTTACTGTCAGTATCATTTTAAATGAAATAGTGCTCATTTCAGGATAAATGAAAGGGAAGTGTTACCGTAAATCAAATCTGTGATAAGTGTTCTTCTGTTGGTACAGATGGCATCTGTGTATTTTTATCACTACAAATCACTCACAGTTCAAGTCATACTTAGTCCAATATCTTGCTTTATGTTTATTAAAATAATCACAGGTTTAGATACGATATTAATCACTCAGTTCTTTGGAAACATTTGGATTGGTAGATGAAAACACATATTTATTTTGAGAAAGCAAATGATACAATTTTCCACATATTTGTAAAGCTGGAAATAATAAACTTTATTGCAAAGCAGTGAATTAGTAAGCTGGAATCTGATTTGTTAGCCTTATTTTTCTCATACATGATTTATCAGTCATACATTGCAAGTGCATGACTGATAAATCGAGACTTTGAATAGTACCGGTAGATGCACTGGGGGCAGTTACCTACATTTAAATATATACTACATTTATGGTTGGGTTTTGGTTTTTGTTTTTCAGAAGTCTCAGTCTGTTGGTAAGATTCCCCAGGAAGTCTTGCATTTGTTTTTTATACTGCGATAAGTCTTGCATTTGTTTTTTGTACTGTGATGATTACATTCCAGCTCTGAACTGGTGTCCTGGGTTCAGCAGTAGCAGTCATTTTTTGTGCTCCTTAGGAGCTGGTGCAGCAGTGTTTTTGACTTTCGGCCTGGGAACAGCGCTGATAACACCGATGTTTTTAGTTACTGCTGGCTGGGTTTAAACCATGACAACTGGTAATTCCACAGCTGTGCTAGCTTCGAGGGGAGGACAGCAAGTTTTTAAAGGTTAGGTTTTCAGATAGAAGACAACTAGTTGGATCTAATAGATTTGGATCAAACTACCTTTTAATTTCACTTCTGGGGATTGCTGGTGACTTTGTTAGCATAGCCAAAACAGTTTACAGACTCTTTTGCATTATACAGGTTACCTGTGCTCCAGAGATGCCCGCTCTCAGATTAAGAGTGCCCTGTTTATTCTTCCAGCCCCTGAGCCAAACCCATAACCACGGAACGGGCAAACAGAGCCGTAAGCGCCTACGTGCCCCTGCTCTTTGCTGTATCTGGTGAGTTTTTCTAACTTATACTATAATGTCTACATAAAAATGGATTGTGAATCCATTTAATAATATTGGCAGTGTTCCACATAGCAGTAGACATGAACTGTGGGCTGTGTTCTACTTCATCTTTACAAAATGATAAAGAGGGCGCAAATTAGCTCCAAGCTTTCCAAACTATGAGCCTGAAGGAGAACAAAAAGGATAACTTCTTCATTCTCTCAAATGAAAACCAGTTGCCCCCTGCTTTCCTCAGGATATGTGAGGGAAGCAGGCCTGCATGTACAAAAGATGTGAAGTGATGCCAACTGATTATATAACCTATGTGACCTGATCAAGATAGACAACTTCTGACTTAGTTACTGGTGTTTTCATAATTAAGGCAGTTTTCCTGTTCTGAACCTCAGCATTTACCCAGTTGAATTAACTTTTAAGGAATGGTATTCAAACTATGAAATATTTAAATTCAACTAAGATGTAGCCAGGTTAATTTTGCACCAGTAACATTTATTGAAAACTGAGAGAAAACGTGTTTCTGTAGGCAGACACACCCGACCTAACCAGTTTCAAATTTGTACACACTTGCATTAGCAAATTGTAGCTTGCTTTGCTCAACTGAAGTATGAGTCACAAAGATATCAAAGAAAATAACATCCAAAATTCCACTTTAAGGGTAACACATAATTATACAATTGGTTGACTCAAATGAGCAGTTGTCTTCATAAGCAGAATTATCTTGAATGACCTTCTATCTAAATGTCTTTACACAAAGGGCCAACACTTGCTAACCCTGTTTGTGTGAACCCTCAGAGCATGTCAGCAGAACTGTTCAAAGGGCAGGGTTACAGTCAGGATAGCTTCAGCAGTGCTGAGATACTTGTGTGTAAGAACATGGGAGGTGGGCTTTTGTATTTCTTTCTTTGTTCCTGTAGTACATATAACAAATGTATTTTACTGTTAAATAGTCTGGATGTACCAGGAGAGAATGACATTTGTATTCATGGCATAAAATACAGCTTGAAAGAGTTCCCTTTCTTCACTTGATTGGAAAAATTCATTTGCCCCCCACAGTGGAGAACAGGCAAATTTTTCACTTAGGTTTTTTGGTTGGAAGTAATTCCATTAACTTCAGGGCAGTTGCTCAGTATTTACTGTCATGCAACTGAGTTCAGAATGTGCACCCTCAGACAGGAAAACACTCAGAAAACAACTGTGAGAAGATCACACTGCAGAAGATTGTAACGAAGAAAAAGGAATATTCCAGAAAATAATTTGCCTAATCTATTTTATAAATTCCTATTTAAACATGCATACATTTATATTCACGTATTTACACATCATAGGAAAGGGGACATCAAAAGTCACCCAGTTCAGCCACTGTGATGAGCTGGGATCAGCTTTGCCAAGAGCATGTTACGTGAGAAGCGATAGTTTACTATTAGGACTTGCTGAAATGGAATTCTGCTCTTTGTAATGAAGTGCAGGCAGAAGATATAAATATTTTACCTTGAGTAACCTAAAATTCATGACAGAACTTGAGAGTAAAAAGGATGATCCCATATACACACATTTTCCTATCGGCTAAGAATCTTCACTGTCTTACCATTATAATGATGGATCTATCATGCTTTACCAACTGCCATACTCAAATAGGGGGAGGGGGTGTTTGGTAGAAATGGCTTATAATACCTTACATATTGAGGTGTTACTAATGTTTGGAATAAACCTAAATGTATTAAATATACAGTAATATCCATGTTTGTAAACAGAAATAAATGTCATTAGGAGATAATTTGATATGTATGTAATTAAGTAACATTCTCTACTGGAATTATATGCATAGTACTTCCCATATTGGTTCAAATTTCATTAATACTAAAATGCAAAAAGAGCACCATGCAGTTGTATGAAACTGTAATTCTTAAAAATTATTTACAAGATGGAGTTATTTTCCTGACTAAAAACATCATTTGGCTTTGTGTGTTATAGCAACTTGCATTCAATCTGGAAGGAAGAGCTGGAGCTATAAGAGCAAAATATTAAGGTACTATTGTGCAATTCTTCTGGAATTTCGCTGTGTAGCAATAAATGTCAAACATGTCTTGTAATTCCCTTATGATAGTGGTTACCTCGGTAAGGTACTGTTTCAGTGTATTTCTTTACTTTCTCCTTTTTCCACTTTATCAGTCAGCACAAGATACCAGCTTGCACTAACTTACTGTATACTCTTTAATGATGTCATGATGTAATAATATTGTATGTCCCAGAAAACACAATGGGAACTCCATATTAAAATACTGTATAGTTATTTCTTGCACTTGATTATAAGTGTGGAGCAAGTCTAAATCAAAAAATCATATTTAATTCACACACACAAAATATTACTAGAGTAACAAACCAGAAATTTCCAGATACAAGAGAGCAGAAGTTGTTTGCCTCACATCTGCAGGAATGCACTCAGTGAATTGGTAAGGCAGATGGTGCAATTTTTCTACCAAATCCTGTAAAATTGCTAATGCAAGGTTTCTCCCATCTGTAACTCATTGTAGTGAGACCAGCTGTTCTTGTGTTTTCGACCACATCCATTTCATAATTGCAAAATTCGTCTCTTGGGTTTGGATTTGATCCAAATTCAAATTTATAAAACAAAAATAAAATGGCAAACTGCAACACCAGATCTACCCTGCTTGTCACTCCGCTTTGAATGCAGTGCCTCCTACGCTTCATATTATGGCTTGACTCATTTGTGAATGTGGATGCACATACAAAAATACAATCAGAACTACTTTTTAACTGTGGTGTTATGGTGTGTATATATAGCAACAGGTTATACAATAACATTAGTTAATTAGATATTATTAAAGCAAGGTTTTATAAATCTCAGACATCATGTAAGAAAGACATTTAATATAGGGAATAAAATGTATTTGTAAGTATTACAGTGATTTAAAAATACTTAAAGCCTATAATAATCTGTTGTTTGCTAGGATTATAACTGGATTTTACTACTCATATTTGTGTGCATAGGCTCAACTCCTTGAATACCATGACTCACTCCACTGGTAGGTGAGTACCATCTTTCTTTCTACATCTTGTTTGTGGTTTCTTGGCAAGTATTTTCAAATGCAGATGCCTGGCATTAATTAAGGGGCCTAGTCTTTGGATGTAGTGGCTTGAAGTTCATGTTGCATTAGGGAGTATTCAGTAGTTTTGAATGTCATATTACTGGCTTGGCATATTAAATAATTGCCATCTTTTCTACTAAACCATAAGAATGTAATCTGTGGTCATTTAATTTGACATTAGCTACTGAAGAGAGGGAATAGAGCAGACTGAATAGATAATCCAGGGACTGGTTTATGTTTCTGATAATGCAACTTGTTCTGCAGTGGCAATGGACAGGTTACAGCATGCCTATAATTATATATCATATAAACACATTACAGCAGTAGTTTCTATAGGCACAGTTCCAGGAACAACCTGAGGTTGTTCTAAATAACAAATATAACACCACTGCAAAGTGTGGGAAACAGTGCATAACATCAGTAAAAACGCTCATGCTGGTAGGACTATCATTGGGCTGTTGTGCACATAAATAATACAAGAAAAAAATAATTAATTGCAGATTGTTAGGAAGCAGTTGGAAGTAATTGTTTTGCCAAATTAGTAGTCTTGAAGATAACACCACATTCACTAGAAAATTTGTTACTGGCTCAATTTAGCAAGAATATATGAAAGGGAGGTTAACTGAGTGCCTGTTCTCTAAAATAATTGAAAAAGGCCTTTTTTTGAGAAAGCATCTTTTTCCTCCTAATCGTTATATCTTGTCTAATTGCCAGCTGCTGAGCTAGTTGATGTTTCAAGTATATAAAAGGGAGTGATGGACATGTATGCAGAATATGTAGAAGCATTTTTGGTTGATTACATGGACCAAGCTGGGAGATACGTGCAGCTCTTTGTGACGAGTGAGTTTTTCCTATGGCAAGGTGGCTCCTGGAGTTCATACATTAGCTTATATTATAGCTCTACATTCAAAGATAAAATACACATAATGGTTTCTTCTAACAGTTCTTCTCTACTGCTGCTTAAATCTTTATGAAATATGGTTGGAACATAACAGGTACTTTTCTTTTCCAAGAACTTTTCATAATGGTCTAAGAAGGATTTCCTAACCACTAATAAGGATATCACTGGTGGTTTTTGCCCTTGTTGGAAGTGGCTCACTAAAAACCAAACATACAAAACCTCAAAACAAAAAAAATATGCTTTAAATAACTGCCTATTACATATGCTGCAAGGGATTGAAAATGCACAAGTTAAAAATGTATCATCCTGTCATCTTACTCATAACAGGAACAGCATATCCACAGCATGTGGATAGGGTTTCAGTGTGGCTCAGGTGGACTGTGCTGACCCTTTTCTATGAGCCACACATAGGTTCCAGCATGTTGTCAGTGCTGACTGCCCAGAAAGCCACTGAAAATAGATATAAAGCCTGCAGTAGGAAATACTGAGATCCATCAACTTACCCTTTCTTTTCCACTCCAAATTCTTTTAAAACCTGCACTTTTTTTTTTTTTTTTTTTTTTGCTTTCTAGCACATGAATTATGCCAAAACTGATCAAATGCATTAATTTTCATTCCTGACATCTTTTTGTTGGTTTAGTGTTTTACTCCAAAACTCTGGAGGATAGGATATAAAACACCCATTTATTGAAGGACAGTTTATTTTAGAACTAGCATACAGCAGAAGAAAGGAATGTATATATCTAATCCAGTTCCTCAGGTAAGAAAGGAAAATGGTGTAAAAATCAGACAATAAAAGCTAGGATTCTTATTCTCAGTCTGCAGCTAAAACATTATGTTTTGTGATGAGTCACTTAACATCCTTTTCCTTAGTCTGCCACCTGTAATATGGTACAAAACAACAGTTTTCCATGAATGTGTACTGACTAAAAAGGGAAAATTATTTCACATCTTTATGAGGATACACAGATGCAATGCAATGCAATGCAATGGCACAGTATGGTCATTGTTTTGTATAATGAATAGAAACTATGGGTTTCTTTGTACAGTTTCTCTTTAAAGAAAGCGATTTATCTTTAAAGAAAGGAATATATCTCAGAGAAAATATTTTGGACAGTACTTATGGATTAGAAGAGCTTGTCTATAGCAGCTTTTAGAAACATCGGGCATGTGATCTTGGCTTGCTCTCAGAATAACTTTGATGCTTATCATTCTTATTACTATTATTATTTTTGTATAGATGATTAAATGTCATAACACTTGGAAATTAATGTCCTATTTAATTACAATAGAAGGACAGCTGTTAGGTGTAGTGATGACTGTTCTTTATTTCACCGTCTTTGAAGCTTAACTCCACCCTACAAAGCTCCTTCTTCCTGATTTATACCCATAATTTCCTCTGTAAAATGCTTGCACAAGATCAATGGGTATTGCCGTCCATTCAAAACACCACCAAGGTTACAAATCAAAACTGTTTGAGTCACAGTAAAATTGCCTCGTCACTTATCTTCCCCCAGTGCTTTGGGGTAAGGTAATTCTGGAGTACTTACAATTCTGCTCTAGTCTACAATGAAAGTTACATAGCACGGTCCAGTCTATTGTTCTAGTGTTATCAGACTATAAACATCTGAATCTTTATGAATATTTTACTAAAATCAGACGTGATATTACTTCAGTTTGTGAATTTTCAACATAATTATCTTTCAGGTAATTTCTGTCAGGTCAGTTATTTTTCCTTTGCGTTGTATTTTGCCCAGTCATTGGCCCAATTAATAGTGACAAAGCTTCTTCAAATGCAAGATTTGTTTTCACATTTTGATTGTATTATAAGAATCCCAGAACCACGTAACTTCTATAAATACAAAACTGATCTCAGTAAAAGAAGTAAGGACTATCATAATTACAGTGATGCTCTAGCTTTGAGTTACTGTGTAAGACTCTCTTAGCACATACAACTTTTGGAGGTAATGAACTCTGCATTCTGCAAAAAAGTTCTAAATTCTTGTGAAAGTAATTATGGCATCATGCTGACCTTTATTTTGCATATAAAGGTTTTGAATCTCAAATCTGAAATGAAATGCCATCCTTTTTCCCATTTTGAAGACAGCAAGTTGGAATAAAGCACTCTAATGCTGTGATGGGGCTCTTGCTGTGTTTTTATAAGATGGTAGTTCCTGGTTTAACAGTCCTTTGTAGGTCACTCCCAGCAGAAAGGTAACATCGCATGGAACCACACAATCTGTCCCAGTACAATCAGCTCTCAAACATCCTGTCTGGCCTAAGGCAGTTTGTAGCTTCTTGGGCAAAGCCAAACAGCTTCCAGGCTAAGTGTAGGGATTTCGGGATTCTTCTGAGCAGTTTTGCAACCCCTGACTAATTCTAAACAAGTGTGTTTGGTTTGTCTACCAAAGTAGTTGTTTCTGCTTTTGGTACTCTTTCAGGTATTACTAGAGAGAGTCTGTTCTGGTTTGGTTTAATTTTATTAAAGTGGATATTTCTTAGATATTATTAACTTTGTTATCTTAAGTTCTTTAACCTGTGAAAGGAAGTTGAGTTTTTCTCCCTGTTCACCACAAACAGTTCTAGAAATAACAATTTCAATTGTCAGCAAGGGAAATTCCAGCTAAATTTGAGGAAAATAACCTGATGACAGCAGTTAAGCATTGGAATGTATTGTCTGCGAAGGTTTTGCTGCTGCTAGAAAGGGACCGAAAAACATTAAGAAGCATTTAGGCACAGCTTTGTATGGAATGACCTCTCAAGGTCCTTTCTCCTCCTACTGTTGATGAAACATGGAAAGAAATAAAGTGTGCCTTATTCCTTTTCAGCCTCACAGAGGCTTAGATTTCTTTCCTTGTCAAGGCAGAAGTTATGACCCTGACATGCTTGTATTCTGTTGGTGTATTGGTTTATTGTCTGTTCAGTTTGTGTGGCTTTTAGAAGCAGGTTTTGCGATTGTATGCGACAAAGATAATCAAGGTACTTTGTAGTTCTCTTTCACTTTTCTTTTTAGACTGACAAAGCATCTTTACAATATGAATTAAATTACAACGGTCATTCTTACAGGCTTAAACTGTCATATCCATGAAAAATACACCAACATATGTAAGTCCTCACACAAATGTAACTGGAACAGAGACAAGTCTTGCATCCTTAAAGTTTTGTCACTCAAGACTCTGATTAGTTGGGGAAAAACACCCCAAACTCTTAACTCTAAGAAGCGATATTGCATTTTCCCTTAAAGTTTATATTATAGGCAAACTCAGGGTTTATCCTTAGAACTTTGAAATTCTTACCTGTGACAGTTTCTCCAGGATGTTTAACTCACTGGGATGAGGGAATGGTAGTTAAGCTCATTTGACAGAGAGAGCTTTCATATGTCCGAAATCCTAGAATGAAATTCTTCGCACATGTTTATGCATTTGTGAAATCAGAGGTCTTTGTGCTGTGTTTACTGAACAGCTTTTGTGAGATATAAATACCAGCACATTCTGGTAACATTTCTAACAAACAGAATGGTCTACTCAATCCCAATATGGTCCTGTGTTAGAGCAGATTGGATACTACGCTTCAACGATGGGAAATGCATTTAAATTTTATCCAATGGCCTGTACTGTTTATAAATTTAGATACATTGTGGGTGTATAGAAGCTGATTGTATAGCTTTATTCATTACATGCTTTATATCAAGTTTTGGCTTCTATTCTGTTTAATGATTGCACATTAGCATTCTTCTAGATCTTTGCCACATGAAACTTCCTGCAGAACTAGTTTGAACTAATAACACCTGCTGAAAGAATATTCTTTCTTCTGTCCCTGTCATTAGGAAAACTCACTATTGATAGCTGATGATTTTCCAGTACTCTTCTCAGTTCATGAAACTACAAACTAGATGCTCACAGACCAGCCATGTTTCTGAAACCACATTCTGCATTCATAGGTGGACAAATAGGGGGCTGATGGATCATTTATGAAAGGCTTCTGATGATTACCTTCTGCTTTGGCCACAGGTAGAAGTTTCTTCCGTGTGCTTCTGACTGGTCAGTTGGGTTATCAGCTGACTTGCAATTAAAACAAGGCAATTATTATGTCAAGAGTTCTGGAAGTGATAGTCTAAATTGCACTGACCACAGAATTAGTAGTTTGTGAATTAGAGGCTTGTGGGGGAGTTATTTTCTCTTCACTCTCGCTGTCTGCAAAGCACATGCTTCTTTCTACTACATTGAGTTTATTTTAGACACGTGCTCTTCAGTGTAAAATGCTTTCATTCTATTTTGTGGATAATCTTCCTTAGAGACGCAGAAGCTGTGCTGCTAGGAAGGGGGGAACATCTTTTCTGGTACAGTTAAAATGGTTGGTTTTGTTGTTGTTATGAGGTGAGAATTTTACCAGTAGCTTTAATGGCTGGTAAGAATAGCTTGTAAATGGACTAAGCCAGGTATGGCATAGACCATGCACACAAACACCTAGTGACTGAAAGTTGCCATCTCTTAGTTACCCTTCAGGTTTCACTTTAGGAAAAAAAATCTGGTACTCTTCTCTTAAAACAGTGAATCTTGGTTTTCAGAGGGTACAGATGAGCATGGAAGAACAATCTCTCTCTTGCAAGGAAGTTAAAATTTCTCAAGTTGATTACCTTCAACAGCCTCTCAAGTAAGGACTGCTCTCATTTACAGGTATTATAAAATATTTAATATTGTCTTTAAGATTTTATGCAAATAGAATAGTCTTAAAACACTCTTAAGTTTTTTAAGCCTCTTTTAATATGGCTGAAAGCCTGAACCTGTTCATGGCTTAAGATTCTCACTTGTTCCCTGATCTAGCAGCAGTAGGAAGTAGGAAAGTGGCCACGTTGACAAATACTCCAAAATACTGGTGTCAGTTCATGTAGGTCACTGACAAAAGTGACTAAATACAAGTGAGAACATTGCTGGTCACTTCAGCTGCCTGAAGTTAGTGCCGTACACATACCTTTGGATCCCTAGTCACTTCTTTCAGTGCTATTCAATATGCCAGTACTGGAAGAACAAGAGCCTAACAACCTGGCTTTTCGTGCAACAGGAGTAGCATCACACTTGGTTAATAAATTGCCTGTGTAACAGATAAATTGAGACTAAAAAGTTCTGTCTTTCTGAATCCTGAAAATGCACTTCAGGAACTGCTGTTTCACACCATACACTCCAGAAGTTGTTACTTTCTGAGAAGTTTGTAGGAAGGGTGTATATTGTGCCATTGTTACAGGAGAAAAGAAAGTGAACGCTAAAGAACATTCATTGAACTCAATTAATGTGGCAGTATTACATATCATGCATAGGCTTGTTTTAATGTGTATGTGTAGGTATGCTTGCTTTTTAGTATGTGTATACCTGACAAGTTATGCAAGTAAAGACTTTTATTGACAAATATAATAGTGCAAAAATAAAAATACTTGTAAGAGAACAAATATGTGTGAACCATATAGCAGAAAGCAGGAGTATTACCTATGTGTGAATAAGTTATTGTAGAAAATAGAATCTGGTAATATTTAAATGCATCTCTGTAAAATACATAAATGTTTGAGGAAAAGGTAAATAATCTGATACAAATATAAAAGCACCAGCTCATGTGGATGGAAAGAACAGCATCAGTTATTGGTATTTTGCATATGTAAACTCATACGTATGTAAATCGCCGGTATTCCAACAGGGAACCTCTTCACAGTGCTACTTGTTGAGGATAGCCAGTATCTAGAGATGATAAGAAACTAATTTGTTAAGCTTCTTTAAATGAGGGAATAGAAGACAGTGAAAGCAAAGACTTTAATCTCTCACTGCTTAATGGACTTTGCTCTTACTCCATAGCCTTATATAGAATACATGTGTATAAAGACCCGCCTTGGAGAAGGGGGCAAAGTATAACATTATTCATAATAAAAGAGTAATCATTGGTATCATGATAAGTTGTTTGAAAACATAATTTACAAACATGAATGTGGCTGTCTAGGGGAAGGTATATGGAAGGTTGCCTTTACAGAATTTGCATGTTCTCTTTGATCTCTGATCCAGGAGGAAATTTACAGAACTTGAGAAAAGAGTAATTCTACTGAGAGGTTAAAACTACAAAATGCAGTCTGAGTCAGAGTTACAGTAGTTACCAACATGGTGAGTTGTATGCTACCCTACCACACACCTACTCGACTCTTCAAATGTTGTTATAAGCAAAGAAGTTTGACAGTCTGATATGGTGTTTCCCATTCTGAAGCTGGTACTCCTCTCAGAGAATTGGAAGTGAGAACGACTCAGGTAGCTGATGGCACAGGATGACCGAGCCCCTGCTTGTTCTCTCAGGAATGCTATGTTCACTTGGCTGATGCACTTTGATGAGGCACCGATCATTAATCATTCCTCTTTCAACTTTCCATTTTCACAGACTCATGCTGTACATAAATAAGAGGGAGAGACTGAAGTAAAAAAGAGTTGCAAGATAAATGTTTGTGCTTCCTAAAGCCCATTTCTAATGCCAGGTAAGTTTTAATGGCTCGGAGCATTTACTGGTTTTAGTAGCAGCATGGAATAGGATTAGCTTTACCTTAGTACAACTCTTGTATTCTATTTCATGTAGAGGATTGATTGACCAGCTGCTATGTTTCCAGTGGGCACGAGTAAAGCAAGTCTGAAAATAAGCAGTTAGTGGAACTGGGTCAAAATAAAAATGCCCTCCTCAAGCAAGCCCAGCAGTTGTGCTTTTAAAATAGCCGTTCTCATTCTGAAATTAAAATTAAAATATACATTTAATTGAAATGTTTTGATTTGGACTTTTCTCAACCTTAAGTATCAATAAAAAGAAGTTATAAAACTAAGCGAACAGCACCCTCCGTCCTTATCAGGAAAAGAATCTCACTTTTTGAAGAACTTGTCAGGTGTCTTGTGGCCCTTCATTGTATTCCAATACACACCACAAATCATACAACACATACAACCAGAAACCCAAATATTCATTGCTTCACTTAAGGCTCCTGTCTAAATTATTTCTTGTGCTAAATCAACAGTCTTTACTGCAAAAAGGTTTTAAACGGTAATGAAAACATTTGTGCTTAAATGGGTTATAAAAGCCATAAAGCCTTCCCATAAATGAAAGCTCTTGTAAACAAAATAAGGAGTCCTATTTAAAAGAACTGTTTCATGTTGTTTACACTGCCAAGTTGCTGATAGTGCATAAAGTTGTTCTCTTAATAATGAGTTGCTTAGAGCAACGCCCATCATCCAAAAATGTGTTACCTTGTAGGCGATCTACATTTTAATCAGCTGATGAAACAGATGTGGGAGGATTGTCATGAGTTGTTTCTGAAATCTGAGAGAAGCAAATACAGACCTATGGGGAGAAAAAAGCACCACTGAGTTGTCTTCTTACTTTCTACCTGACCAGGAGAGATCAATTAGAAATGTAAACTTTCACAAAAGTGGAAGTCCTAATTTAATGACTCAAATCGATTAAGTTGTTAAAATGATGTTCTACACAACGTTCTACTTAAGCAAAACCAAAAGCTTGCTGAATGCATCCATAACCTGGAAACCTCCGTGCTACATAAAGACAAAACAGGATAAACTGTACTCACAGCAACAGTTGAAATGTCAGATTTAAATGACAGGAATACAGCAAAATCTAGGTCACTTCAAGGAAGAGGAACTATGGAAAGAACCCTTAAATTTTATGACAGAAAGATACGTGCTTATAAGTCTTTAAATATATTTATCCAAATAACATGGTATAAAAGAGAAATACTTAGGTCACAATATGGAGACGACGTGTTTCAGTCACCCCTTTTGGATAGTGGAACAGTTGTGGCTACAGAAGCATGAAGCAGGTTAAATTGTCCCTGTTCCAGTTTCTGTGACCAGACTGAGGCAGATATTTCAATCTATGTTCTAATTTATGTGTAGCTATAACATACATTGACCAAAGAACTGGCTATCAATTACACTTGTAACTTTAAATTCCTGTCATCCTTGGCCACAGAAATCTTACAGCAGTTGAATAATGTGGAGATGCTAATGCATGGGAAATTAAGTAGACCTTGAAGCATTTTTTATTTTTGATAGGTTATTAGGTGGAAAAAACAGTCTATAAAATCTATATTAGATTTTGTTTATGGATATTAAGAACTTACCCCCATAGTTTTAGTAGTTTTATGTAGTTTTTAATTATTATTTTTTTTAGACAAATTCTGAACGCTTTTCTGTGCTATTGGCCTAAGGAATTCAGATTTTCTTTAAAGACAGACCAGCTGTTTCTAGGACAGATTTTTAGTTATGTACAAGTGAAAGCCAAGATAAATAAATGCCCACATCCCTGTCTTGCTCTTCCTAAAGATCCAAGGTACCGACATTTATTTTAAAGTATGTCACAATCGCAGCTCCTTTATCTCCTTTAATAAAGAGGATTGTTCCTTAGGCAGTCTGTCCAGGGGAGGGAAATGCAAATTGTTGCTTTGGAACTGAACTCATTTCCTGCTCCTTGGTCATAATGAATGTAATATCTTTCCTTGGCATGAAATTTGAAAGTATCTAGCTCCGCAGATCAGCTGTTCTGTACTATGTTCCACATGGCTGCAGGCCCTTTTCCTTTATCAGTTTTCTTAGAGCATCGCTGAACTATACATTAGAACTGGCAGCATAATATAGATATCACTGATTATCAGAGGACTTCTGCAGTATCGTGAAGAGAGGAAAGTTTAGCGTCATCTTTTGTTATTTATTTTGTACTAAGCCTTATCGTTGGATAAAATTCTGGCTGTAGCATACAGTGTTGTATTCTTAAGTTATTTTTTTGCAGTCAGTATTTGGGAAATGATGACTGGCAATGTTTCATTAAAATGAGGCTTTCACTCTTTAGCATGCTGAATAAGGTCTTTAATGGATAGGAGAAAAGTTGCTCAACGTGTTTGGTGATCAAACAAAAAATCTCGTGCATAGTATTAATCATCTGAAACAAAGTAAATTAACTGTTAAATAACCTCAATAACTCAAACAGGAAAATGGTTAGAGCAAAAGAGTGACTTCTGCTTACACTGCTGATTATTTCACTTCATAGAATGAAATACAATCTGTTGAGCTTTGGAGTTGTTGAAGATACTGACAGCCATCACGAAGTGTCCTTACAAAACAAATTAATTCTATTCTGTTTTGTCACTCTGTGTACTGTTGTTATACTATAATACAAAGACTGTTTTTCCCCTCTGCTGGTATAGCAAAAGTAGGTGTATATGTGCATGTTCCTGGACAATTTTAGATTATAAATTATCTTAGTTATTGATAATTAGATGCAATTCTTAAATGTAATTTTTTTTGTATGTTTGATAAACCAGAGCAGTATGTTCCAAGGATTCCCATTTCTTTTTGAAGGGTATAAACTTCTACTGATTTCACTATTAATTACAAGGAAACTACTAATGGGATAAGAGAGTTTTCCTTCAAAATCAGTCACTTTATAGTCTAATCAATAGTTAATGCCAGTATAGTAAATTATAGTCTTAGAAACATACCCTAAGCTCTGATTAACCCTTTCTGCTTGTTGAATTTTCTTACTATAACTTGTAAAGAGAATTAAAATTCTCAAATCACGTAAGAAACAGTTCCAATCCAATCTTGCTAGCATTGCAAGGTACCTTGCTAGAATACACTTAAAATAAAATATAAAATAATACAGCAGATAAAAAGTCATTGTGGATGAGCATATAGCAATGCTTATATGCGCTATATGAAATGATGGACTCTGAGCAGCCTATTAGTGCTCTAGTGCAAGACTCTGGTCATGACAGAACTCCAGGAAAACATCAGATTAGTGGCAGTCCAAAAAGGTGAATCAAACATTAGAAGCTATTAATAACAGAGAACAAAACAGTAAACATTATTGCACCATTGTATAAGTATGTGATTTTTCCACATCTGGAATAATGTGCAATGATCTATTAGAACTGGAAAAGTGTCATGGAAGGGGTATTAATCAACCACGATATGCAATAACATTTCTATGAAGAAGACTGAATAAGGCTGCTGGTATTTTTTTTCTTCTAGCCTGGAAGAGAGAGGATGTAAGAGAGATAACATTGGACAGAAGAACTAGGGGCTGTTGAACTAAGAGCCAGAATCTAAAGGAGGTTCTTCATGCAGCAGTAGCAGATCTCCTGAAGTTTCAGAGGACTTTGTGTGGACGAGAAGCTTACATGAATTCAAGGAGTGTACTGAGGAAGTCCATGGATGTGAGACTGCAAGTTATTGGTAAGAAAAAAACCATCTTGTCCTTATGAAATACCCACAGTTGAAAATAGTTGGTGAGTGGAAAAGTACTGAGTGAGAAATGTTACACTGGGTTATCCTCTTCAGACATTTCTGGAAAACACTGATGGTTCTTTAGCATCTGCATCTGTCTGAGATCTAGACTGTGTCTTGATCTGAACTGTCATAGGTGCTCTTACGTTTTTAGTTGAAATATAAATAGCAGGTGGTGCTGTCCTAAAGCAAGATCAAGGTATTTCCTAAGAGGTGGGCTTTTTTCTTGGGTTTTGTGGGTTGTTTTTTCCCCTCGTGGGAAATAGGGTATGTTGCGATTGCAGAGGCACAAACCAGAAGGGCAAAGGTTTAGGTAGTACAAATAACAACCTGTCACCTCCTCTCTCAGAACTCTCTGTCCTGAAGTTGCAGATGGGGTGCCAGGTGCTACAGAGCCAACACTCCCTCTACACTAGCTAGGTTTTCCCAGGTCAGATCTTTGCTCAATACTCATCTGATTTTAATCTTTCCCAATCATCTCCTGGTGGCTCCTTTATAATCCCCTCTACCCCAGTGTGTTTGCATGCTACATGCACACAAATGTACCTGTCTATCAGGAGGTTCAAGCAGGAGATCAGAGACCCTGATGTTCTGGAGTTTTTTGTATGCAGAGCTTCTGCAGTTGTTTAATGAAAGAAGAGGTATTAGAGGACAAAAGTTATTCTGAAGTGCTGTTTTATTACACAGTGTACCAGCTTCGCAGCCAAAGATCGTATTCTCTGTTTTCCCAGGTGGCAAGGCTGTGTTTGCAGAAGAGTAGGTTTAACTTCACTGTTTATAAGCATTTACATTCTTCCCCATTTCCCTGACCAGTCAATTCTCCATCCTTATATATTCATATTATAAGCAATGTCTGATTTCTTTCTTCATTCCAATTCATTCTGCCTCTGTGCTTCCAGAAATGTATTACTCTGTATTCTGCTTGATGACAAATGTTACCTACATATCCACAGAGAATTAAGGGCAGAAAGACAGTTGAGAAGCAAAAGCTTTGGAAAAAAAAAATAAGAATAATAAAAAGGACACTCAAATCAGAAAGTGCAGTCTGCCTATACAAGCAGTTTCATGTAAGGCAGACTCAAGAAGCCTGACCTGCGTAAGATAAGCTATGACCATAACTAAGTAATATTTACTATGAACGCACAACTTCTGATTTAACAGAGCTCAGCTTCTTAAAAGACAATGATCTATTTGTGATTTAAACAGCAGGTTCTAGATACTACCTGTCTTGTCTGAAAATAGCTGGCTTCATCTTTATAGGCAATGAATGGTGTTAAGGTTTGGCTGGTTAAACAAGAGCAGAGCTCCGTAGCCAGGTTGTCCCAGCCATTTGGAATGAGGAGAGAGGCAGTATTGTGTAAATTCCTTTCTCTGCTAGGTGTTGTCCCATTATCAGCGCAGTCTGACCCAGATAGCCCAGGGTTAAAAGGTTAATACGAACAAAGGGACTGCACTGGGCTATCTGGAGCAGTGTCTGCAGACAGGCATCTTCCACCAAACCTCAAGTGCATTATGGATGTTTCTTCAAAGGGAGGATCAGAAAACTGAAGCCTCTGCTTGCCAGCTGGCTCTGACTTCCCCTTCAATCTCTAATGCCCTCCTTTCACCTGAAAGCAGATTTTTATCTCTGCCTCATCAAGTTGCTTATGGGGTACAGCTGCCTGCCAGTTTGCTGGCTTCTTAACCCTCTCTTCCTCAACCCCTTCAGCTTCCCAACCCCATATGGTAAATAATTTAAGTATAGACGTCAGAACACATTTCCTGTAGTGGTCTTCCCAAATGACTATTTTTCTCTCCTATTTTACACCAAAATACAGTTTTATTCCTCCTAGCCACAGTTGTCACAGCAAGAACTCGTACTGAACAGGTAGTGCCCTACAAGATAGCGAATGCAGTACCATTCTTGGTTTGAGATGCACACAAAACTTTGGTCACATTAAAATTCAAATGCTTTGTTTGAGGCTCTTTTCATTAACTGGTACAGATCGCTGTGCATATATTACTTACTGTTATTATTTATGACTCCAGTAATCCCTGCCACATCTATAAAGTTCTGCGGAAGTTATTTTGTATTTCCATTACAATGGGATGACTTAGGGCTTGCTTTCTGCTGACCCGTGTAAGAAATTTCCAAGACACTCTTTATTAAACAGAGCACTGTACTGCATGCAGGCAAGAGTCTCAAGCTGGCTAACCAGCAGTGTTTTCCACATTCTATGCTATACCATTTTTCTTCCCCTGAGGAATTTTGCAGGAGTTTCTGTAATTTCCTACTGAAGATAAACCAGTTTCTTATGGTTTGTGTCAAATAGGGCATTGGCTGTTGTAACCATGTTTCATTGCTTTCCAAGAGATGGTCTTTCCCAAATTATGTTGTGAGAAGCCACCAATAGTTTTTTCAAGCTGGTGAACTTGTTTTAAGAGAACATAGGTTTTCTTTGCATACAGTTCCTTTGAAATCAGCAGATTTACCTCTAATGCATTTTATATACATGTATGTAAACTAGATTGTCTCTTTGGGTTTAATGCCTCAAGGAAAAGCAATACTTTTAATAGTTGATGGATATCTCTTCAGTACCCTAAAATACTGAATTGCTGTAGGACCTCATCCCAAGATTCATAGCTGTCCAACTGCCTGTTGCACAGATTTTGTTAGCACTTTTTAATTTCTGGGACAGAGCTTGCAGTGAATGGCCAACGTAATGCCACGTAGAACAATGCAGCTGGTATTGCTCCATTATGTCAGAGGTGTTTTGCTGTAACATGGTCCTTTAGAAACTTGTGACTGTACTGTGTGACTTTAAAGCATAGTGAGTGGAGGGGGGTGGGGGAAGACAAAATTAAGAATCTGAGGTTTATTATTAAGGGTAATATTTATTGCACAAGATTCTACAATTATGGTATTGCTACATTTCCTTGCTGAACCAAGTTAACTTCTCAGTTACGGCTTGCCCGACACAGCCAGAGGAACCCAAACCAAAAAACACTGGATTGAGAAACCAACTGGAGTTTCACATTCTTCTGTCCGGACTTGGGGTAAGCAACCAACTCCATCCTTTACACGTGAGCGTTGCTGTCCATCTGTAACGATGGGTCCGGTTGCCCAGGGCTGCCTGTCCTGTGCAGGCATGCACGCACTCAGGAAACAGACGCGTGTGGCAGAGCGCTACCGCTGCGGGCACAGTTTGCTGCGGGGGGGAAGGCGAGGGAGGGCTCCCGCAGATGCAAAGTGCTCTGCGGGTAAGTTCACAACCTCCTGCGAAGTATTTGAGTAATTAAGTAGCAGATAACTATGTATTTACACTCCCGCTACACACGCTGTAAACACTTTCATAACAAAGGGGTTTCTTACACAGCGTTACGCTGCATTTTCCCCTACTTTCTCCATTAGCGAGGTTCCATCGCGGTGCTGTACCCGAAGCCTGGAACCCAGGGCGGCATCTGCTCCTCCAAGTCCTTCTCCAGGCAGGACCCGAAGGGGGCAGAGGAAGGTCCAAAGCAGCCGCGGGACCCCTGCTATCACCCCAGGCCCGGCCCGTGCTGGGCGAGAGGCTGCCCCCCGCTCCCGCGCTGCTGCTCCCGGCCCGCCCGGGTGCGCTCCCGGCTGGCCGCCTGCCCGGCGAGGGGGCGGCGGCCGCAGGGCCCTGCCACCCGGAGGTGTGTCCCGCCCTAGGCGCGGCTCCCGCAGGTACTAATCGCCGCGCTGCCCCGGCTCCCTCCTGCACTGCCGCCCGCTCCCCGGAGCCCGCGGCCGGGATGTACGGGGGGCAGCAGCAGCTGCAGCCCCTCGCGCTGCCTCCGCACCTCCAGCAGCAGCAACAGCAGCAGCACCACTACTACCGGCGCCAGCAGCACTACAGCACGCTCCCCGCCGCCCGGCGGCCCCTCTCCTGCCCAGAGCCGCTGCCCCGGCCCCTGCCCTGCCGGGACCCGCCGCCCTGCCCGGAGCCACCGCCGCCGCCGCGGCCCCCGCCGTGCCGGGACCCGCCGCCCTGCCCCGAGCCCCCGCGGCCCCTGCCGTGCATCGATCCCGCGCCCCACCAGCAGCAGGACAGCAGCGTGGCGTACGACCGGGTGCGGACCTACGGCCCCGGCTGCCGGAGGGTGAGCACGTCCTGCTCCTCCCGGGCGGCCTCGCCGCTGGAGTGCTCGCACGGCTACCAGCAGGTCCTCGCCGGCTGCGACCCGCCGCAACAGGTACGGCGTGCGCCGACGGGCCTCCCTTACCCGGCTGCGCCGGTGTCCCGTTCCCGCCGGGGCTGGGGTGGTGTGAAGCCAAAGCCAAAGCCCGCCCGGGGTGCAACAGCGGCGCCGGGCCGTGAGCCAGACACCTGTGTGCCGGCGGGCACGGAGGAGCAGGGAGGCCGCCGGGCTCTGGGGTGCTGCCCGGCCAAGAGGAGGGTCGGGACGGGACCGCCGGGGAGGGGGAGTGAGGCCGGGCCGTGCGGAGTCGTCTTCCCTCAGATCTAGCGGGGGGAACTCGTCCGTGCCCATCTGGCTCCAGAAACACCCGCCACAGCAGCCGCTGTGGGAACGGCCGCTCCTCCGCCTCGGCTGCGGCGGGGAGGCCCGGCCTTGGCCCCGCTGCCCTGAGGGTACGGCCAGGCCCGGCCGCGCCCTGCGGCCACCCGGGAGCGGAACGGATCATCCCCAGAGCTCCCCGGGGCCTTGCCTTAGGCGCGCACCGCGGATCCTGCATCTGCCCGCCCGTTCACCGAGGTGTGGTTGGGGCCCGCGGGCGGGGGTCGGCCCTCCACAGAGCTTACCCAGCGGCCCGGCCCCATGGAGCGGGGCAGATGAGAGCAGTGAAGATCCCATCTGGGAACGGGCAGCGAGAGAGTTAGCTCTTGCCGCAGGCGAGCGAGGAAAGCCTCGCACAACCATAACCCGTTTGAATCTAGAACTCTTAACGTGAGTGTCCCTTTAAATTTCGCCTTTCCAGTTTGATTGTCAGTCCCATATTTGTTTCCTGTTTGGCAAGTCCAGTTCGCATTTACTTTTTAATTTGAACCCTTAAACACCTTATTCTGTTGCGATATTTTTTCCCATTTTGTCAATGGGATGCTAACACTGAGGCCTGTGCTGCTGCTGCTCCTGCAGGCTGGGTACTCCTGTTCCACTGATGGGATGTGCAGGAAGCCACTTACTTGGTGGTACTTGTGTAAATATAATATAAAGGCATGTGTGCTTAATGGTTGTGTTTGAATCAGTGATGCTAATAACCTATGCGACTGTGCAGGTAGGAAGTGCGAGAGTGCATTTAGCTTTGCTTTAAGTCTGTACAATGTAGTTCAGCAGGTTTGGTGCTGGGTGCATGTTCAAGGAATGGCTTGAAGTTATTAATGGAATTTAATGTAGTTTTAACGTGTGTGATTTGGTATCAGAGCTAAATCTTAAAAATAAAACTAGAAACCAGTAACTTAAGAACTGCTTTAACTATAAAACCAGAAAAGATCAGAATTTATTTACACCATTTTTTTCCTCTCGTACATCAGACAGTCGGTAGAAGTGGGGTTGGTGCGTTGTACTCGTTATACTCAATATGGCAACGCATGTTTGTTTCAGGTTAAACTCTCATTTAGTTTTCTTTCCTGTGGTATAAAAATATTTATCTATGAAAAATGAGGATTAAGGTCAGTACAAAATCAGATTCCCTTCAAAGCCTATTTGTGTAGTTCAAGGGCTGCCTGCCTCTCAGGATGCCTTCTGTAGATTCTGGAAAGTGAGCCACTTCACTAATTGCTTTTATAGAGTTGGATATGACACACACAGTCCTGCTGTATCAAAGCTGCTAATCCCTCTTTTGCACGATGCAGGGCAGGAGTGTAAACACTGGTCTCTCACCTCCCAGATAAGTGATCTGCTCAACTAGGCTAGATGATAGCCTGAACTGCATTCAATTAATTAAATATTCATTAGAACAAATACTGCAGTCCCAGGCTTCCTCTACTTATCTAAGTACGTGAATGATTTGATTATAGACTCAACTGCTGTCTCTGCTCTATGAAGTATGTTTAATTTCCAGCATCTGTTTTAGTCACTGAATCCGTGCTAATAGTCGTGCTAATGAAAAATAATTTGCTGAAGTGTTTTACTGGATTAGACTTTAAAGACAAAAGAGGGTGCAGTTAGATCAGGCTGTGGTTGCAGTTTTAATGGTGGAGAGGGAAGGTGCCTCATAGAGATTATTAGGAAGTTATTAAAGAAGAAAACAGTAGCAAACAGGGAAGTTGGCTGGGAGTAGGCAAGTTGCATACTTGTGTTGAATGGGAGTTGTCAGAAAGAAGTGCAGGGAGGAGTGCAAGAAGCTTCAGGTGCCCTTTGAGCACATCACGAATAGCTGCATAAACTGAATAACATGATGGTACCGGACTTGCACACGGGTTTAAGTGAACACTAGAATTCTCAGTTTATGGCAGCCTAGAGCTGTTAGTAGATTAATAACAAATGTCTGCATCACTGTTGATACGCTGTTGTCTTATTTAGTCATATGGTGTGTTCTGGTGTGCTTGTTACGTTTGTAATAAGGTAGAGGGAGGGAAAATTTGAAACTGGCATGTGCATACAATACACGATTGTATTTTTTGTAGTAGGATTCAGTTTTCTTGACTTTTTTGGTCTAACTTTGTTTTATCCTTGATGTAGAAGCCAAATGCTGTTCCCAGCCATGACAAGCTTCATCTGGAGTAATTCACGGCAAATTTTTCTCTCATCTGCTTGATTTAAGTGAGGAATGTTGTTTAGAATAAATTCTCCTCTAGTATGGCTTACCCGTATGAACCCTTTCACTGTGGTCATAAAAGATGATATATGAAGTGGCACACACAAGATGTCTGCTGTCAGTGCAGAGGGCGGAATCCTGAAAGCCTTCGTAGGAGTTGTCTACCCATGTGAGAAAATCTGTGAGCAAGATCTTTTCAGGGCTGGGCTCTGTTCTGTGAAAGGCTCTCACCTCTCGTTGTGGAAATGGTATAATATTAACCAGCTTGTAAGATCTGTATTGTTGGAAACAGCCCTCAAAGGTACCTGCCATTTCCCTATTTCAGCTGCCAAATGTGACTCATATATTCTGATGGGATTGCTTGTAATTAACAAGACAATATGTTATGGGTGAAAGGTTTTGACGTGGATTAAATTCTCACCTTAATCGTTGGTTTGTCTGAAGCTAAGGGGACCTTGTTGAAATACGAGTTAGTGTACTGATTTGGTTTTGTATAAAATGTGTACACAACAACTGGATAAATCTATGGAATGCTTGTTTTAAAATTGAAATATCTTATTTAAAAATCTTAAAGACTAGCAAAAATCATTATTAAAGTGTTAGCATATACCTTTTGAAATTATAAACATAGGCCCAGATCAGCCTGCTGAAAATCCCAAACCCAGTCACTCCGCTGAAATCCACAGCAGCACTGTTATGCTGGGCTTTCCCCTTCAAAATCCCAGCCTCCTCTTCCTTCTCCCAGTTGCACAACATTGCACCTCCGTAGTGTTGTAGGGAACTTGAGAGTAGCCTGAACTGTGCCCCTTGGGAATGATGGGAAAAATGGAAACAGTCCGAGGTCATCTTCAGTGGCAGCATATCTCCTGCGGCACACTTGTTGCTCCGGAGGCCTCAGAGGTGGCATCTCCCGGTGAGGAGCAAGGGACTGTGTGTGGGTACTTCAGGCTAGCACAGTCACAGGGTTTCTGGCTTCTTGGTTCCCTCCCAGCCTGTGCAGGTCCAGCCTGCTTGGCTGGTATGGGAAGAAGGGCAGGCAAATCCATGTTTGTGAGGGAGCGAGGGAAATGTATCTCCATCAAAGTCCTTTGGAAATGAAAGAGTTTGGGTGTCTTAAAAATAAGCATGATTTTATCCAAGCAAAACATTTGTAGGTCCTATATAATATTCCACATATGATTAGACTATCCTTTTGAATATTATAAAAGCATGTTTTAACTTAAAATGCTCTGGTCTTCTCAGTTCTGAGCGTATTCCTCTGAGAACACATAGGTAACTAGATAAAATAGCTTTGCGCATTACCCTCTCTAAACTAGACTGTGTGAGTTATGTATTCCAAAGCCCTGTGGCAGCAGGATTTAGTTCAGGCAGGTTTGTCCAACTTTTCAGTAGACTGAAGAGGTGTCTTTTGATTTCGTGCACAGTGCTTATCTTGTTTTCATGTGCCGTGCCATACCATAGTAGTCAACTCTGAATAAGAACTATTACCACTCTCTCACAATACTCATGTCATAGCACTGGAGTGCTCCAGGATGATACCTTCTGTGAAACTGATGTGAAGGAAGCACCAGTGGGCATTCATTCTTTTTAAGTGTTTTACTTTCTAGCTCTAATTCTGTAGGTGTCTCAGTGATGTAGGGGTTGGGCTGTATTATGTTCTAGAGCTCCCTGATATTTCTTTTTGGTGTTATGTCCTGATACAGAAAGTTCTGTTGGCGTTGGTGGGTTCCTTCCCTTGACAGACCCACCTGAGGTACATCGTGTCTTGGAGAGGCAGCAAGCTGCTTTCCAAGTTCTCTGCAGCAGTTATGATTTTAAGATTTCTTAATTACTGTGATTGCTGCTGAAACAGTTTCTTTTCCACTTTGATTTCTCCTTCCTGGTGCTGTTATGATTCACTCTTGGGAGACTGGCAAAACCACTTCAGGCTTCCTAAACTGCAACAGTTCACAGCTGGAAACTTGACCTACTTCAGAGCTGTTCTTACCCGGTTAAGAATGTCTCCGAGACTGAACTGCAGCAATATAAACTTCCCAAGCACTGCCCATGGGTTAAGGGAAGAAATGATTATTATGAAAATTGGAAGTTTGTGCTGTGGGGAAGAATAACTGGTGTGGTGTGAACTAACAAATGGCCCAGTCGTTAAATTAGATTCAGTGGGAATTTTGATTGCTTGGATGAAGAACTGGATGTGGGGATGTCAAGCAACATGCACAGTTTGGTACAACATGGTAGTCCACAAAATGGAAGACAGTGTCTGTGATTGCTTGTGGCCAGTGCTGGGGGAAAACGTGTCAAGACCTATCTGAAAATGAACCTAACTGCTGTCACTTACAGATCCCTGTGATGTAAAAAGACATATTTCTAATTGAAGAATGTGCAGAATGTTCCATGTGGGCATCTTGTTTTCATAGGTGTCAATTGTGGAGTTTTGTGACCACTTTTAGAAACAATTGCCACTGCTGAGTGCATTTGGTAGTGGCCGATGGGATGTGCTGGCAGTGCCTCAGCCCTTTCAGTTTGGTGTTTAAGCAAAATGCAGATTTTCTTCCCTTGATGAAATGAAAAAAGAGTGTTTAAGGTGTGCATCCATTTATAGCAGTGGACCTTGATATATAGCAGTAAAGACTGTCAGTAAAAGACAGTGGCTATGGAACAGGGACATGAGATTGTTGCAGACCTAGTCTGATATGCCAGCTTTGACTTGTCTCCTGTTCTGTTGGCACTTAGAGAAAATAAGGACTTAGTGCCTCAAACCTGCAGAGAGATGAGTGAGAAAAACCAGACTCTTAAAACTGAGAGTAACAGGTTGTGTACTGCCACCCTGTACAAGGCCTGCTTCCTTTGGGGTGGAAAGGCCCTGGCTGTAAAACATTTCTAGGCGATTTCGGCCAGTGTGTTTATAGCAGGAAACACAGATGCCAGTATTCAGGTTACTGTGGAATCCGTGTAAGGCTGAGCTCTGAGCATAAAGAGGTTTTAGAGGTTAAAGTGCAGTCATCACTGAATCTTTGATCTTGCTTCTCGCAGGGCACTTTTCGAAGGATTATCATTGAGAATCCTGATCAGGTAAGAAAACTGTTTCCTGATGGAGTTCTATTTGTGTATCTCTTCCTCCCTTAATCGCCCTGAACTGGTGAAGTGCTCAGCATCAGGGGATGCTAAATATGTTGAAATACATGGTCCATACCTCTGATGGTGAGAGATTAAAGTATAGGGATTGAAAATATTACAGAATTGCTAGTCAGGTTTCCTAACTGTCAGCACTGAAGTCTCTTAACATGCTTCAGTAACATTGCTAGTGGAGATGAGTTTCTGAGCGTTTCTACTATGCTTATTTCAAATATTGTCTAGGTGGAAGCACAGCCACTTTGTTTCCAAATGGACATACACTCACATGTACATATCCTGAAGAACTATCTCAAAGTGTCCACCATGTCTTCAAATCACAAAAAATCCCTTCTCACGTTTTAGTCAAAATCGCATTAATCCTGAATTTTCTGTTTGATTTATATGAATGTTTTAAAAAATGTTTTACAGGAGCCATTATCCCCATTTCTGAGAGGGGCAAATTTCTGTCCTGGAAATAATGTCATCTATGAAAAGACAATAAGAAAATATGAGCTATTAAATCCCCTCCAAGTAAGTTGGTTGTTTATATTATCTGATGCAAAAGAAAATTGCGCTGGTAGCAGGAATGTGATGCTTCTGGGATGAGGCTTTTTTGGGGTGGTTTTGGTTGGGTTTTTTTTCCTTGTTGAGATCTAGGGCACATTCTCAAAGCAAATGAAGCAGTTTCTGTAAGGAGAGCAGGAGTTAGAGCGTTGCTGTATCCTTACTAAGAACTGATTATTTCACACTAACAATGAAAACTGCTATTGTACCTCCTGTACTGTCAGTCAGATAAATCTGAATATTGACTGGGAGTTTCTTGCAGTAGCTCCACAACAGAACAAAAAAAAAAAACAAAAAAACCACCCAAAAATAATTGAAAATACACATTATTTATTATTTGTTTTTACTCATTCTTGAAAAAATGTATTTGGCAAAGCTGTCTGAAATTTCATCTTAGACCTACTGGAGTTCTCTTTCTAATCTCTGAAATACTTAATGAAACAGGATGTGTGTTCTAAAGTAAATAACAGAGTTCCCCATTGCCTGAATATGCTAAGAGTAGCAACACAATGAAACAGCCCAGGAAAGGTCTTGTGCTTTTCATTTGCAGCCACTAAAATTTGAGGAGTTGGTGAATTACTGGTTGTAATTCACCAGTTCTGTTACAATGAAAGAGTGAGGCAAACTTCCAGCTAGGAAAAAAACACCTTTATCAGGCTTACTAAAATATGTGAAGCTGTTATTAGTCCTTTCATTGCAAACCCACATTTCAGTCATTTATGTATTTATATGAAGCTTCCATGTGATTAAGACAATGTCCATCAGCTTAAAACAATCCATTCTTGTTTCCAGGAGAAGCAGTATCAGTTCTCCCGCCAGTGCCAGAGTCCCCAGCAAGTGGAGCAGTGCCAGGCTGCCCAGCCCTGCCAGTACTCCGAGCAGTCCCAGGTCACTCACCAGTGCCAGCAGACACAGACCAGCAGCCCTTGTGAAGTAATTCCAGTCTCTGTCAGCGATGACTGCAGAGGAAATACAGTGAGGAGGGTGACAGTGCAAACCTGTGAGCAGGTAAGAATCACTTGCTGAATGTTCACAGTGTATTTTTGTTTTGCATGAAGAGTATAAAACTTTACAGATACATAAAATTGCTAATCTCCAATCCCAGAATCTTTTGTTCATAGTAGGGTAATTAAGCACCATACACCCATTATAAGTGAACAGCAGAGCTCATGTGTCTGCTGTAGGTAACTTCATTGTACACTGTATTTGCAGGTGTTGTCTGGAAATGTCCAAGGCTTTGACAGATGATGTTAAGAGGAAAAAAGGGCCGCTTTAAGTGTTTTGTGTGTTTCTTGTTGGCACCGAGCTGCGCTTAGGAGTACTGACTGATCATTCTGTGGTCCTTTAACTCTGTTGTCTTGCTGGTTTGTTTGGGTTTTTTCTTTATCTGGGAGAGTTACCCATTGATTTAGTCAGGTTTCATGAGTCCCTGTACAATAAAGACTGAATAATGTAAGGCTTAAGCCTCTAGTTTTGGAGAAAAAGTACATTAGTTTATAAACTTGACATACATCAATTCAGGATTGTTTCTGCCTTAACTGATCAGTAAGGACTTCAAATATATTTCAATTTGCTGTACAAGTATTAGACATGGATTCACTGTAAGCACAAAATTACTTTCCTCTTCCTTTCATTTTGCATGAGGTTGCAAGTTCTGGAGTTTCTAAGGGCTGCAGCAGGCTTGCTATACATGGGTACTGTTATTTCAGTTGGGAAGGGAGTGTAGCAGTCCTTCCTGTGCACCTACTCACTAAACAGGTGGCAAGACAAGCATATACTTAGTGACCTCAGTGCTAAACCTCTGGGGAATCTTCCATAGCCAGATACTCCCATAAGCCAATTTAGGTACACTCAGTTCTGGTTGCTGCTGCAATCCTTCTACTGTTCACGTACATAAACATTTGGACTGTGGCAATACAAATGCCATTTGCTCAGTGGGGAGTCTGGCACCCGGCTAGGTTTATCTCGGTGCTGCCCACAGGCGTTCATCCACTGCAGCCAGGGAAGCATGTATATTAATGAGATTTCCTAATTCTCAGCACTTTCCATATTAGCATAATGATGACACTGCTGCAGAAGATGCTACTCTGCATATTTGTTGGTGGTGTAAAGGAAGCTATTTGTTTCTGTAGAGTTTGCTGAAAACCAGAAGACATGGAAGACTCAATACCAAGGAAAAGAAGAATGTAAACAGATTGCAAATTGTTAAGAGCAAACAAAACCAAACCCATCATACCTGCAGCATGTTCATGTTCAGCTTTCATCCCAAAGAACGGAACTCAGTTGTGATCTTTTTGCGTATCTCCTGCTAGGTGAATTGTGCTCAGGAAAATAATGACCAGCTGGACTGCCGCTACTTCGGTGAGCTCCTGGCTGAGCTGCACCGCAAGGCCAACGACTTGCACAGTTGTTTACTGCAGCATGTGGAAAAGATAGGAGGAAGGTATTGGCATTATATCTGTTCTGTTATTCCCCTGTTCCCGAGAGCCTACCATTGCACAGCTGAGAGGACAGTATTGTTTGCAAATTGTGGGATTTTTTCTACCCTGATGAATAGAATTGACTGTATTTTACACACTCATCTAATTTGCTGAGTAACTGAGGACATACAAATGCTGTAAGCCAAGTAAATGTATTGAATTTGATGCCTTTCCCAATTGGTTAGACTAATAGGCAGTAAGAATTATGCATGACTGTTTGCACATAGAGCAAAGAAGCACGCTTACAGCATTCTCTGACACGTTTAATGATACAATTCTATTCCTGCGTCCTGAAGAAACAACTTAAATGTCCAGATTGCCATTTCCTTTGCTGTGCCATGTTGTTATGTTATAGCATGGATTATAAGGCGGTCACTATAAGGCATAAAGCCAGTGTGTTCATGCAAAGTTAAGCAGGTATTCTGCAGAGCCCTGCACATTGTCTTTAACGAGAAACGCAGCATCACAGCAGCCAGTAATCTGAGCCTGCACAAAGTTCTTACCTTTCCCTCACAACTACTCCCACAACATTCTTCCCCCTCACTCCCACTCTTGTTTGGTGCTTTCCAAGGTCACTTATATGGGAAAACTGGTCCCATAGCAGGGGAAGAGTGGAATTTAAGCCACACACAGACCCTGACACTGCAGTGCGAACAGTTCAGGCATGTCAGTATGTTGCAGCATAGTTCTGGGTAATCCATTACCCAGCCAGTTAAGACTGTAATGGGGTTAACTGAACACAACTGGGGTAACTATCCAGAGAAAGGAGGTAGCCTGTGTTAACTGTACTGCTGTTAGTAGTCCATTCTCCTCAGATAGTTCTATGTGGAGTGAGGCACCTCATGTTGCCTAACACTTTAGGAGGCAGGTAACAGCTCTTAATCTGGCAAAGAACCTTTCTTGCTCTGTTTTTTAAAGATAATCCTTGTACAGTTGTGAATGTGGACTTGAATAAATGCCTCAAGAAGCATTCTGGTAATTGTTCCCTTGGATTTTCTGTTTTACAGGAACCATGACATTGAATTTACGGGTCAGGTAAGCATCAGGCATGCTCTTGGCAAGCTCTTCCCCAACAGTGTTAAAAGCAGTAGTGTGGATCCCGAAGCAAATTAAGCCCAGCCAGTTTAAATGAAGGATGCTGGTCTTTATCAGTTAATGATCCCTGCTTGTTAGTAACATTCACAGTCTGAATCCTACAGCGAGGCACATATTTGCAAATGTGATAACACTGAAACTCTGATAATTTGCATTATTCCGGTGTATGAGAGTCAAATTCTGGAAAGTCTTTCCTGTTGTGCCTAATGGTTTCATTGTAAAACAAATTCTCACAGCCACACGTATTTTCATTACGTGTGTTTTGCAAAGCAGCGTTCACTGTCTTGCCAGTAGAGCTGCAGCTCAGGAACACGCGCTGCCTTGCTCTGCAAGGAGTGAAGACAGTGCCTCTCGCAGGAACGAGAGGAATGTGAGCTGCCAGAACAGGCTTCCCATCTGCAGCAAGCTTCCTTTTACCAGGGGGGCCAGGATAGGCTCACTGGCACCTCTGTTATGTCGTTGAAGACATTGTGTGCACAGCAGAAACACTTGTCTAGGATGATACCACATGAAGCAGTGTCTCCTATGACGGGCTGCTCATCTCTTCTTTATTGACAGTCTGTGCAGGAGAAACGTGAGGTTTGCTCCTGTCCTCGACTGCTGGGAGTTCTGTTCTGATGTCACCTCCTACTTCTGGAGAGGATTATTTTGAATACTGCTTGTAAAATAAATGTTACCCGTAGTGATTTGAATGTATGCTGCATGTATCACTTCATCTCGGGTTTTATCTGCCTCACATACATATGGCTTTAGAAATTTGCTGGATACACTTTGATCTATTTTCGTTCTTATTTGCCTTGTACTAAAGATGTTTTTCATAGAAGAGCTGTGTAATTAATGAAGAACCCACATTGTGATCTTACAGGCAAAATTCTTAATCAAGATGTCTCCCCTTTCCTCCCTTCTTTGCTTAGACTGAAGATATTGAAGAATTAATTCCCAAAGGACTGTCTGAGGCAACAAAGCAGCAGATTCGTTATCTCCTCCAGGTACACGAGTGGGGTGGAGGGGGTGTGTGGACGTCTATAGTAACTTGAAACAACAGAAGTTGGCTTACACATACCAGGGACTTTATGTAACACACTTAACTCTCTGTTCTGCTTATGCACTTTTTCCTAGTGTAAAGAGCACAGAATCATACAGGTGGCTTCAAGTGATGTTGTAGCAGTTGGTTCCACTTTCATACTTGCAAACTGAGCTTTACTGGTGCTTTCTTCCAGTTGCACTGGAAACCATCTTGGCTTTTAATCAGTCACAGGAGAACACAAACCTTTAATCTTTTAGTTGTTTATTACTGCTTTACTTTAAAAGTTAAAGGCAAGCAGTAGGTGCTTCACTGAATGTTGTATTTGGTATTGGTTGCCAGCTACATACAATGCTTGTAACTCAGGTCTCACCTTTTACCAGTACCCTGGTTAAAAACCCTCTAACAGATCACGTTGTGCTGAGGCACACTTATGACATGCGCTAGCAAACCAGAACTCTTTCTGGCTTGGTTACATTTATAAAGGCTTTTGTTTCTTCAGATCTTGTTCTTCAGTTGCCTTACCATTACCTGCCTTTGCGATCACCAGCCACATTAAGGGAGGCAGATGAGTTCTGGTAATGGCTACTCGTTTGTTGCCTCCCATCACTGTAGTACTCTACAGTATGGCTTTTAGTGCAGTACTGCAGGTGTGTTTATACCCAGCCTCCCTGAGGTAAGGGGTTGTGTGCTCTGGCTTCACATCCAAGAAGGATTCTGAGCTTTGTCAGACGGCTCAGGGAGTGATTGTGTGGGGTATGCCCAGAGGCTCACGTCTAGGAGCACAGAGAATTTCACTGTAGGAGTACATGAATTTAGCAACCTCTAACACTTACTAATTGCGAGTGGGGACTTCCTGATACATTTTATAGCCTAAACTCAACCATTTTGACTTAATTTCTTCTTTTAGCCTACTCTTAGAGTGCATTTCACAATAAAACCAACTAAACTGTAAGTCAAAGCTGAAATTCCATTTTAATTGGGTGGGTTACACTGGACATACTACTTTTTGATGCTTTAGTCACATCCTGGGGATGTGGGGATAAAAAAGTAGGACATGGGCTCATCACTGTATTGATGGAGATCTTGATGGCTCTCCTCAGCCCAAATGATCGCCAGATGAAGTGAAGGGAGAGAGTCAGAGGAAGGGAGACAGGCAGGAAGATTTCACTTTTGTCCAGGTAGCAGAAAAATCATTTGTTTGCATGGAATATTCAGCCCTTCCAGATGAGTCAAAACTTGAGGAATTCCTTTGTGTGTTCTGTCAAAACTTGTTATTACTCTTTCAAATATCAGAAGTGTGTCAGGAAACACAACTGTTTGTGTTTTAACATGAATCAATACACGGCTGTTTACCTGCATGGAAAGAAAATCCAGGAACAGGGTTAGGCTGCTGTGCACGGCTGCCCCTCTTCATCTAGTCGCCTCCTTCATCTTTGGCACCTTTTTCCTTTTGAAGGGAGGAGTTGGTTGTATGGCTTTTATTTAAAGTTTATTTGTACAGCTCTGATTAAATTCTCTTTCCCCTGGCTGCAAGCACTTGGCCAGATCCCGGCTGCTGCTGCTTCCTCTGTGCCTCCTCAGGTGGGGTAGAGCACTACTGCTGCTTTCTTAGCATCGGTCACTAATGACTGTGCAATGGAACACGTCTGGGTTCCCCTGTGTTGCTGTACACATGCAATTCTTTACTCTCGTGTTCCTTCCATTTTAAAAGCATTACCCTGTGTTACAAGGCAGCAGTGTAAAACCTGTGCCCTTTGCAGAACAAACTGCATGACAATGGGCTGCTCTGTAGAAACTGGAGGCACGCTGCAGTAGCTCCAGGAGTAGTTGTGTTCAGCTGTGTAGCATTTTCTGTTCTACCTCTTGTCAAGCATATTGTAAACAAAGCTTATCTATTAATCCATTTCCACTGTCCCCCTCATCTCCTAGATGAGAGTCACATCAGATAAATCTTTGAGACTTGTGCTTTCCACTTTCAAGAATCTACGTGAAGAGCTTTGCCACCTGCAGGATGACTTGGGGGTAAGGCACTTTTGGAAATGGCTGGTTCATTACTGGGCTTGCAAGACTCGCTCAGTGGATGGGGTGGATTTCTTTCTAGCAGTGGTCTGCAGCTGATCAGTCTGAAGCCTAAACCCACCAAATACTTTCAAAGAAATGACCTTGCTGAGTGAAATTGGATTTAAAGCTCTGAATTGTGATGCACACTGGTGGTGTCATGGAACTATAGTTTTCCTTTAGACCTGGGCAAGGGGTGTACACCAAGTGGCTATTTACTAGTGCTGTTCTAGGAATCAGGGGACCTCAGTTCCATTCACCCTGACAGGGCTGCATTTCCCACTTTATCAGAAAGCTGGTGTCAGCTCGTGGCATTAACAGCTCCAGTGGTTCACCTGGTACAGGCTTCCCACCTGGAAGCTGGAGCTCTATGGCCACACATACAGTAGACAGTAGATAATTGCTGTTAGGAAAGCAGAAACCTTTCCCACACCAGCCCAAGTACTCCGCCCCACTGGAAACATGAAAATACCAAGTTTAGGGAGGGGAGAGGGAGTTTTAACTGTTACCTTTAACAGAGGACAAGGAGTTTGTACAGTGAAGTGGTTTTGGATTGGGGTTTTTCATTGGTTTCTGTTATTCTGTAAATAACTGAGTAATTCTGTCTGGGGCAGACTGAAAGAGCAGGGTTCAGCATCCCAGTGCTTACCCCAGCACACAGCCAGCTACTTCAAGTGTGTGATGTAGTTAAAAAACCCCATTGTTTCAAGAAAATGGAGTATTTTCTTAGTTACTAATTGCTCAGTATGTTTCACTTTGAACACAGGAAAAGTTTACTAAACAATTACAGCTATTGACATAAAGGCTTTTGTCTTGCAGAAGTTAGAAACAGACAATGTGTTACTTAAGAAGGATTTGGCTTTTAAAGATTGTCAAGTAAAAGAGTATGAAACTATGCTGGCTTCTCTGAGAGAGAATAATCGTCAGCAGCAGGTAAGTCTAAACCCGTATTTTCAGTGTCATTAGTCAGCTAAAAACTAGCCAGTGTTTGGCTGTTGAGCATTCCAAGTAATTGCTGCCTGGTACCTGTCGGGGTGTGCGTGTCATCTGTTACTTCCTTAAGGAACACTGCCCTCATCCCATTTCTGTGCTTTCCAGCAAGGACTCAGAGAAAGTACTGCAAAGTGTCGCTCTCTGGAGGAACAGCTCCTCTGCCTTCGGCTCAGTGAGGGAGAAAAGGATTGTCAGCTAAAGGAGCTGGAGTTCTGCAAGCGTGCCTTGGAGCAGGAGATCCAGAGCCTCAGGCTGCAGGTAACCGGCTCACTTGTTCTGTGTCCAGCGGCTGTTATTCACAGGTACAGATGCGTTAATATAGGAAAATTAAAGATGAAAGCTCTCTTTTTAAAGTGAAATACAATCTCATTTTCTGCAGGCCTGCTCTAATCCAACCCTGCAGACCACCACGGACGAACTCTCCAGCCGTTACGTAGAGATGATCAATAACTTGAGGGAGGATAAAGATCGCGAGATCCGCAGCCTTAGGGTAAGTTGTTTCACTTGGCATGTGTGTGCTCCTCCCCCTGTACACCTGGAGTTGAAACAGCTTCACTTTCGATTAAGGAATGGGAAAAATCAACCAGGTATCTTTTGGTTCAGCAGTTCCTTAATACACACCCACAACAGTTCAGGAACCCTTATGGTTCACCTCAAACTGTGATGTAAAAATCAATACACTTTCTCAGATGTAGAAAATAGGGATTAATCAGATAGGAAAGAGTGCCAAAAGGGACACTTTGAGTGTCCTGGTAAAGTAAGACACTAAAGAAGAGACACCTGACAGAAAACAAAACACCCAGCCAAAACCGTAAGTAGGAAGTGTCTCTCACTGAAGTCCTTACAGTAATAATTTACCACCCTGGCAGCCAGTTCCACTTGTTTAGTGCTGTATGAACCCCAGTTATAAGGCTGTCATACTGGGTAGAACTCAGCATTTCTGGATTTACTGTGCAGCTCAACATTCTCACTTGACAATCTCTGGTTCTTACTGTTCATGGAGCTCATGAGAACTACACACCTGGAGCCCTGGGTACTCCTGCCTGGTGACCTGCATGAGCCCCAAACACCTGACTGTCCCTCAACATGTGTTTTGCAGTCTCAGTTATGCCAATTCCAGCAAGACATATCAAGGAGAGAAGGAAGCAACAGTGACTTGCAAATGCGGTTGCATGAACTGACATCAATGTTGGAGGAGAAAGATGCTTTTATTAAACAACAGCAAGAGGTAAAATAACACTAGATTTCTCTTATAACAATTTTTGTACTTAAGCCTTTGCTTACTGCATAGGTAGAAACATGCCAGAAGTCACCAGTGCTCTCCTGCTTTGGGGATTGGGGTTAGGATATCTATTGCTGTTCCACTGCCAGCCTTTTGGCAGGATGGGCATTTCTGATTGCTTTTTGAGATGAATTTCTGCAAATTCTTTGTTGTGACTTTAGGGAATACGTCAGGAAACATGACTGCATCTGAATGCTTACTTTTGGTTTTCTCAGGACCTCTACAGACTGAAGCATGACAAGTTATCTGGCAGTCAGTCCCCTGCTGTAACTACTGTCATCACCAAGAAGTAATGTAGCTATTAACCTTTCTTAAAAAGACCTCCTTTTGGTTTTCCCTTGTGGAGCCTCCGTTACCTGAGTTATTCCTGCAAATGGCTTAATAGTGCCTATTCACTTTGAAGAGGGAAAAGTTGAGCTAGGCTTTCCTCTCTCCGGGGAGCATTCCATACTAAACATTGCAAGAGCAATTGGAGGGGTGGCCAGAACATTAAAGCAATGTTTAAATGCCTGTATTGGCAGTTTAGTTACTAGTGGCACTCTGGGGGGATGTGGGACTGGATGGCCAACATGACATAATCAGAGTCTGTGACATGGATATGGACATGTGGACTGCAGTTCACAGGTTTGCAACTCTTATCCTCACAGGTACAGGAATCAGTACCCTATTCTGGGACTCCTGTCTGACGACTACAAGGTTACATCACCTGTCAATAAATCACAAACCATTGTCATTGAGAGGACGGGAGAGATCTGGAAACACGTAAGTTTACCTGGAGATCGACTGTTTGGTCTCTGAAATTTTTAAGTACTCAATTTAACTTCAAAGAAAGCATCAGCCAAAACTGACATCCAAGTCAACTGAACTTGGCTGATTAAAGACCAGAAACTGCCCTGACTATTGCAAGGAGGCAGTTAATTGGTGGGTGGGGTATAAATAAAACCACCTTTTGTTGTTTTCTTGGACACATAATTACCTGTAACAAAAGCAGCAGCCCTGTCCCACACCAGGCTCTGCCCTCGCACGAGGCAGCCTTTGGGCATCGCTGTACCAGGAAGTTGGTTAGGTAGGAGCTTCTTCCGTGTTGTGCTCCCAGGGGAAGGAGTGTTTTGGTGGGCAGTACTGCTCTGAATCATGAGTACTAGGGACTCCACACTATTATTAAAATGTGTTAAGCACCATATCCCTGAAACCTGCATTGAGACAGGGCCATGACTAACCCAGGAACTGTGGAAGAGTGAATTGCTCCTTGAAAAGTCACCAAAGTGAAACAGAAAACAGGACTGCTGAAGCTGTTTATGTTACAGGGCACAAGGCCACCATGCCAAGTCTCAGTACAAGGCAGAGGCTTGAGCAGGAGCAACATGGGCAGCTCCCAACCACGTGTGTGACCAGTGGAGTCTGACGATGCTGTCTGTAGGCACAGTACAGTAGAGCAGCACCAATCTGTTTGGAAAGTAGCTTTGAGGGTGGGAAACTACCAAGATAAAGACAATTACCTGAGCAGATGAAGGGTAAAACATCTGGCATGTTCTAAAAGGACACATTACCTGGAGTAGGGTTAAGAAAACAAAAAGCAGAGGTAACTGGCAAGCAGCAGTTTTAGAACTGATTTAAAACTCATCCACCTGCATTGCAACCTAATGAAATGCAAAGGAATTCAACATTAGCTAAAGAAGTTACAAAAATAAAGCCCAGCCCGCTGCCTTGAAAAGTTAGTCAGACTTTCCATTATCAAAAATGGCAAAGACGAGAGCACTTGGCAGTTGAGATCAGTATCATTAATGAGAACTGTTGTATTTGAAGTTTCCCAAGGTCTCTATCAATCACTACTGCAAGTTTCAGCTGAAATGAAATTCCTGCTGCGAGATAAACTTGCTGAGTTACAGAAGTGCCAGTCCTGCCTTTCCTCCAAGCTTCACACGTCCTTTTGCTGTGTTTATGTACCATCGGCCAGATCTGCCTATCTGCATTCGTTACTGAACAAGAGCGCTGATTGGTATCTGAGTGCTGTGCTGAAAGCACATGGCTGGTACACGGTACCATCCTCCCCCCAGTGTTAGTTACCAGGCTCAGTCCTTCTGGATACTTGGGTGAAAATACTTTTAACATGGATCCTAGTTACAGCAGAGAAACTTTTAGGGTGGAAATTTTGCAGTACCTGCTCTTCGGGTGCCCGATACCTTCCTGTTCCTGGCTGTCTTCCCAAGTACAGAAGAAGCTGCTGTCCCTGGTTTGTGTTTACTCAGATGGGGAATCCTGACTGTTCCGATGTCGGCCCCTCCCTGAACAAAACCGTTTCCAGCTTAATGACACAACTTTGCCCTTGCTAGTACTGGTGCCTGGGAGCACAGGTTTGTGAAAGGCTCGGTGGGCCCTTGAGACACCTCAGAAGTCAGGCTGTTGGAGAACAGAAATACTTCATTAAATGACAGGCCTTAGAGCCCACGTAGTTTTGTTTATACACAGAAATAAGTCTCTATTTTCTTCTAACAAACTGCTTATTTCTGTCAGGAATGAGAGAGATCTCCAGGCCGTCAGCTGCTCAGAGGAGTCCACGATGACTTAAAGCTGCTTTACTTTCTGCTATTCTGCATCTCAAACAAGTTCAGTCTGATAGTGGGAAAGGCTGGGGAACATGCCAAGGACATGGAAGCATGAAGATGACGGAGAACACTGTCTCATCATGCACGGTTACCTGTGTCTGTAGTCTGCCACCACCACCTGCGTACAGATGCTGCTGGTACTTCTTCACACACATGCTTTTGACACAGAGGAGCATGGTGCACCACGTGTTTGTGGACTTCATTTTCTTGATGTGACAAATTCTGTTCTTCAGCCACTCCTGAAGCAATCTGAGATACAAAAGGAAGATGTCTGAAGCCTTTTCCTCCTTGCACTCATAGCCATATTCTCCTGCCCTGGCTACTCATGCTGAGAAGTGGGAATGATACAGATCTGTGTCCCAGACACACCAAATGGCTGGTTTCACTGCACGCAGATTTCCAGATTGCTGTTCAATCTACCACTGCCTGTCCAAGATGAAGCAAACCCCAGAAACCACCATTATGGGGAACTTCAGAACCACCTCACTGAAGAACACTCATCTGCCTGCGTACGGGAAGCTCAAGCACAAAGGAAATGACTTCCACTTACACCAGGTACACAAGCTGGCGAACAGCAGAGCTGCCCAAGTTCAGTGACAGCATTGGGCACATGGTGGTTTTAAAGAATGTTGGTGACACCAGGGCTGATGTAGTTCCAGGTGAACCTTTATAAGCCATAAATATTTATTTGCTTCGCTTGAAAATGTCAAGAGCTTGGTGTACTTTTATATAGAACAACTGAGAATGAAAACAGCTCCTAGACTAAATTCTGGTATCAGACCAACCTCCCGTTTACCATTCCCACTCCTCACAGGCCCACAGGAATTCTCACAATGATTTGGTATTCATAACTGAGGCTCTGTCTAAGCAAAGAATCACTGGGAAAATTTTAAACTACACAATCAAAAGGTGCTGGGTCTTTATTGTGGGGCTCTTGCTTTGCTCTGTTTCTGCAAACATATACTTCTATTAAGTAATATATATCCCAGGCAATAGTTAATGGTGAAAGAATGCTGTAAGGCCACGTGCAACCATGAAATAAACCTAAGTATAACTTTCTGAATCATGCCTCTTTGTACTGGAAACATCTCATCTGCTGGAGGGACTTGTTCTAGGTGGTGGGGCATGGCCTGTCCTTCATCCAGCCTGTTCCTCTCAATGAACCTTTACAAGAAAAGGACTCATGTTGGGTCCCTTTTCTGGCAGAAGCGAGGGGTAAATGAGTGAATTACATCCTCAGTTGAACGAGAGCACCTTGCTCTTCTGAAACGAGTCCCTACTGGATTCTGACATACCCACTCCTGGCTGTAGAGCAGTCGGATACAAGGTACATGCAGAGTTAAAATGCTCTGACACAGAACAGTGTCACTGAATTCTGTTCCAATAAATCATGTTTGTTACACAGTCACCTAATGACTTTCTACCTTTGATGACCTGAACAATGAAATAAAAAGGGTAGGAACTCCATATTCTTTAATGCCATCACACTGTTACCTGTGCACAACTGTGCTGTTACCCCAACTGAAGTGGACACAAAATAATCTGACTTACTGTGGTCTTGGCTGTGGTCTCAGCTGGGCTTGACCGGTTGGAAGCACTGGTTGGACACAGACAGCTTGGAAGAAGCTACAGGGAGTAGAAGCACGAGTTATTAACTGTCACACTCACTGGGCACTTGCAGCAGGCACTGCAGGGGTTGTACAGCATGTTTGCTAACCATTGCATCAATCTTATCACCACGTAACAGCACAATGCAAGCAGCGAATGCCCTTAGAGGATAGAAACACGCTGGCTCTGACTACGATTCACATTACAACCCATGACACCGGCCCCAGTGAGGCAAATGCTGTTTTGCATACACAGCTGGCACTGCAATCAACAACCACAAACCACAGTGATTGATCCTCGCACTTGAAGAAGCGGGTAACACAGACAGACTAGTTAAAAAAAGCCCAGTTTGCTGCTCAGGAAAGGCAGATGTCAATACTGCACTGTCAGCAGGGATCAGCTGCTCCAGGGGTTGTTGAGCATGTAAGACTTCCACACACCGTAAATGCTACAGAGCTGCGGTCATAACAACACATTGTACTGACAAGTCACACAAAGCAACAGCTAGTGTCAAGCAGCTGAATTAGACCAGCAGGTGAAACATAACGGCCATTTGGGGGTGGATTTGTTTTCAAACTAGATTGTTTAGAAGGCAAATTTAGTATTTTTTCTTATACAAGTACATGTACTTGCAGTAGTCTCAGACACTGCCTCTAAACTGAAACCGATTTACCAACCAGATTGGTTGTGCTGGAGTTTACAGAAACATGGTTCTCATTTACACACCTCTGTAAGTGTTATTTATCCCCCTGGTTATAAACAGTATGCCTTAGATAATTTTTCACCTCAGTTTCAGTATGTCCACTAGGACTTCTGCATTCTTTCAGGAACAAATGAGAAAGACCAAAGGCAGCATTTACATACCCTCGTATTAGGCTGCCTTTATGGACAGGGTCATTAAATAAGCCCTCACTGCCCACGAGCAGGCAGAGCTTCTTGTTCTTACATTGCAGATGAGGAGAAAATTGTCTTCTGGTTTCTGTCACTGACCTTCCCACACACCTCTCTGTGCTGTCTGAACAGAGGCACTGCCTTGGCTGCACAACAACAGCCAAGCAGAGCCCTGGTTCGGAAGCTACCGCCACCTCCTGCATTCTGGCTGAGAAGGTGACACAGACTTCAAACACTACATCAAGTTAAGGTACCTTCACCCTGAGAGCACTCTGCTGCTGTCCTCCTCTATTTTCTCTCTTGATTTCATTACCTTTAATTGTGCACATCTGAAAAGGAGGAGAGAGATGATGATCAATTCACAAATGAATCACTTGGCTCCTGGTTTTCAGGAGTTCTTAGGCTGTCATTCAACTAAAAAGATGCCATAAACAGATCTGACATTTTAGAGCAACCCTTACACATTTGTGAAACTCACTGCTTGATCACTCAGCCAGGCTGTGCTGATACATCATGTACAGCACTGCAGGAGCAGGCAAAGGAGACACCTAAACACAGCCAGGAACAGCTGAACCCCCTCAGTGTTTGTGCTTCCTCTCCTCTTTCTCTTGGCATAGCAGGTACATTCCTTTATCATTCCCTAACCTCTACATCATCTTTTCCTCCACCACCCCTATGTCACGCCTGTACCGCACTGCACAGGTCTTTTCATGCCAATTCCTTCCTCTTTCAACCCATCACAGTATTACTTGTTTCTTCTAAACCATCAGAGCCCCCCTAACATTCTAAACACCCTCCCTTTGCTATTCACCACCCAGCCTGGACAGTTACAAGAAGCTTCCACACCTGCAGCTAGGCAGACAGGCATCAGATCTGGATGCAGGAGCAGAAGCATTGGTGGGAATTTCAAGCTACACGGGAACACGTAATTCCAGCCTCAAGTCATCAACATCTAAGCGGCACTGGACAGAGCAGCAAAGGGCCAAGCAGAAGCACACACTCTCCCAGAGGTATCACAAGCTACTGGATTTTACCACCAGTGCTCAAGCAGAAAGGCTGACAGTCTGATTTAAACTGCTGGAAATTTAACAACACATTGGTAGTAATCCACTAACCTTCAACTTGTGTGGGTGGTGTCTCAAGGCTTTTCCTCTCCTTGACAGACCTTGTTCCAGTTATCCTTCGTAGCTGGGTTTCACTGTCCATATGCTGCCAAGAGAAAACCAAACTAGTTAACATAAAGAAACGTTCCAAGAGCAAACGCAACAAAGCAGCCAAAGCAAAGCAGTAACTCACAGTGAGAAGGCTGCCTGGGACCATCCCACTGAGTTTACCAATGTAGCCCTTTCACACAGCCATCACAAAAAGCAGGGCACACACAAAGACTGCACCTGCTTCAAATCCTACACACGTCCCTGTATTTGCACCTCAGCTGACAATAACCAAGTATAGGTGTGGTTTTTCCAACCACTGTTCCCTCCCGCACATCTTGAAGAATGTGTTCATTGCAGGTCTTAGTGTTCCAAAAGGTATGACCGAGAAGTCACTGACTTCATGCAAACACCACAAACAACTAAACCATTACTGTGTTACCAACATTATTCTCACCCTAAATCCAAACACAGCACTGTACCAGGTACTAGGAAGACTATTCATTCTATCCCAGCTGAAACCAGGACACATTTCTAGCCCCACGTCCTGGTCTGCACCCCATGAACTCTTAGGCAATGTGGCATTAAGTCTTTCTACAAAGTTGGCTACAGAAAGATGCATAAAATGGTCCAGTACCTGACTGTTCCATCCATCTGCAAGGTGGAAAAATGAGCCAGCACAGATGTGTGCTTTGTCACAGAGTCAGAATGATCATCTTCAGTCTGCTATGAAGAAACTCTTTCAGTCTATGTATTCAATATACATTCAGGAATAAAGCATTGCAATTGTCAAAACACCACACTTTCATCACTACAAGTTTCTGAATCCTGCAGCCTCCCCCTCTAGTTGCTGGGCATACCAAAAACAGAAGCATAAATAACAGGTGAATAGTTTCAGGTGTGCATCATCTCTGTTTTTTAGTACAAAACCTATGAGTTCACTGGCTAAAAGCCTGCTGGAAGCCCCCAGTGAGGAGCTCACTTGATATTGATTGCACTCTCTTCTAAAAGCTTTCAAAGGAATGACATCTATTACTGATGTCATCATCCAAACACTCTAAAAGAGAGGGGAATTAAGAGCAATGTTTTTAGTGCTCCATTTTGCAAGCTGTTCTTTTATTACACAGACAGAAAGACAAAACCTACCTGGCTTTTCCCAAAACACGTGAGAAGTTTTGTGTTCTCTTTACTTAAAGGAAAAAATGTCCAAGGAATGCCAGTATCACGGCTGATTATTCCAGAACTAAGCACAAACACAATACCTGTAACTTCAAAGGGTTAAAGTCAAACAAACCCCGGCAGTCTCCTCTCAATTGTCTGATAAATATACCTCAAGTAACCTGTTTACTCGGAACAGTTATTACATATTCAGTAGTGAGTAACACGATTTAACATATTAAGCAAATTTACACAGAATGAGACGTTCCTGAACACCGTAAATGAAAAGCAAACTCCAAAATATTTGGAGTGCAAGAGATGCGTTTTATTGTATGCCCGTTACGATGAGTAACACATTTAGAAATCATAATCCCACATAACAGTGACACTCTTATTTTACAGCGTGTACATCAGTTTTTACAGCCACAGAAAACACGGATTTTTCTAAAGAGATTTCCCAAATTTAACTTTCTGAAGTTTAGAAATATAAAAAAAATTTATTCTCAAGGAACTGATTCTCATCTGGTGCAAAAAACCAAAATATGAACATTTCTGAAACACAAAGCCACAATATAGCATGAAGTTACAATTTATCATGTGAACAGCTGTGTGCAAACATGAAGCAACTAAAAAAGTAAAAAATACACATTATATGCATAACATTTATGAACAGGTTTTTCATTAAATAGCCCTAGACCAGCTTGTTATATTAAGCGCCATTTGATTTGCAGCATGCTAACACAAAGCATTGTTTAAAGGGATGCATATTTTAAATGTATACACTGTAAACTGAAGATCCACCTCCAAACTCTAGTGGCAGCGTATTTTTCTGGTTAAATACTGCATATATACTTTCTTACAGATTGAAAATGCATGTTTATAGTATGGTAGAGACTTCTGTAAAGGGCTGATTAAAAGGTGCAATTTCATGTCTATATGGAAGATTTCACATTAGGAGGTAGGACGACACTCGTCATACCAGTTAAGAACACTGCCCTAAAGAGCTTCTAAGTGCTCTGAATGTTAATTAACAAAATCTGACACTTTTCAAGTCTGTTTTCAATGGGTTTTTTTAGAGACGGTTTTAAAGTAGCGAGGAAAAGAATTGAGTGTTGGGTCACAACACTATGAGCTGCATCCGTTTTAGCCTTGAGGAAGAAAAAAGTCAAATCCAAAGTTAATTTTGTTCTATGTGCCATACTGAACAACATTCAACTGGAGATTCAGATAAAAAAGGGAAATTATATACATACACACCTTTAACCCTAGCACCAGAACACCACCTCTGAGACCATAACATAATGCTATATTTTAAACATCATATCCTGCAATGAAATAGGTTAGCAGCTTTGAAACCATTAAAAATTTCCTTGTTGGACCTAAACTAATACAGGAAACAAAAAAGTTTCCTAATGAAATGTCTTTTTTTAAAAGAACCCCCCCCCCCAGATTTGACCAGTTCTGGAATTTAATTCCTAGGCACGATTTAAAAACATCATGATCAAGTAACTGGCTAATACTCTCCTTTCAAAACTGCACAAGAAGTTAAGACGCAGTCGCCTTTGCAAACAGTTTGTAAATAACCCCACCATGTATCTGAACTGTGTTCATATTGGAGACAAACGCTGTTACTGACAAAATGGGTAACACAATCACCTTGCTTTTGTCTTCTATAGCTTAACGACGTGTAATACTATTAATTTAAAGACATTCATCCATCTTTCTGCAAATTTAAGACATTCATCCATCCTTCTGCATTCTATAGTGCTCTTTAGGTTCTGATAAGCAACAATCATAGGGCTATGAGATCCCCTGTCAACCCTAATACTTTTAAGACTTTTAATACAAAGAATGTAAAGTTATGATTTAATATCAAGCTTTGAAACCAGGAGAAACAGTTCATGAGATATTTTTTTTCCCCAATTAGCATATCACAGTTTCTAAATTGCTTCCTTCTGGAGATCATATTATGGCCTCTTTGTGGTGCCTCATTATATGCTGATTTTTTTCGGATGGTCTACGGAACCCCTTTTTGCAATACTCACACCTATGTGGATAGTCCTTTGTGTGTATTGATATTACGTGTCGTTTAAAGCCTGACGCATCCGTAGTGCTATATTCACAATACTGGCATTGATACACTTTTCTTCCACTGTGGGTCTTCATGTGCTTCTTAAGTTCGTTCTGCTGCCTAAATCCTCTTTTACATCTTTTGCATTTAAAAGGCAGGTCCTTGGTGTGAACTGAGAGGATATGCCCGCTAAGTACAAAAGGATCTGACGTTTTAAAGTCACAGTGTCTACACTGATGTATTTTTTTACCTTTATGGGTTTCACTATGCTTTTTGAGCTCAGATGGACGATGGAAGCCTTTTTCACATACCTCACATTTGTGGGGAAAATCCTTTGTGTGAACTGAAATAATGTGTCGCTTCAGATCACTCGAATTGGTGCTCTTATGGTCACAATGTGGACACTGGTGAGTCTTATGCCCTTGAAACAGTTCTGTGTGCTGCTGCAGTTCTTTTTCATCTGCAAAAGCCTGGGGACAGTGCTCACATTTAAACGGTAGATCAGTCCCGTGTTTGGTTTTGATGTGAGTTTTCAGGTTGGACTGATCAGCACACCTGAAGACACAGTGCTGACACTGGTATGGCTTTTCCCCAGTGTGGGTCCTCATATGCTTTTTCAGCTCCGACGGGTGACGGAATCCTTTCCCACATTCCACACACACATGAGGGAAGTTCTTACTATGAACTGCAAGTAGGTGTCTATTGAGTAGTCCCTGCTCTGCAGTTTCATAGTCACAATATTTGCACTTGTGTAGCTTGGGCTCCTTGTCCCTCAGTATGAGTTTGTTAGAACTCAATGGGCTTGCTTCTCTGTATCTTCTTGTATATTCTGTGAACTCATGCGTTTTATCAACTTTATTTATAAGTTTATGGCTTTCCAGATGATTGTGGAAACTTACTTTTTTGTTAGTCGTAAAGTCACAGTCTGTACACTGGTACTTCTTCTTAATCATATGATCTGGATGATTCTTCATGTGCCTTTTCAAGAATCCTCTGGATTTAAATTTTTTCCCACAAATATGACAAGGGTAAACTGTTAAGGGCTGTCCATCAGGACCTATTATAACAGCTGTTTTTAAACAAACAAAAACAAGTTATGAAGGAAACAAACTTACTGATTAAGAAGTTTTAAATCAGCCAACTGCTGCTCAGAGTCATGCACTTACACTCGCAGCGGACAGAGAATGGTTCAGTAGTTTAAAAACAACCAATCCACAGCACCTATAGTTTACGTAGCTTTGTTTTAGAAACTGCTCAAACAGACCAGCAGCATCATACATGCAGTGAATATATCCATGAGTAGGCTTTAATAGCTTGCAAAATTCAAATGAATTGCACCAGCCCTGAGTGTACTGACTTGGAACAGCAAAAATGATAACATTTTCTATTCGCAGAACTGGAGGGGGGAAGGACACAGGAAATACGCAAATCATCGTTTGTGCTTTTTAATTCTGCTTCAGCTTAAAAAAAACAGAAGAAAAGGAATAGTAATACAGGAGTAAGTGCCACTCCGTGACAATATGCATAACCATACAGTGTTTACCTGTTTGCCATTGCCTGGCCTCTCCTCTCCTCCTTTTCTTGGTTTTTTGTTTTAGCACTCTATTAGTGCTAATGCTATCACAAATCTGCAGGTATTGTGTTGCATTACCGTTTTTGTTTTCTAATCGTGTATCCAAGTTATTTCCTAGAAACAAAAATCAGACACCATAAAAAACCTTAAACAACCTTTTTCTTTGGGACTGGTGACTGGAATTGCACAGCAGCATATCTACTTTTCATAATGAACATACATAAGAGTGCCAATATAAAGCACTACCTATCTTTGCTGGCAAGAATCAAGAATGTCATTGTTTCAATACTGATTAATTTTCAAATCTATTCCTTGATTTCTCACACTTCTCAATGCATTAATTTCTTACAAGTTATGCTGTTTCCATTCAACTTGGGTTTTCTTCTTAACAACTGCATTATCTACATTATTAACTAAAAAACTCTAATACTGAACCTGGCAGATCCTCCCAATTTCCCCACCCACTCTGAAGGCCTACAACACATCTATAATTGTTTTCATTTCAAAATAGCAAAGAAAGACTTTGGAGCCCTTCAATATATACTTTATGGATAATTTTTTGCATTAACAGATTAGAAGAGCTGACCCATAAACATACATATTCTCAAAGACAGCGAGTTAGCTTTAATGCTGAACCAAGCAGTTACATGTTCTTACCTGCCGCTTGACCATCTTCGTATCTTCTGGGTAACCTTCTTTCATCTCCTGCAGAAAATGGTATTTTAGTCATTATAAATTAAAACTCTTTTTTTTAAATACAATGGTTTTGAAAGTCTGATAAAGAGAGAAAACTAACTCAGCTAACACGTAACTGCTTAAATGCATCCAAACGGAGATGTGAAGTTCATAGTGAGTTCAGTACTTTATAATTATGAGCCCCAGGAAATAAAATCATATCTTTCTGAATAGCTAATATCTACTGAAGCTGTGTTTGCATTTGACTGTCTTTCCTGCTTTTCAAATTAATATGTTTGTTTCTGCAAACTTTTAACCTCATATATAACCTTAGATACCAGTCCAGAAACAAGGTTATCTGAAATCCACTATTTGTTCTTGAGATGGAAGCACTTTATCTTTCTGGAGTATAACTAGGCAGATAAGAAGACTTGTACCTTATCAGCCACTCAGCACCTATCTACATGAGGCACTGCACAGTCTGGAGATGTAGAAGTAACACCTTAAGAGTATATTCCTCACTTTGGATTGAAAGTGGTTACTGCTATGTGCCAAGGATGTGTAGCTCTAAACCACTTTATCAGCCCAACTACTGTGCTTACAAATATCACACCAATGAATTTTAACTAATTTGCTTACATACACCATGGATGACCCCACACCCTCATAATGCACATCTAACATGCCAAAATCCAAGGAAAAAAAAAGGAAACAAAAGAATATTTAGAATTTGCAAGACATCCTGAGAAGATGCTTCTACTACCTGAAGGATGGCTAAAGAGAACAAACTGCCCTCTTAGCAAGACTAACAGGTTTAAAACAGTTATATAAACTGAAATTAGGAACTCTTCTATACACTTATTCCTCCTATTCCCTTTCTGAAGTTCCTTCCCCTTCCTCCCAGCTATGGTGAAATACTTAAGGCTGTTCTTAGTTTTTAAGATCTTCAACAGCCAACTTAACCATTAACCCCCATGCATTCTGTATATCTGAGCTGGAATCCAGAACAGTATAAAAATTCTCCTAACAGCTTTCCCTTCTACTCCATAAAGCTCAGCATACAGCAATTGATTCATTACATCCAAGACAATCAACTCCTCAGGCAATCTGTAACTGTTTGACAGATCAGCACTGGGAAAACACAATAGTTTTCTTCACACTGAACTGCAAAAAACCCAAGGACCTTGTGTGTAAAAGGTCATGAACGATGTCAAGATGAGTTTTCATATCAGTTCATCAACTCCACTAACTGACACTGCTAAAAGATCAGAAGGAGCTGTTTCCAAACCTTTAGGACAAGGTGAGAGATTATCACATTTGCACAGAGATTCTGGAGAGTAGACCAGGGAGGAAATAATGGAAGGGATTTTCAGAGAAAGCATACAGATTCCTACCGTAAGCAGCAGCCCAAGCAACAGGGACAAAGGTTTTATTCACGCTGGAGTCTTCGAGCTGCGTGTCTGGAAGTGGCGTGGCTTCTTCTTCACCTACAATGACTTCCATATAAACTTCATCTGCTATTTCAGCACAGCCTAGATTAAAGGAGAAGAATAAATCTTTAGCTTGATTCTGCTCATCCTAAATCTTCCTTCAGTGAATTTGCTCTACTTTGATTGGTACTAATTACAAATTACTTTTCTTCCTTTGGCATTTAGAATCACCACTTCCCTTAGCTGGCCACTGTTTACTCAGACATTCCTTAAAGAGAGAAAGCAGGTATCAATAAACACAAATCCAAACCAGATACCTACATAAATTCAAATATACAAACCTCAAACCTTGTAGCTGATGACATTTATTTACCACTTTGCCTGAAAGCTGATTAAACGGGGCAACTGACAGTAGGTAAGCAGAGAAATGAGAAATTTGACTGACCTCGTTAACTTCATCCATGGACATGCTAAATTTACTATTAACAGTGAAATGCTTGCATACAGTATGTGCAAAGTGCATTTATCCACATCACTTTAATTATAGCCTCTTTTTTATTTTTAGGGAAGATGAGCTTAGTTTTCTATCACTTCAGGCTGAAGAATCCTTCAGAAAAAATAAAGACATCCTTGGGAATGGTGTTTATAGTGTTGTACAAAACAGCATGAGAAACAAAAATGTTTCTTATTATGCTTACTAATATCTTCATCTTCCTGAGAAGAGTCCTTCACTGCCATGTAAACCATTTTTTCTCGCTGCATTCTACCAACACCTCCTTGTTCAATTACTCCAGCTACAGAATGTCCATTGTGAAAGTCGCTCTCTGTGACGATTTCTGTCCCACCTTTAATAAAAAGAAGTTGAACACATTAGGTACATGTGAACAAAGCCACTGTGCAGATTAATTTCAGATTTAAGTATGTTCTTCTTACGTACAACAACGCTATTTCATAAAACCCCAATTAAATGTTTTTACATCCATGTCTGCCACAAAATCATGCAAGTCTGGAATTTTGGAGCAGGTAAGGAAAAAAGGTCTTTCAGTGTGTCCTGATAAATTCAGGACTGAACAAGCTCTACCCAAGAAGGATCAAGAGCCTTTATGCCTCTAGCAGTGAACTGAGGCACAACTGGGAACACACATCTGCCCACACCCCCAAAAAATTGACTGAGTCTCATCTTGCTCCAAACACAATCTTTAAATTCTCTTGAGATGTGAGCAGCCAAATTCTTACACCTCTTTCTCTCCCAAAATCCCATTTATTCACTTTGAAAGAACTGATTCTTAGGTAATTTTCCCTCATCACATGGGACCAAGTAGCACTAGCTTCTTCTGGGGTCACACTTGTCAAACCATGAGAGAGTAAATGTCATTACCAATTACTTCAAGAATAAGAACATTATCTAGAGGGAAAGACTAGCAGGGATGTAAGGTGATGCACTGAATCCCTGGAGACAACACAATCCAAAAAGTAACAGTTGAAAGAAGGAAATGAGAACACGGCCCACACGGTCTCGCTCCATGTGACTAACAAGCTTTGGCTCACTGACTTGAACGGAGGCAAAAGAACGAGCTCCAACCTGGAATTTGATATCGATGCTTGAGTCACGAGAGAAGTGGCAGATAAATATTGATGCTTAAGTCTTCTGTGCATCTCAGGGGCTGAACAGATAATAAAGAAGTAGAGAAGCTGCACCTATCTGCAGAACAAGATAACAACTACACTAAGAGTTCTTGGTAGCTACTATGACTGGTCCTGATGGAAAATACTCAGCTAGGAAGACGAGTTCAAATTATATACATTGATCCTTCACTCCCTGTGTTTGTAAATAGCAGATTTTGCCAAACATCCTTCTTCCGACTAAATAAGCATCTCTCCCTCTGCAATCAACATGTGACATTTCAGTTTTCCCAAGCTAGATGAAAGCCGAGATAATATTAACAACACTGGGATGGATTATGTCTCTGTAGAATACAGTGTTTGGAGACTCTCATGCTTTTGAAGGCAATGGTGCTAAAAACAGACAGTTAAAGTAGCAGCTACTCCTATCAGTCATGCAACATAAGACAGATCCCAAGGAAGCAAAGGAAACACTTCATTATGACACTTTGGAACAGGTAGGGTAATTCTGAAGAATTACAAGAGAAATAATCTCCACTGCAAGATGCATATAGCCTGTGATGAAGTAGTCAAGAGCACGTCTTCAACAGCTGTCGCCACTGCACGGAGGGCAGGAAGCTGGGGGGCATATGAAAAGGTGAACTGCTTCTCAGAGAGAAAAAAACATAAAGGCGTCGTACAGCTAAGAATTTCCTGAAACAGCAGTTCAAGCCACTGGAAAAACTGCACCAGGATTGTTACTAACTGGAGTTTTCTGATATAATCTGTCATTCTGTCTCAAGTCCATGATTTTCATGGCATAGCCAGGCCAATGCTGCTGATCTATGGGAGATGAACTCCCTTCTCCACTCCAGGAATAACAGTCAGGCTGATCTGTTCTGTAAATGGCTCTGGGACTCCAGGCCGGGTATGTTCCAGTGCCTAAATGCAAAGGGTAAAGTGGAACAAGACAGAGGTTTGAGCTCTCGTGACTGTAAAGGAGACTCTGCTTTTAGAAGTTACGAAAAACAGAACATGGGTTAGCTGTACGGCTGCTTACAAAGCCCTTGAAGGGCTGGATCTTCCTTTGCAGGAGAACTGCAGAGCAATTCTGAGTTTCTTTGTTAGGTTTGGAAATGACTATGTCTCTACAGCCCCAGCAATCTTCCCCACCAAAGATTGTTCAATGACTGCAATCCACTCTAGAAGCTTTCCAGTGCTGACAGAGTCTTGCAAACACTAGAGAGAAGCAAGAGCTGAAAAACAGCCGCAGACAAACAGCCAGTTCTATATTTGGGCTTTGGTTGCCTGAAAATAAATACTACTAATTGAAAAAGAACTCAAGATTAATACAGTCCCAGTGTTTACCCCATATGGGCAGCCTCCATAAATGTCACCTTCTAAAAGACATTCCAGTCAGTAGGTTACATGAAATTAAGAACAAATGAAAATTCCCTGAAATACTCCACACTACTGGAAGAATACACAGAATTTAACAGGTACCTATTTCGACATCATCTTCAGCTTCAGCTTTAAATATGTAGACTTTGATGACTTCTGAACCAAACCCGTCATCCTTAGCAACATCATCATTTGCCACCTCAGTGCTGATTTTCAAGGGAGTGCTTCCTATATGGTCCAATTTTTCTCCAACATCATCCACTGGAAACATAAGAGAATAAAAATGAGGTTCAAACTTATTTTTTAAAAGTCAGAGTAACCACTAGCATGATTTTCTCCACTACCATCCCCATGCACAGTAAAGGTTTCTATTCATGAACAGCCTTTACAAAACAGTTAATCTCAAGATACTAAAAAGAGATTTCAGAAGTTCAATACTCATTTTATTGCAACTCAGGAAATACAGCAAGAATTACAGAATGAAGAACACAAGAGGGAGCTTGTCATCAAAGAGAATGTGGTAACTGGTTATTTCTGAAAATGTAACATTGAGAAAGCAAAAATGTATCAATAAGTAAAATTAAACACCTATCAAAAATGTTAAAAATTAACCCAGAATTGCCTGTTACAGTCCAAGTCCTCCAAAATTTCACTGCTCTAAAATTTAGTAACTGAAATATGAAGAGTGATGACTTGGAATATATTCCCAATGGAAGAAGTCTGAATTAAAAATCTGACATCTTCACTCTAAAAGGAATTATGATTCTATCCCCTTTACCATTTGAAAACATATAAATTAAAGATTAGTGTATAATACTCAGCTGATTAAAAGATGCAATGACAACAAATGCATATACTAATATGTGAAGCTGACTTCTCATTCTGTATGTATGCAACTTAGTCGCCCTGAGTTTTTGGTCTATATATTCAAAATGCTCATTTTATTTATACAACAAAAATTCATTCAAACTATTACAAGTGTAGAAGTAACACTATTTTGGTAAAAAGGGTATTCACATAGATATCCATACATATGTATGCCCCAAATTCCCAATATGGAGTCCACTGAACTAAGCATCTCTCTGACATATGTACTGTCAACGCACTTCTCTTGGTGGATTAAATTAGCTCCTATGCAGATGGTCAGCACAAACCTGTGCAACTCAACACCCACTGAAATCCTATAAATAGGGGAGAATTCCACAAAATATAAACAAAACCTGAAATAAATACATTCCAGGGAAACAGCAATTTACTGCACATATAACACTGAAATATGTGCAAACTAGGTTAAAGAAAATAAATCATTTGAATTGTTATCACGGTGACAATGTTTCCCAACCAAGAACACAGCCTACTCAATGAGGACGCTGCAGGCTCTGATAACCAAGGAAAGGATGCCTACAGTGCTTCCCAGTGCCCTCAGTGCAGTGGTGACTGCTCTTGAAGAGCTGCTCTTGACTACTTCAGGCTACAGCCTGGAGCCCTGCGGTAAACTGGAGTTAGTTTAAGCTTCTGTTAAAGAACCTGCTAGAAAAGGAGCAGATGCCCCTCCTGCAGCAGGGCAGGAATCCACCACAGCAATACCAAACTAAGCTCTTCCCACTCATGGAGAGGATTCCACAGAAACACCTGTCCAACACTATTTTTCATCCCCACACTGAGGAACCTTGTTTCTATTTCACATCTCTTGGACTGCACCAGAAGAGTACAGAAGTTATTGAGGACAGAACCAGATATAATAATAATGTAGATACAAATAAGTATTTGGTTCTATTTTAGAACCTCTGAAAATTCCATATTTTGATGAAAAATAGGTGGACAACTTTAAAAAATGCTACACTGTAGCAGTTTGGTTTTGTTAATAAGAGATTAATTACATTGCTGAAAAAACATTAAACTTGAATCAGTAGAAAAAAAATTTCCTCAAGAGAAGAGTTTGGGGTTTGGGTTTCTTTCTAAATATAAATTGATTCTGGCAATGTCAACACCTTCATCTGTTGGAAGGTGACATGTACTGCATGGCCTTCATGTCACCTTGCAGGACGAGAACACTAAGAATTACGAACACTACAGATAAGAAAGCCACACAGTGAACATGGCACATTCCTTTGATGCTTAAGTTGACCAGCATCAGGTTATCAGTACATCTTTATATCCAGCATGGGGGTGTTACTGCATCTGCTAACGGACATTTTTTATGCTGCCAGAAAGGAGTTATTAGAAGACAGGATCTTGTATCCTCTGCTAAAAGGAAAAGGGAAGATGCTAAAACCTACTTATCTTGGAAAAAGTATTTCTACATATTTACTATGTTTGAATTTATTGAAGACCATTTTCTCTTCTGCATGGTTTTTATAGAAGTTTCTTATCTATATTCTTTAAAGTGATACACATACACTTTGTTCTAGTACAGTGAACATTTCCACAGCACATGAGTCTCTGAAAGACTGCAGGTAACAAGGTAGGAGTGATACCATCAACAGCTGTATGACCAGACATGCTGCCAAAATGCAGAAAGAATATTTAAAGGCTGAGTGAAAGAAATCACCAATTGTAAGCTTTTACTGTAATTTTAGAATGGGTAGGTGGAAGTAAAGTTATTTTCAAATCTGCAATTCAAGCAACACCTATTTCTTCTAAACTCATACATTTTATAAACTTAACACATTATCAGTTTAACCTGGAAAGGAAACATTTCTGTACTGGAAGGTTATTTAACAATGGCAACTTCCTAACGAACAGCTGAGTAACCACATGTATGTGGTAATAAGTTTTCTTTATGGCAAAAATCTCCAACTATTTAACTACTATTCAGTGACAATGAGTGTACACCACTATATATCTGGTGAAAGAACATAAGGAAAGCCATGCAATTTTAGACAGTTGCCTTACCAGGACATCAAGCTGCAATGCAGCAAAAAACACAAAGAAAAAAGGAGGATTTTTTTCAATTTTACCATTTTATAAGAATATGCATATTCAGCCAAAAACATACAGTAAAATACATGAACAGAGCATGGATGCTCACAGGCTGTATTTTAATTAAAGCCCCAAATCTTCGGTATCCTTTAAAACCATAGGGAGCCGTGGTTACTTCCACACCACCAAGCACCCTGTGTGTTTTCAAAGGTCTTCAGTCTCTACAGCTTAAGCTAAAGTAATGGAAATGTATCAGGAAGCCTCTGTACCCAGGGCCTCTGGAATCACTTTTCTAAAAGAAAAAAATATCAAAAGTGTAATATAACAAAATCTGAAAAATACAAACTGGACTGAGAAAATGATACTGATACAGGCTGTCATTTGTAAGATGTTGCCTCTTGTTTCAAATACCTCAGCAACAAAAAGACATTGAATCGCCAATTGCTATTGCTTAAATTGCTGTCTTACACAAAGTACACTTCATGGATTCAATCTACTTCTTAAACACATTTAGGTAAGGGGAAAACAATAAACAGAGCAGGACACGTGTAATCTTTGTCAAGTTCCAAAATAGTAGGACTATTTAAAAAAACAGATGGTAAAATATTCTATTGTCAAAATAATACAACTTCAATCACAGACTGCTAACCCATCAGTGTTAAATTATCTGATGACTTTTCCCAGTGATAGTTCTCAGGAACAGGAATGCTTACTTTAGGTCAATGGCATATGAAAGTGTCTTCCAGATTTGACTCATCCGCCAGAAGCACTACATATTAATATCTCGTCACTTAAAATTAACTGAAAAAACACAACAGAGAACCTTCATAAATATATGCTGAATCCTCCTAAATAAACAAGGTTTAAAGGAAAACTCAGCACACTTCCAATTTTCAACTTACCTTACTTCGCTGTTTTCAGGTGTGTGATGTCCAGATTCACCGTGGATTGCCAGCTCCCAATTCATGTGATGCCTCAGCATGCACTATGCTGGTGATATCACACCCACCATAGGAGCCCGTAGGGATAACATGAGGGCAAGATAAGTCCCATGGTTTTACATTTTTAAATCGTTTTCTAATGTCTGATGTACTTATTTTATATCCCATAGGTTACAATATAGGAGTACTAATATAAAATGTTTAGCAACTTATGTAACACTGTATTGTAATATACTAAAAAGGAGGTGGTGGTGGAACAGTACCTTACCCCTAAAGGCCAGCTCCAGTGTTGTTCTTTGGTGGGTATGAGGTCACCAACATAGTGCATGCAGGGCCAGCACACGGATCGGGAGCTGGCAATCCGCTGTGGGTCTGAATATCGCAAACCTGAAAAACAAAAAAAGGGTATGCTTTAAGCTACATGTGTCCTAACTCCTCCCTGGCAAAGGGGGGTGCACTGCTCCTAATTTTCCCATCTCGGTGTGAGATGGGACTGGATTCACGATCCCCACATTTGCATTCAGAATTTCCTTTTTAAACAGGTATTCTGGATATTTTAAACAAGAGATCGTGCATATCCCATGGCATACGTTGGGAACGTATCAGAGAAATATTTAAGACTTAAATCACCTTCTAAAGCTGATTTTAAAAAGCTGAATTCGTCTGCACTGAGAGAGCAGAATGGTGACAATCTTCTAGTGTAAATTTCCTATTACAAAATCATATGCAGCTGATTTACACAACTGTCAAGAGACACTTCTTATCTTCCAAGGAGTATTTACACAAAAATATAATTACCAACAGTGTCTAAAATAACTACATGGCAATGTCTTAAAACGGTGATAAATCAGCTTTCAGTATATCTAAACTGTAACTCCCAACAAAAGAGTAAGGCCAGTTAAAATACCACACTCAGCTCAGCTTCACACCCTAAAATATTTGTGTTCCACAGAACAGCTGGTGGTATTCGCTAAGAATATTATCTGTCGGCTTATGTAAAACCACCCTTTCTAGATGCTAGATTTCATTAAAACACAGCTACTTATTTTGAGATTCTTATAAACTATCATTTTGATGTGGTTTACATTATAAAAAAGTTAAACAGTTCATATATATTTATATACACACCCCAAAAGAAATATGAAGGTAACTTTCTACAGTATCTACTGAACATCTGACAATTTAAAAATGTAAGTAAATAAGAGGTGTTTTAAACTGCTTGATAAACTAAGCATTTATCTATTCCACACGACAGATGATCTGCACGAACATAACCATTCAAGGCGAATTTAAAGACATTTAAAACCCAAACAAACTTCCCCCAACTGTGTAAGATTAATTTTTGCTGAGAACAAATAGCTAGCAGGGATTTTGTTCTGTCAAGCTGCCACTCCCAGCATAATACAGCCTCAAAACTTAGCAGAGGCAAGAGAATTCATCTTTATCAATGATCTGGATGAGTAGACTGAGTGCATCCTCAGCAAGTTTGCTGACACCAAGCTGGGTGGGAGGGTTGATTTGCCTGAGGACAGGAAGGCTCTGCAGAGGGATCTGGACAGGATGGATCAATGGGCTGTGGCCTATGGTACGAGGTTCAGCAAGGCAAAGTGCTGGGTCCTGCACTTAGGCCACAGCAACCCTGTGCAACATCACACGAGTGAGTGGCTGGAAACCTGCCTGGTGGAAAAGGGCCTGGGGGTGTTGGCTGAACCAGCTTGTGCCCATGTGGCCAAGAAGGCCATTGACATCCTGGCTTGTATCAGCACCAGTGTGGCCAGCAAAAATAGGGCAGAGCTTGTCCCCCTGTTCGACACTGGTGAGGCTGCACCTTGACTCCTGGACTCACTTTTTGGCCCCCCACTACGAGAGACATTGAGGTGCTGGAGTGGGCCCAGAGAAGGGCAACAAAGCTGGTGAATGGTTTGAAGAATAAGTCTGATGTAGAAAGACTGAGGGACCTGGAGTGTTTAGTCTGGAGAAAAGGAGGTCTGGGGGTACCTTCTATAACTACCTTAAAGGAGGCTGTACTGTTATGGGGGTTGGTCTCTTCTCCCAAGTAAAAAGGGACAGGATAAGAGGAAACGGCCTCAAGTTGTGCCATGGGAGGTTTAGACTGGATATAAGAAAATTGTCTTTACCAAAAGGGTTGTCAGACATTAGAACAGGCTGCCCAGCCAAGTGGTGGAGTCTTCATCTCTAGAGGTATTTAGAAGTGCAGATGTGGCCTTTACTGACACGGTTAAGTGGTGGACTTGGCAGCACTGGATTAACCGTTGGACTTGCTAAACGTAAAGGTCTTTTCCAACCTGAATGATTCTGTGATTCTATGACTGCCTCAATTTATCTAAAATGATTGCTTAAAATTCTCAACAGTGTAGCTTCCAACCATGAGTATTCAGGCATATCATGATGAGATACATATATATATACACATATAAACCTAATTTGCTGAAAACTAGGTCTCAAACTGGCTTTGAAACATTGCAAAAGCCATTGACAGGCTGGAGTACATGTGACAAAACTATGAATGTACCAGACACAGCTGGAGTTATCAGGTAACTGTTACTGAACATTTAAGATGCTCTTGTCTAAGTGCAGCGGTCACCATTATCAATCAAACTTATCTATCTTAGAAGGAATTCCAAAGATGACTTTACTTACAATTACAAAGGTGCAGTTGGAAATACCGCAGTTACAGAATACAACTCATCGTAAGTACTCTGTCAGAAAGGAGGAATTTTTTCAGTGAAACAACTGACTTTAAAAATGGTGTTGCTTCATTTACAAACACACAAGACTTTTTCTGTTGTAGGTATAATTTGCTTTTAGGTTGAGGGCTTTTTGGTTCTTTTTCAAAACAAGGCCCCATTTTTACTACTATTAGTGACATATGGCATTACAATAATGATGAAATGATAAAAAATATTTGCTGTCCATCCCATATTGAACAAAAAAGACCAAAAATGTATTTTGCATAAGGGACATAAATGATAAGAAATCTTGAGATCATTACAATCACCAATCAGTCATGTCCTCTGTCTTGAAAGTTGCATTAAATGCAGCTTGCTGTGAACAAGCTGACACTTTGACACACTTGGCATTGCCATTTTTTTAACGTTGCTTCTGACTAAATAAAGCCTGGTTTGACTTACTCACATTTCAATAACTCATTTGCAGAAGTCAAAAATCTAAAACTATCATACATTTTATCAAACTCATGTGACAATAAAACCTTTGTGTATAACTTAATCCCTGAAGAAATGTAAGACACCTAAGGTCCTTTCAGTAGATCTCACTCAATAAGTAGTATAAGACCATACAGTTTCCTCAGAGTTGAATGCTGCATGGAAAGTGAAATGAGTAGCTACTTTCCAGTGTTACAGAGCCAATCAATTAATACACACAACCCCTCAATGTCAAGTTCAGTCCAGAACACCACAACATACAATAAAATGCCCATTTTCATTTGTAATACAGCTAAACAAATATTTTGTGGGCACGTAAGAGAAAACTATGTGTCAAGTATCTTAAAAACTGACTTCTTTGTTGGAGCCTATTGATTAAACCCAACACATTATTTTTACAACAATCCATGTAACACAGTAATATACCTGTGTATTTACAAAAAAAAATCATATTATACTAAAAATAGGTGGAATGTTTAACTTTGCAATGTGTTTGTCTTAATTTTCAGGAATATCTAGTTTCAGAAACAGACATAACACACACATTCACTCAACAGCATGAATGTCATTCTTTTTCTTGATGTATAAATGATAATCATTTTTTTCATCATGAAACCCCAAATCCAGACACCAAGAATTAACTGGGTGACAGACTATTATTTGAGAGTCCCAGTACACAATGCAGCAAGAACCAGTTAAGAGGAACTTCTCCCCACAGACCACTTTCACTTCAGATAATCTCTTGTTCATATCTACCTCCGTTTAACTTACAAGATATCATTAAGTAGTCCTCAGATGTGCTCTTGCCATCATCATCGTCTTCTGTTTTTATAGTCACTGTGGAGCCAGGAACAGTACCAGCTGCTTGAATGACTGCTTCAGAATCTGAGTTCGTTACGAGAACTTCTTCTGAAACCATTGTCGGTGAGTTGGCTCCTGACACAGAGTCTTGCACCACATGCTCCAAATGTCCATCAGGACCCGTTACAAGATCAGCCACAAAAACCTGATCGGGAACTCTAACAGTTTCTGTTATTAGATCAGAAGTCAAAACATGATCACTGGTATCTAAAGCTTCTTCAATAGCAACATCAGCTTCCAAAACAGAATCGGGAACAATTACACCTTCTGTTACAACATCAGTTTCAGTGATGATGTCAGGTCCTTGGACAACTTCAGCTGCTAAGCCATGATCAAGAGTTATTCCATCATCGGTAACAACATCAGACACCAGGACAGCTTCAGGAACTGATACAACAATATGGTCTCCATCAATATGAGCAGTGCCAGCCATTCCAGCCACTATGAAACAATCATGAGCGAGGAGAAAAATGTTAATATTATTGCATTAGCTATTAGTTTATCTGTGGAACAACTGTATAGAGAAGTTAACCACAGATGTACAAATCTGTTACTTTTCAACAAATCACAATTTGCATTTCACCTGATAAATTTTATCCAAAGCAGCCTGTATTCTTTAAATTAAGAAAAACGAAACATGCACTTCTTTAAGCCATTATGTGTCCCAAATTTAGGTTTTACAATGCTGATATGTTAAAAATGACAGGCCAGCTGGCAACTGCATCTTTTATTTTTTTTTAACCCCAGTTAGAAAATATTTGATTACAGTAGTAACTTGCACCTTCACAGAATTCTTGCATGACATGGGAAGTGTGGTGACAATACATTAATTGCTGTTACAGCACAAGGACCCCCATCCTTTAGACTGCATGGGCCTTGACAGAAAAATACTCAGCTGTATGCAATACCTGTAGTACAGTTTCCAGCAACTTGACACATTGCAAGAAATGGCTCTAAGAAGAAACCTGTTTTTCATTAACAGACTTGACTAGCCAGTCACATTTACACACTACTTCTCTATACATAAAAAAGAATGCAGTGAAATATTTTAACACACACATAAACAGAAGTTTCAATCTTAATGAATAAAACATGCAAGAAAATGGTTCTGATCAGAATGAAAAAAACTTATTCAGCATTGTACTGCAAATGGAGTTATATTGGTACACTGAGGGATGTTAATTCACGTTAGAACAAATACGCGGTCCCTCCCAATACTTGAGGACTGTCATCTCTTGTCATAATGCAGAAATGGAGGTCCACAAAAGAGTGGAGATTTCTTGGTGTCCTTTTTCTAAACCTTCAGAATTGATGAGGTTATTCAGCACTGCTTAATTAGGAAAATAATTTAGAATCAAGTTTTCTTACATCAGCACAGTCCCAGGACTGATGTTCTTTACAGAAGACTTCTAAGCACATGTGAAATGCAGATTTAGCTAAATTCGTAAACTGTTATCTACATAATGTTATCTGTTCTCACACAGACAGACATTATTACCCACCATTTACTGAAATACCCTAAAGGAGACACTGACCGACGCATGCACACAGAAGCTTGAATGCTGGTTACATCCTGTACTGGATGGTATTTACCTCTCCTGTATGTTGGAGATGTAACAACTAGTCAAGGTGATTTCACGATTTCAAGCAGAAGCACACATCCCACAAAACTAGTGAGCTCCAAATAACATTTTATGTCTCATCTAGAGCACTTTGGGCCTCAGACTTAACTTCCTTTCCCCTCCTCCACAGAATTACTTCAGTGTTTTGGAATAAGTGACTATTTCAAGACCAGCAACCGAAGTCTACAACGACATAGTATACGCCACTTACATCTTTTACTGTCTGAAAAACTCATGCAAATAGCAATACCATTAGTCAGCTCTACATCTTGATATTTATAAACATTTAGCAAACTCCTGAAAAAACAGTCTTGATTTTATTAATTATTTTTTAATAGTAAAAATGCTTACCGAAATCCTGCATAATCATAGTGTGAGGCATTTTGGATTCTTGTGTTTGCAATCCAAGACTTCCACCACCTGGATCCATAGTCAGCCGAGTTCATTCACAGACAACTGCAACAACAGCGAAACAGATTTTACATTAAACAATGTTATATTGTGTTCATTAGCTTTACTGGATTAACATGTCCCCCTGACAAACAGAAAGCAGCATTTATCAAAGGCTTAAAGAAAAAAGCATGTAGTACTTGGTACAATTCACTTTCATTTATTCTTTTGTTTTATATTTTTGAGCTAAAATCCTGAAAATGTTTCCATTCATAAGCAGTCCTACAGTAATAAAAAAGAATTACATGTGATTGAAACCAAACAAGTCAGTAATTCTTGGTCAGGACTTAAAAGTTGTTTTTTTTATACAAGTCTTTGGCTACTGCCTGGCCTAGAACAGTTGTGTTCATATTCTGTAGAATTTAAGTGGAAAGTGCTCCTAGTTACCCTTCAGCATGCAGAGGTACATGTTTCAACATCCTTTGTTTCTAGGAGCAGTAAACACAAGAAATGCCTAAGTTGTCAATTTCCCCACTGCAAAGTGAACATCTAGACATGTTTCCAGTTTTCTGAGACTGGAATCACCATAGCTTGGTAACTGACAGCAAAGATCTCACCTGCAACACCAACAGTAGGGTCAGGACAGGAACAAAATATAACACATTAGTAAAAATGAACCTTGTCACAGGTAACTTAGTATCTAAAAGCAGAAACTTTGTCAAGAAGTGAGTTAACTTTGCCTTAAACTGTATCTTGCTACAGAAGCAATACAAGTCAAAAGATCAGTGGTGTGTATACGCTCTTAACTAGGTACATGCCTTACTGTAATAACATGTATTAGCAACAGTGCACAAAGAAGACACTTCTGCTCTAGCCCTGTCTCTATATACTCTAACTAATTACCAAGACTGGTGGTTACAGTGTGTGGGGCTACACCAAAGGAAGTGGAGCACCATATTGAGAGCTATCATTTTTTTTTCCTAGTCTTTCACAATTTTGTATCTATCAGATATTTCAAAACAAATTCTAATATGTACATTTAACTGGATGTTATGTTTAATTACAGGTAATTATAAGTTTCAAAAACCTGCATCATGGACTACATTTCTGTGAACAAAATGCCCAAGCTCATTTCCCTTCCAGCGGCTGCATATGAACCCCCCTACTGCATGAAGAGTCTGACAGAAGGCCCAATAGAAAATTTAATCAGCCCTCAGTTAGATTTGCATGCACACTGCAGAACTACCCATTACAACACCCAACAGATAAGCACAAGAGAGGCCAACTCATTTCAATGTCTCCACTGCCGTGATCCTCACTGAAGAAACGACAGTGCTCAACAGACTTCAGGGCTGACACCTCTGTTCACCATTCCAGTGTCAGGACTGCATTATCCATATTGGTTGACATTTCATTTCAAAACTGTCAGGTTTTTCTAGAAATCTTATCTTCCAACACTGTCCCTTCTGTGCTGCCTCATTTCTGCTGCCAGGGAAAGCTGGTCCTATGCAGCTATCTGCAATATCCCTCTAATAGGAAACTGAGCTTTAAAAGCTACTGATAGAAAAAACCCACCAACTCTTGGTAAACTCCCCAGTTACCCTTTCACTGTTACACCTTCATCTTTCTTTTGTTTTTGACAACTGCTTTGCTGCTTTGACTCTTCTAATGCCCCTTAATGCTTTAGGGGCTTCTGTTTTCAGATTTCTCTTTTGTCAGACCTGCCTATTTTCTGCTATCATTTAAAATTACACCAGCTCCTCAAACCTTGCCACACAGCTATGTCAGCTTTACTCCGAGTTTTACTTCCAAGATTCTCACAGTCATTGAAATGCAATTCCAATTATTCCAATATCTAAGAATTTTCACACATGGAGAGTAAACGTTGAGCTTCTTACTGAACTCAATTTTACCAAGATCTCAATTTCTGGTATCACCTACCTTGAGGGTGCTGCATCTCTTCTGTAAGGTAGAGATACACAAACTTGCTTTCAGAGAAAGAGAAAGCATGTAACAGTTCTTTGACAGAGTGTTTCCATAAAACAGAGAAGGACAAAATAGCATTCCTCCATGTTATCTGCATTGCTACTAAATTAAAGTGTGTTAAAGTGTGGGGATTCCAAATTATTTGCAACTTGCTGCAACCCAGAAGACTTGTACACAATTTCTCAGTGGAGATGAAATCACTGCATAGAAGCAGCTACAGGAGCACGCAGAAGAAATCTCTAGCTTAAAAAAAATCTCTGTTGCACAAGACTAGAATCTACTTTTCTGCTCTCCCATATCCAAGAGCCAGAAATAAATGAAAGTATTACACACAAAATGAAGGTTTAGGAGTTGTAGGAAGTGAACACAGAATAAGAGCTCAAGTAAGAACCAGCTGGTGGGGATATGAACAGGGAAGTACAAATGCTTCTAAGAGCAAGCCCCCAAAATAGGGTACTTTCACTGCTGTAGCACCAACCTTGATTTTGCTCTTCTGAAACTCATAAAAATTTGACCCCTATCCTATTGCAAGAATGTCTTTAAGTCTGTGCATCTAAATCCAAAATACACTAGAAACTTCAAGTACTTTGTGGTGGTACTATTTGACAACCCTGCTGCAATGAAATATATCACAACAGACTTAAGCACTAACATAGTCAAGCAAGGTGAGTAACAGAATAAGCCAAGCTGTAATAAATGGCGTTAAGTGCCTGAAGTCTCTGAGACACTTTCAGGCTAGAACCAAATGACCCAGAGAGCCAGGACTTAATGCAACTCACACTATCGCGCTAATCCAGAAGTAAACCACACTGCAGTGGACATGACATTAATTTCTCTTAAACATGAAGCTCTATCAGTTACAGGCACAAGAGTCCACAGTAAAAGACCTAAAAAGTGAAGGGAGTCAATTACTACATTTATGGCAACACTTGTGGCTCACCAGAACTGACAGCGCTGGATCCTTGGCACCAAACCAAGTTGCCATTGTGAGGGAGATGCTGGCACTCTGTCAGTGCCTAGGGTCACGCTGCAAAGGGCTGACCCACAGAATCAGGTGGTCTCTACTGCGTCAGTCCAGCACCAGTCTGTGCATGGAAACAGAAGCTCCAGATGTTGTTCAAGCCAGGCAGAAGGCCACCAAGGTGAGATGATGTGAAAAGTCAACTGTAGTGCTACACTGCTTTACCTCCTTTAGCATGACTGTGTTAAATGCCTTCGCTCCAGCAGGTGATGCAGAATTCCTATTCTGTGCAGGCCACGCCACAAATGCAGGGTGTGTACAACTCTGTCTTTGGGGTTTTTTTATGTGGAAAAAATACAAAACAGGGTAACAAATAATCTTAAAGGTGAGAAATGTGGAAAACACACTCCATGCTTACTGCATCTTCATTGTCAAGGAAGGAACTGAGCAGATCATTCCTTCTTTTATACTCTTCAAATCCTCAAGCGAAGGAAGCAGAAGTGGTCCACAATGATGGTAATTTCAAGAAAAAGTCACGGATCCACCCCAAGGAGGTTTCAACTTAACTGAGAATACAAAAGAACCAAAGAACTTGTATCACCTACTGTCACTATCATCCTTTCCACATTGTCTCCATATAACATTTGATCAAACCTACTTCTCTCAAATAGTTACATCAGCAATACTAACTCCTGGGGACAATGACAACACTCTTCTTGCAAAGCCACAGGAATTCCCCAAAATAATTTCTCAATAGTGCCATAACAGAGTAAGTTAGGTCCATAGACCAGCCAGTACTATAAAAACACAAGTCAAATATTATCCATGAGGAAAATAGTCTAGGATTTAACTAACCCAATTCCACCCAGACAATCAAATTTCAATGTAGTTTTAGGTTTTGGCTAAAAATCAAATTATTTCACATTTGCAAGAATTACAGAGCAGTTCTAGAACCTTCATGCAGTGCTCCAGCACTCCTCAATTACAGACACAGCCATCTGAAACTCTTAGGGTAGCTAACAAATACTTGCCGTTACAAAATAATACACAGCTCTGGACCATGAATGCTAATTTAATATAGCAATTTCAGAACTAATGCAATCCTTAACAATTTCCAGCCTTCATACTCAGGTATTCCTTCTTTTTTTAAATGTAAATGGTTATGAAAAATTATCTTAAATTACATCAATCTTGGATTACAGGAGAACATGCTGGGCTTTCCTTTCTTCTCAATAAGCAGTCTAATTTGTTTTCAGGTTATACAATTAGATGCCCAAACCTATTATGTATTATTCTACACAGAAAATTCAATGCAAAGTAAGACTACTATTTTAACTTAAATTAGAATTTCTGCAAGGAAAGCAAATTATCACTAAAAGGAGTATTCTCCTAGTAGCTAACAGAGCTATAAAGTACAGCTATGGGATGGCACCTTCTGTGCATGTAGTACTATGAATACCTCAAACTTCCACTAAAACCAGAGATGGGTGATGACACACTAGCAAAGAACATGCTGAAGCTGTACCTCAGCTGATGCAGCTGGTATCCAACCCTCACTTAATCATACTCTTCTAAACCCTCAATGCAGACAAAGGACAGAGTTGCATTAACTACACAATCACCAATTTCTTTTTCAGATCTACTTTTGGGTCTTAAAGGAATGCATGGACAGCAAGAACCCCCCTTGCTGCTAATGCTGTAACAATTAACATCAGGTTATGCCCACGGTTCTCCTACAATTGGTTGTTTCTGCTCACAGATTTCAGCAGTGCAGATGATTCAGTTTCACACAATATATGCATGCAAATCCTATTACTGGAAACAGCAAAAAATGTAGTACAGTGATTAACTGTAGTTCTACACCATGTTATATACCCACACAATAGAATAAATGATTTTTCATCTTTTAAAAAGGACTGAGAAATAAGGCAGAAAGCCAAAATTTGGTATACAGTCAAAAGCCAAAACTTACCCATACCTCTTGCCTCTAACTACCAAGATCTCAAGGTTTTTTCCTCTATATTCTCCTTCTTCTTTGTGTATTTAAAGAAAATACCACAAAAATGCTCTACCAGCATCATTCACTAAAATAATACAATTTTACAACATTCTATTTTTATTATTTTTTTAAATTACAGCCTGCTATTTCATACCAGGAAGAAGCATATCACCATGAGATCCCAAAATGAAGAATTTCACGAATCAGTTACTAAACTGAGACTCCAGGGTAGCATCTCAAGCCTAAATTTTTAAAGTATGTATGTATCTGAGAATGGTTTCCTTTTCCTGAAAACCACAGCTCTCGAACTAGCTTCAGTTAGAAGCTATTCTGGTTCTTTATGCCAAAGCTCTTCCTTAAACAAGGCTCAGCTGAGACCAAGCAGTGAATTTTAGGGTAAAAAAGGGGGATATATAACCTCTTTGTCTCTGGGCAGGAACACTACTGTAAATTACTACTGTAAATGGTGTTTAAAATTTAAAATCAAAGGTAACATTTGGCAGTTTGGCATTACCTAAAAATACGTAACAGCAAAACTCAGCTTAGAAACTTGTAAAGGCCCAGGCCCTTATAACACTGCTCTTGGTATACACAGTGATTTATTCTTAAGTTTACTCTTCCCATAAAAATATCATAAAATAACCGTTCCTCTTTTAATTTTCTTTAAGAAAGCTTTCAAAAAGCACCCTAAATTGAGAAATCTTTATCCAAGCATTTTAAGGAGGGGAAAAAACAACACCTCAGCACTCCCAGGTTAAAAAGAAAAGGGTGTCGTTCCTGTACCCAGGGGTACAGTGGAGCGCCCAGTCACAATGCTGGCTTACAGGCACTGTTGGCATACTTTACATTTTTATAATATAACAAATATTTATACAAAATGCCAATTACAATTTAATAAATTTACACAAGAGTATGTACTTAATACAGTGTTTTACATCTCCTAAACAGTGTGACATCTTAAACATCCTTTTTTAAATCTCCCAACCCTGCAAATGCCAAGCATCTCCCCAGTTCACACATATAATTATTCCAGTATGTGCAGGGGATGCATTTGCACATCAAGCACATTTGCACGGTCAGCCCTTAAGCACTCCTTTAAAATAATGGGGTTTTTTCTAAATAATTATGTCCTGCTTACATATAATAAAGGAAAACACACCAGAATTTGTCTGCTGTTTCAAATATTTGTAAGCTGCTTATGACATTTTAATTAAACCAAAAGGACCTCGCTCAGATACAGTGATGCGACACAATAAACTTAGATGTAGCTGAAAAATCCAAACCAGTTGTTCTCTAATTCTCTTATATTCAAGTTCAAGAAGAATACAAAAGAATTATCCTCCCCTGAAGACACTTGAGGATTTTGGGGTTTCACCCCCAATTTTTAACACAGCAACCAACAGAAATGCAACGACAAACATCCTGCTTATGCAGAAATCTTCAGCAGAAGAACCCAACTGATGTAATAACGTGCAGGTTACCATAAGCCCTTCACAAAAAAAAAGACTGGGTATGAAAAACTAACATCTCCATTTTAAAGTCCTTTATTGTGTTCGCCTGTAAAGCATCCATGAAAACTTAGCACTCCAAATCCATTTAAAACGACAAAAGCAAAACCAGTGCACGAGATTGTGCCTTACTGCCCGAAAATGCGCTTAAGGCTCTTAAATAAATTAATAAAATAGAATTTACATCTACGTGTTACATCCACAGCCGTAACGGAACTTCCCATAATAGCGACCACGGGAAGAGAAGGGCGGCCGCCGCATGAAGCACCGCGCAGGGGCTGCCCGCGGCTCCAACGCCTGGACTCGCTATCCCGCCACTCCACCGGAGACGGCGGGGACGGCACCGCGCTGGGGCTGCGCGGCTGCGGAGGAGCGCGGAGCGGAGCACAGCGCAGAGCAGCAGAGCACAGCGCAGCGCAAGGCGCGTGCTCGCGGAGCGGGCGCGTCACCGGGCGGCGGGAGCGCGGCAGCGGGGCGGGCGGGTGAGCCCGCGGTGCCGGCCGGGCATCCCCGGTGCGGAACCTCCGCGCCCGCGAAATGATAGGCGGCCGGCAGCGGACCCAGGCACCCCGTCCCCGCCTGGAAGCGCCCCTCCGCGCCGCAGGGAAGCGGGAGCGGTGCCGCCGCGCCAGGGACAGGCGGCGGAGAAAGGGGTGGGAACGCGGAGACAAAGGAGCCCGCTGAGGGCGCAGGGCGGCGGCGCGCCCGCTGCTGGGAAGGGACCGCCGCCCCCCGCGGCCTCCCGTCGTTGCGGCGACCCCGTCCGTGACGCCGCCGCGCTGCTGCTGCTGTCCCGAGGCCCCAGATCCCCGCCCCGCCGCCCGCGGGCTCGGGCGGCACAGGAGCAAGGTGTCCCGCGGCGGGCCGGGAGGCGGGGATAACCCCTGTCCCGGCGGCGCGACGGCCCGCGGGGCCGCAGCCTTCCCCGCCCCGCCGGCCGACATCTTGTTTTCCGCCATTTTCTGGCCGCCCGCAGAGGCCCCTCACCCGCAGGGGTAGCTGGCGACGCCCGCACCATCCCGCCCCCCGCGGCAGCAACCGACGGCGGCCGAGGCTCACCGACCCAACCACCGGGCGGCCGCGACCGGGCCTGTCGGTGTCCGCGGTGGCGCCGGCAGGGCCCGGGCGCGGCCTGCGGCGCGGCCTAGCCGCCTCCATTGTGCCCACCCCCCGCCGGCCCGGCTCTGCCGCCTCGGCTCACCTGTGCGGGTCCCCGCGCCGGGCGGCCGCGCCGCGGGACGGGGCCCGGGGCGGGGGAAGGGCCGGGCCGCAGGACTCCGCCGCGCGGCGGCGGCCGGGCCTTGCTGTGCGCCGGGGCCGGGCCTGCACCAATCACAGCCTGGGCCGCGAGCGCGCGCGGCCTGCTCCCCTCCCCCCGCCGCCCGCTCGCCGCCGGCCCCGCCGCGGCCGCCGCACGTCACCGCGCGCCCCGCGCGCCGAGCAGGCGCACCCGCCGCGCGAGGCCGCTGCCCTTCAGCCTGTGCGCGGCGGGGAGCGCGCGGCGCGCTCTCGGCGGGGCGCGGGGCTCTGCCACGGGCACGGCAGCTCCCGCCAGGGGCGGTGCCCGCTGTCACCGTGCCCGCGGCTCCTGCCCCGGGGCAGCGATGGGCATCGGAAGCCGGCGCGGCCCGCCCGCACCGCGGTGCAGGGCACGGGACCGGAGCCAGCACCGCATCACCACCGCAACGGCCGGCGGGCGGTGAGAGGCACACAGCTGGGGAACGGGCTGGGTTGGAAGGGACCTAGAGCTCAGCCAGTTCCACGGGCAGGGACACCTTCCACTAGAGCAGATTGCTCCGAGCCCTGTCCAACCTGGCCTTGAGCACTGCCAAGGATGGGGGGGCCACAGCTTCTCTGGGCACCCTCACAGGGAAGAACTTAACGCTCATCTCAATCTGCCCTCTGGCAGGTTAAAGCCGTTCCCCCCTCCCCGTCCTGTCCCTGCCTTTAACTTCCTTCGAACAGAGATCAGCGACTGCTTTGGATGCGTTTTGCAAGTATCTTTAAGGCGTTTAACGTCCCTGAGTAGCAATCCTTTCACGCAGAATATCCAATCTGCTCCTTAGCTGGCCCATTGCAGACAGATCCTGTTATATTTACATGCTGGGTGCTGCAAAGGTGACGTTAGATCTCAGTATGCCCACAGTAGGGCTCATTACTTTATGCAAATCTGCAAAAAACTGGCAAATGAGAACTTTCCAGCCACAGAGCTCTAAAAAAAAGGCATCAGGTACTGCAGGGATTTGGTTTTATTTTTGAGCATGGACACATGCAAATACGATTAATTGCTTTTCTAGGACCAGAGCCTTAGCACTTTAAGCACCACTGTCGTTTAAGTGGCTCCACCACCAAGGTCCAGGCTTACATGTCCCACAAGCCTAGCCTTCTTCCACACAAGCTGTTCCAGTGTATGGGGTGGGAATTCCAGTCACCAGCCCTTTTTTACCCCATCAGGAATACTTCAGGAGATTGCCTGGAGCATGACCTCCTCTCTGAAAAGCATTAGGTAACAGCTGAGAGCTCCATACAGAGTAATTGCACTCCACTGATTTTATTATTACTTTTACTTTGTTAACTTAGGTGCTTCCATTTTTTAGCAGTCATCACTCAAGACTGAGCATTTCAGAACAAGGGCTTCATTTTCATCTGTAGGAGCAGAGGGCTACAGTTACTGTTACATGAACAGTAAGTTCATGTATTAAATAGTAGTACTTTGCAGCTAACCCATAGAAAGGGGAAGAAAACAGTGTTTTTTCTAAATGTATGGTTTCCACACTGTGGTTAGTAAACACTGAAAGCAAGAACGACGGAACATGCTCTGTTCTCTTGGAAATCACCCTGGCCCCGCTCACAAAATGCAAGTGAGAGGCGACAGCATCTGGTGATTCTCTGTATTGTCATTTATTGGTGAAGATGAAACTGTGATTCACATCCATAACACTGCGACAGAATGACCATCATGGGGACTCTCTGATAGTAAAAATGAACTTCAGAATGGATTAAAAGATCTTTGCCTTTAATTATTCTGAGCTGGTTTTCTTATGGCTGCTAGAGAGACACTCTGCCTTAGGACTCAAACTGCATAGGCTGTTCTGATAAACCTGCAGAATTAAGGCACTTCTACCAAAACAGATTTCAAAAGGCAACAAGTCAGAAAACAACAAGTAATTTGCATATGCCTATATATTAAGTTTTAAAATAACCTGGTTTGTATTTAGTTCACACAAACAAATTAAGAAAATATAGCAGCATACAACCTATGAAAAGCTTAAGAAATTTATTAGATGCACAGATAAAGTGCTGTAACAGAGAAACTTGTGTAAATCTTTTTTATAATAAATAAGGTACAGTTAAACCACCTTTGACTCATTTTAGCTCCAAAAGAAAAGTCAGCCTAAGTTTTAATGATTTGAGTTTTAAGGTCAAGGTGAAATATATCATAACTCTAACAGTGGTTGTGATCGATATCATATATTTGAGGCTCCTGTTCCTCTTGAGGTTTCCCAGAAACAGGAAGGCTATTGCAAAACATATACGTTAGACATAGTTCCTTTCACAGAAACATTTTTGTAATAAAGTGTGGTTGCTCAAATACATGTTAAAATATTTAACAAGGAAACGGTTTTCTTCTGATCCAGTCGATCTTTTAAACAAGACAATATTTCCCAACAATGCAGCCCACAGGAGGGGACGGAAGGAAACATCCTCCTTAACTGGAGACTGTTTTGCTTTAAGAACTATATTGCATTATACGAGAGCAAGAAACACCCATTTTGTGTTATTCCTTTCTCCAGACACACAGCCCACAGACTTATTTTTACCTTAATCTCAACAGTCTGTCTTCAGAAAAGACACACATTAAAAAGAAGTTCCCTTTAAGGCTCTTACTATGAGATCTTCTACTGCTTTTCCATCTGGGGAAGCTCTCTGACAGAAGGAACTGTCGCTGTTGGAGTTTTGGACACTACCACGTTTTTGTGCTCTGTTTTCTGTCATTTCAGGCACTTTGGGGCTAACATGGCTGTTTGATTTACGTCAATGCAATAATATTAGCAATACGTTCAATACTCAGAAGGGTCACCACAGTTTCCTTCATACACTCAGGATTTCAAATTCTTCTTCCAATTCAAATAGCTTGTCAGTAGATTCAATGAGTTCTGGAAAACATACAAAAAATTAAACAACTTAGAATCTAAAGACATGCCTAATTTTGTTTACTAAAAAAACCCCAAAAACCCCACTCACCCCAAAACCCAAAACAGACAAAAACCCGAGCAAACATAAAAACTCCACCAAAACCCCCTTTTCCAATATCTGTCCTTCAAAGTATTTTGCAATATTAAGAAAATATGCATATATATCTCTGTGCTAGCAATTGTATGTGGCCTGACTGGATACAGATCTGATATTCTGTAAACATAAGGCATTTCATCATGTGGTGAATACTTTGCCCCTAGGAAAGTGCAGTTGCTGCTCCTGTGCTGACTGCTCTCTTTGCCAAGGAGGAAGGCTCTGCCACACTGCTTTCAGTCAGTACTGCACCTGCTCCTGTGGTCGTCACCTCCGGCTTGCTTGGTGGCACAAAAGGAGGCCAGTGTGGTGGATGCTTCTGGACCAGCTCGAACATCCGTAGACTCTGTTGCTTTAGAATCTCCTGAGGATAGAATACTTTCATTATAAAGATGCCTCAAGAGAACCTTCATACACAGAAATGTCTGATTAAAAACATTTGTAACTATTATGTCTCTCAAAATCCAAAGGCTTCATGAAGACATTCAGAGAAAAACAAGCATATCTCATTACAAATCACTGCTTCTCAGATCTCTGGAACATTTTCCTAGCTGAAAACACACCTAGAAGACAGATAATCTGCCCTACAAGTTATCAGTGTGTTCTGATGAGCTCTGGTATCCATACACCTACAATTTTGTTTACATGTAGCAAACAGACACCAAAAGCAAGCAGTATTTTCTGCCTTTTAAAAGAAAATGACTTGCATGGATCAATCAGTGTTCAAGCTTTCTGTTGATCGATGGGAACAAAAGACAAATCTATCAAAAAACACCCCAATAGATTTTGAAAGACAAGTTCTGATCAGGAGAAACAAGTTAATTAAGCCAAATTTCACTCCTCTTCAATCAGGTAAGCTATATCATATCCTGTATTTCAGTTATTCACAAACTGCTTTCATTAGCCTTTTTTTTTTATATCAATAAATGCCTTTCGAGGCTGGTGTTACATTCATACTTCTGCTGTTCAGCATACCGAGTGCAGAAATGTCCCGTCCTGGGGCAGCAAGTGCCTTTTGTGTCCCACAGCTCAGCAGGAGCTGGAGGAATGCAGCACTTAACAGAGTCAGCCCTGCTGTGGTACCACGGACTAAGTCATAACTAGAATGTGTAATAAAATGCTGTGTTAAACAATAAAGAAGGACCAGGAAACAAACAAAGAAACTACTTCAGCTTGGCAGCTGATACTTAGTTTGATCATCTATTGCTCAGTTAGTGACTAAGTTTCAGACGGTAACACAGTAGAGTGAAAAAAAAAAAAGACTAACTTTTTAAGGGTATATAGTTACACTTGTTTTTCTAGTGGCAGGGTTGATGGTTGTCAGAATGTTGAGCAAGCTCTGATCAGTACTTCAGTAGTACTGGCTTGCGCTGATACAGTAATGCATCCTTCTCTGGCTCATTTACTTTGCACACAGGGAAAGATGCAATGGGAATTTCCATTAAAACATTGCAAGTTATTTTGTACAGAGGAACCCAAGAGAGTATTACCTTTTGTACAAGACTACACCAGTTATCAAAATCACATTCTTCTTTGCAAAAGAAGCCCTAAGGAAAAAATACATACAGTAGTGGGTATCAAATAATAACAGTATGGCAATGAGCAAAGGATGCTGTGGTATCTTTCTGCCTTGTATAAAGCTTTAGAAACATATGTTTCAAATGACAACCACCCTCCACCCAACCAAAGGACATGAGCATGGGACCAGATTTAATTCCTGCAACTACCATAGCGTTCTTGTGATGTATGCTGGATGACTTCTACAAATTAATTCCATTTAAAGATTTGTAAATGATATAAAATAAATTAAGCTTAAGTAAGTAACTTGCCCAGAATGACCATATATATATGGTAGTGATGGAATAAAATAAAGAAACCTGATTCAGTTCCTTACCTTGACCTTCAAAATACTTTTTGCAAACAGTAAATGCTGCTCATCAAAGAAGGTTAATTAGCTCCCTGGATATAAAACAGTCAATTCCCTGCTTGACCTGAGATTAATGCATCCTAGGCAGTTAATATATAAACTACCATGTGCTGATTTTTAGAACATAGAATACTGCCCTGTGATTCTGATTCTGCTCAAGGAAATGCCTTTATCGATACACAGAGGTATTACTTTGAAATAAAGTACATGCATCTGTACATACATGCATTAGTACATCCCTAACACCTACTAAAGCTACTGAAGGGTCCAAATTCATAATCTTCATTCTGTGTGGGGCTTGCTGGCAGTGGAAGCTCTCGTCATCAACTGTGCCATTCTCTTCTGAATCTACAAAACTTTGAGTGGTGTGAGGATCCAAATAGATCAGCTCATTGCCTGTAGGGGTGAAATCCACAGGTTGATAATAAGCAAGAGGCTTCAATAAGCACTTATTCCATCCAGACATGTAGAACGGGAATTAATTATCATCACAGTCCATATGTTGTCTTTCCAGCTAGGGAGTCTTTAAGGGATTCAGAAGGACATGTACAAGAGTTTCCCCCAGGGAATTTAGTATCTTCTGTTGTGACCTGCTAAAGTAGATTTGTTGGTTGATTTGTTCTACCTTTGCCACATACTTTCCCTCTTCTATGTGAGGTCTGATACACTTCTTAAAAATCTCAACCACTGTAATCCCAAAACATTCCACAGATCAAAAATTATGGAATGACTACAAATGCAATCTGTAATCCCATTAGGCATTCACTCAGAAATTGGAACAAGGACATCTGACTAAAAGAGTTCAGGTTTCACAAAAGGAAGAACAAAATAGCCATAAAATTATGGTTCAAAATGGGGTGCAACTGAATCTGGTATTAACTATTGCTGTAATTTAAAGGAATACATGGAAGAAGGTGAAAAAAGATTCTGCTGTCAGAAAGAGTTTGAAATATGAGAATTTAATTTAAGAAAACTGTGAAGCAAAAGAATAAAACAAGACACCCTTCATTAGGCAGTATTAAAGACTAAGGAAAACTCAGTATTTTTGCAGTCATGACATTTGGCACTTGTCAAATGCTATAAACTTTTCTCAGTGCGGTGCTCTTGCTTGTATCGTTATTTAATTTTACATCAAGGCTTGCTGCTACTTTTCCATTCTTACAGGGTGATACCATACTGTTCCAGAAGTATTTGAGATATTTTTCTTCATTTCTTCTACTCTATACTCATGCTTAAACTGCTTACTATTTCCCCTTCCAAAAACCTCCTTTCTCTTCAGAACCTGTGCATATTTGGAACGAGTTGCTTTTTGCCTTACCTAGAAATCCTATGAAATAATAGGCGTTATTTGGTTTCCCTCCTAATGCTCCCAAGGACTGTGGCATCTTAAAGCATTCCTAGGCATTCGAAGGGAGAAAAAATGAAATCGGCACTGATATAACAGATACCTCAACTTATTTCACAATAACAAACAATTAACTAAAAAAAACCCAACAACCCTCAACTTACTTTAAACGCATCAATGTATACTGGATTTATGTGATTTATTCCTAGCCGCAGAGGTATGATAAGCAAGAGGGGTTTCCAGCCTGTACAGAATCCTGCTGTGTTCTTGTTTCGGCCCAGAGCACCCCTGTGCAGATATGCAGTGCTGTGGGCTGCACTGCTGCCCTGTGGAGGGGACCAGCACATTTTCTCTGTGGGAATAAAACCAGAAATCAGTGAAAGCACAAAGGAACACAGAGCAGATCTTCCTCTCAATCATGAATTGAGACACTTTCCCAAACATCTTTACAGAACTCTTGTTTTAAGACAAAAGGAGCAGGGCATGGAAATCATCACTATTTAGTAGCAGTAATTCCAGCAGACAGAGTGTGCGCTGGCGCATTAGTGAGACATGAGATAAATGACTGGGGAATGAACATTTAAGTCAAGTTACATTTACCGCTATAATTATTAATACTGTCAAGCTTTGACTGGGAAATCCAACAACAGATGACAGCATTAGAAACTCTTCAGGGAACTCTGTCCTGCCAGTGATGTAAACATAAAGTAAGCAGAAGCAGGGACTAAAGCAGAAATAGGCTGTGGGTAAATACCAGTTGTAAACCCACCCTTCTTACAGCTGAAAATTAAGCCTGGCCATTTGTGTTTCTCTAGGATCTGCCCTGGTTTCTCTTTGGCAAACTCTGTATTAAAAGCAATTGTCTGTATTTCTACATGAAACTTCATTCCATTTCTGGGGTAGGAGTTTAGATAGCACAGACCAAAATCCATCTTCCTCCAACCTGCATGGTCTGTAAGTTAGCCACCATGGCATCATGCTGTGCTAGCTTGAGTTTTGGACACCCAAAGCCTGAGTTTGTATTTCTTTCCTTTCTTTTCTTTCCTTGGGAACAAGCAGGGATGGCCCCAAAGTATTTTGGTCATATTTAGATACATTCCAGAAAGTGGAGTTCAATCAACAACTGTAACCAGGAAATTAATCACAGAATCATTTAGGTTGGAAAAGACCTTTAAGATCAGAGTCCAACTGTTAACAGTCCCAAAACAAAGTTTCCCAAAACACTTAAATTTGCAATCAGTTTGAGCTATTCTTCTCCCTAATATTTGTTAAGATGCTAAAGTAGACTTAGAAAGACTTTTGTTTCACTTACTGATGTCTTCAATGACCACTGTATTGTCCATAGATACATAAACTGCTAATGAATTCCATTCATCAAATAAAGCAAGCTTCCTAGAAAACATTGAAGTAATAATTAATATAAAATATTAGGACCATGAGGGTAACTTTTTGATTCAGAACAATTAGATAGTACTTGAGTAAAAACATTAAACTGGTTCTTTGGAAAAACACATTTGTTGGATAGTTTTTGAAAACTCCAGGTAATAAAAAGATAACTTTGCATGCTTAATATATTTAGAAAAGTAAATACTGAGTGGTACCAGGAAAAGCACACACTGTACCATGTGAAAACTGTTTTGTCCTTTTGCCAAATGCAGCAATAGTAATAGCTCAACCACATAATTAGATTTATTACTTTTTAACAGCCCCAGCAGTGGGATCTTGCCCATTGTGCCTGGCACTGTTTAGAAAGGAAACAATTCCTGTGCCAGTTCTGCATATTACTTTTTGCTTAAGAAGTTGCACTAAATTCAGTAGAACTATTTCTGTGCACATGCAGACAGCAGAATTGTGGTGTCAAAAGCTAGACTAGCTAAGGGTTTTCAGCACCAGAAAGGAGGATTCAGCACATGGGTTTCTGTCCATTTGTGTAAAATCCAGGACTCTGATCAAGCAAGTTACACTCTTACATTGCACAGGCAAAGCCAGCTGTCTAAAATAAGCCAGAAAAACCTGCATTTTAGCACTAAGACAAGAACAATTTGTAAGTGAAAAGAGCTGAAGGACATGGCATGCTTTAGCTCCTGTCTCTCTGCAGAATGTTTCTGTCCTAAGAATGCAATGAATTGCTGCTGAGCACTCTGGACCTGCAGTCTAGCCTCCACTTGAGATTTGGCACATCCACCTATCCCTCAGAAACACAGCAAGTCAACTTTTTAAGCGCGGTTTCTGAACTAGGAGGAGCTGACCATGCTTTATACAGCAGCCTTCAGGCAGAACTGTAGCTCAGACAGTGGGAAATTGCAGTTCAGTTGCTTCTTGGCCTGGATGGCTTCACTGATGTTCACTGATGCTTACTGATGATGGCTTCACATACCACTACAGTATAACTTGCATGGTGGCACTCTTGACCTGTCAAAGCTGTGCCACTATGCAGCAGGAAACACCTGTCTGTGGTGCTTACTGTCTAGGGCATGTCAACAGCACGGCAGCAGAGACCTTTCTGCAGGTCTTCCCCAGACTTTTGGCGCATCAAAATTTAGAACTCACCCAATCCCAACTCAATACCTACCCAGCAGGCTACAGCACCATGGTCTGCACTGTACTTGCAGACACATGGCATATATAGTCCTTGGTCTGCAAGAGAAGCATCAGCCTTTAAAACTCTATCTTGGGCCTCATCTTGGTCTCTGAGCAGAGCTGACACTAAGTGGGGGGAATACATTCTGAATGAGCTAGCACAAGCTGACTTACTTCAGGACTTGAGCAACTGTATTTGGTCCAAACCATTCTCCAATTGATTTCCCCTCTCCAACACCCATCTGCGCTGTTTTTTATGAAGAAAACACATACAGGACACAAAAAAAAAGACCACAGAGACTCTGGTCACAATCTCTGTTAAACAGCATGACCTACTGATATTTTAACATACATTCTAGAGCAACTGCAAACTGTTTTAGCAGCAATAATTTTCTCAGTCTATGCTCTTTTCAAATCTTAATGACTGCTAGTTCCTTTACAGCGAGTTTATAAACTAATAAGAATTACAAATATTAGTGCCCTTTATTAGAAATTACAGCAATAAGCATTGTGACTGTCTATTTTAATACTATCATCTCTAGTACCTGAGGCTCACATACTTTACCAAGAGCCAGACTGTTGTATACAGGTTTACTTAGGTCTCAGCGAATAACATTTCTTTGTACCCATTTGCATGGATTTTTATTTATATATAAACAAGTACACTGTCTTCATAATCACCTTTTAAAAGTTCTGAATTAACATTTTCGATTAAAAAAATTCAACACAGGCATTTCAATGGGAAAAAAGAAAAGGTGATGTTCTTACCCATTTGGTGGATGGAATAGCAACAATCTTTTCTATCTAGAAAGCACCGTAAGATTCTATGATATTCTTCTGGTTGTTTTTTGTGTTTTTCCCATTGCCAATCTTACAGGGAAAAAAAAAAAAGTCATACAGATTAAAAAATAATAATGTTGCCCATCATCCTGATCAAGTTTTTAGCTACTACAAATGAGATATTAAAAGACTAATGTAGACTCCATCTCTACGATTTACATTTTGTTTAGAATCCCTAGAAGTCACACCTTGTCATTTATTATCAAACTGCCCTTATCATCACAGGCTAGATTGTGAAAACTGGGAAAATAAAAGAAAAATGTCAACTGCAAGTATGTTCTGAGTGAACACTGCGGAGAAGAGAGCTATTGCTGGATGCGAACTTCTGTGAACGCTGGAAAAACAACATGCTCCATTTAGATTTTATTAGATTTGTAAGCATAACGTAAGCATTTGTAAGATAGTGGTATCAGATCCATAAGGCAAAGTCCAAATAACGCTGGCCATCTCCCACATCTTTCACCACGTAACTTTGCTGTCTGCGCTCTTGCTTCTAACATAAGGTAGTTGACTCCCATTTACTGATGGAGAAACACTTATGTAGGGCTGACACTATGAAGTAGCTACATACAAGTTCATAGCCTGTTTTTTCTCAGGTAATTTGTTTGTTGGCCTACTCCTTCAGTTAAATCCTTGCACCTGTGTTCTGTGCATTCAGCTATTCAAGTGGATAAATCCACAAAGCATGCTGCCATAGAAACCACAGCACAATACCATGAGGATTACAGACCTAACTGTAAGAATCCAACTGTCACAGAAGCTACACACAGACCAGACAGACCTATGACACTTACCCGTGATTCTGGGATGTGAGGTGCTGATATGGGCTTAAGAGCTTGCTTGGGTTCTCCTTTGGGGTTTGGACCTCAGGTTGGTGGTGGGGGAGTGGTCTGTGAAATACGCAGTGTGGTGTCTATTGCTATGTCATTATTCATACAGGCAGTGTGTGTGAATATTTGGTGGCTATGTAAGCAATGAAGAGAAGGGCAAGAGCTCAGACCCATGCTGGCAGGTTTTTCCTTGTCCTCAGCTCAGGCATTCCTCAAAAAGAGTTATAAAACAACAATAGTGGGATTCCCTATTTGTTCTCTGTCTGTTTCTATTTCTCTGCTAAAGGATGGCACGATTTTGCCCTGACAGAGAAGAATAATTCACTAATAGCATCTCTCAGGGCATCAAATAAAGTTTCATTAATAAATTTAGGTATTTGGCTTGTATGGAAAGCTACAACAAAAATTAAACAGTCTTCAAACAACCCGAAAGTTCACTCCGCGATAGTACTCACCTCTTCCTAAGTGTCTGCAGATCAGTGCTTGTGCCAGCATCATCTGCCCACATCGCAGCATACATCCCCAGCCAGCATCAGATGAAGGACCAGTGCCTCCTATTAAAAAAGTTCATTATGATCAATATGGGCTTTAAAATGAATGCAGCACCACAGAAAATTTCAGAGTTAAAATCTCCAACAACTGCGCTATGGATAGAAGGTACTGAGCAAGATCTTCTCTTTCCATATTGCTGGTTGGAACTATATGATCTTAAGGTCCTTTCCAACCCTAACTATTCTATGATTCTATGTCTAACTACTGCTTGCTAGACAGATGTGAAGACCTGATGACTTGCACGTGCAAGTAAACAGAGTTGGTAATAGCTTTAGTATTTTATTTACATAAACAGTTAAAATGATGCTCAAATTGTTCAAATACTGTAAAAATGGTATTTCAGTCCATGGTCACATCACAAAGCAGCTGCTCTGCTGCATACTCACCAATAGGCGAAAACTTTCTTCTGTATGTAAACCAGAGACGAGCACTTATATCCAACAATAACTTAGATTTGTCTGGAATATTTTTAAGAGGAAATAAATTATTAAAATGGATTGTTAAACCTGAAAAAGTATAATTTCCTTGTACAGTCAATATACAGATTGCATGGAACACTTCTGTTAGCTTTCACATACAAGACCCTTAAACTATTTTTGGCTGTTTAAACAGAGCGAGCTTTTGCAGACTGCTAATTAAAATTACCTTATTAAGGATGAAATAATTATTAGCCAATGAAGTTTTCCAAGGTGTTTGGAATGACTATGCCCAGCTTGAATGAAACAACTAGGGAGAACTATGTCCTCAGGAAAGAACTGGTAAAGCGAGTTCAGAAAGGCAAAGAATTTCTACACGCAAACCAACATGGATTTATGCATTACCTCCAAACCCAATACAAAGCCTCTTTAAGAAAAGGTTCATAATATGAAATGTAATTAAATCTCTCTATTTTTTTTTTAACACATGCACTTACACAATTCTCCCAAAGGCTCTGAACAACTCTTAACAACCTTATTTGCTGCATTTTCTCTGTGCTGTAGCTGACACAGTGGCCTTTCCAAGGCATCCTTCAGCCGATGGAGGCTGTACGTGGTGCCCTGCCGCTGTCCTGAACACCAGCCCTGCATCAATAGCCACTGCCTTCAATATGCCACACAGGAGATGCCCATGCCTGCTCCCCAAGGAGCAAAGCTCATTTCTGAAATCTTTGTTTTGTATGATATACAAACATCTGCTATGACTTTTAGGTCATATGTTTATTTTCATCAAAATACAGCATGGGACGTAGATTTATTTATTATTATTATCCTTTAGAAATATCACTTTAGTTGCAAGTAACAGGCTGCAGGTAGCATCTCTCTAGAGAAAATAACATTAGTTACACTGAACATTCTCCCAAAGTTATTCCTTTATCTATTTCTGAGGCATTTGATGTTAAGAGGTGACCTGACTAACCTTTGCTACAAGTACAATCTCTTTGCATGAATTATGTTAGAAAGTACATTGGTAAACTTCCAGTTTGATTACACGATGCATACTGCTGCTTATAGTTGGCTTTTGTTGGTGGAGAAAAATAAACTCTCATGAGACATTTAGAGAATGTAAGGAAATCAGGAGCTGCTGCTTCATGTGGATCTATGAATGCCCTATAGATTTTACAGATAATTTTCATTCTAAAGATACCTGTGTTTAGGTGGTGTTGCCTTCCCAGAATCCACACTGGCTCATCAGTTTCTGGAAATTCTTCTAAGTAGTCTGACAGTATAGTGATCTGGTTTTCATACCTAGACAAAACTGAACAGGAATACACACAATTCAAATTCCATTTTATCCCTTTGTTCTTTCACGCAAAACTTTGAGCTCTCCAACACAACTAGCTGTAGTCTTCAGGTCTTCTGAACAGTGCTGTCAGCTGTATTTAGTCTTTTTTCTTTGACAAGCTCTTCTGACACTGAAATATCCAATGTCTCCAGTGGTTTTTATTTCAATCCTCAGCAAGTGCTGAGAGAATACCATGGCTGACACCTCAGTTATAAACATCTGACTGACGCCAGCAGCAGAAATTGAGGATGACTTCAGTGAGAGCAAGATTGGATTCAGGGAAACAAGGAAAGGAAAAACCAATTCAGGCATCACAGCATATGTGCCTATGCTTGATCCTAGATGTACAAAAACTGTGACTGAGAGTGATTATGGCCTTGTGCTTAATGAGAAGCATGTGAAAAGTGTTAGGAAGGCTGGGGTTTACTTTCCTCACTGGAGATTTGAAACACATCAGGATAAAAAAAGTATTACTGCTGTTCTTCAACACTAGGTCTATTTAGTACAAAATAGCAAATTATAATTAATGTTACTAAAAGAAGACGGTTCAATTTTTATTATTTTTTTTAGATCATTAAAGCAGGGTTTTCTGGAAGAGTGAAACAGGCCTCCAAGTGTAAAAATTAATGTAAAATCACTTCTTTTTGATAACAAACTTAAGGGATATACTGCTGCAAAATCAGAAGGTGAAAGCAAACACCATTATGTTTTACTCTTCACATTAAGTGCACACACAGACAGTATAAAGAATAAATAATCAGCAGGTAAAGGTACAAAAGATATTTAATATAAAAACATGTATTATAGCAATCGGAGGTGCAGCTGAGCTACAGCAGCCTACTGGTGCCCCAGGTCGGTGCTACCAAGCACTGGAGATGCAGCTCCTCTGCACGTTACCGTAGGCAGCTGTTCAAAACCACCATCAACTTCTTTAAGACACTCTATAGAGCAGAACTTCTTACAGGGGGCTCTGTCTTCTCCGTCAGAAACTCCCCAGTCATTGCACTTATAGGATAAACTGCCCGAGTTTGACCCCAGACACAGACTCTCACCCCTCCAAACCCAGAGGAGGGGGCTGCGTCCCGGTTCCGCGGCCGTCGGGACAGCACTCCCGTGGTTTCTCTTCCCAGTCCCGCACTCCCCGCGGCCGAGGGCCGCAGAATTACCCCCGCAGAGTCGTCCCCTCTCCCGCCGCTGCCAGCGGCAACGCCGGCCTCGGGCCGCCCCGGCCGAGTCCCTCCGCACCGCAGCTCTCTGTGCCCCCGCCCCGGGAGCTGCCGCTGGGCCCTGGCCCTCACCGCCAGGCAAACCCCTCACGACGGAGAGCACCGACCCCCACCTCGCTCCTCAGCCCCAGGGGCGCGGCCCAGCCCCTCGCCAGGACCCCTGCCCCGCCAACCGCCGCCACAGCAGCCGGGCACGGGCCCCGCTCAACCCTCGCCCCCTCCGCGGCCTCCCGCCGCCGCCCCTCACCTGACTCCATCCTCCCGCTGTCACCATCCTCCTCCTCGCCCCGACACGGAGGCACAACACGGCCGCGGCGCGGGGCGCCCCGGGAGGTGTAGTCCCGGCGGCCCTCGGCAGCGCACCGCCTCCCGCCCGTTGGACTACATATCCCAGCAGCCCCGGCGGCACGAGAGGCGAGAGAAGCAGGCTGGTAGGTGCGATTGGTTGGGCTAGCCCCGGCGCTGTTCTGATTGGCCGGCGGTCGAGCCGAGGTTCTGCCCCTGTTGGCAGGCTGAGGCAGCGGTGAGCATGGAGGGAGCAGTGTCTGACGTGGGGGTCTGTAACCTGGCCTACGCCGGGCGCCTGGAGGAGTTGCGGGCCCAGCTGCTGCGCGACAAGGCCCTGGCCACCAAGACCGACCAGGTCAGCCGGCAGCGGCCCTCCCTGCCCTCCGGGGCGAGAGCGGCGGCCTGCGGGGCCTCTCCGTGCGGAGCGGCTCCTGTCAGCCGCCCCCCGCTCCTCACCTTCCCGCTCACCGCCGCTCCCTCCTTCCCTCCCTCAGGACAACCGCACCGCGCTGCACTGGGCCTGCTCGGCAGGACACACGGACGTGGCCGACCTCCTCCTCGGCCTTGGTGTGCCTGTGGGCGACAAAGACGATGTGAGTGCCGCGGGATCCCCCACCCCTGTGTGGAGCTGACCCCGGGCATGGGGCTGCTGCCGGGAGCCTGAGGGAGTTGGGCTGGCGTGAAGAGCTGGGATCAGCAGCTTGTGTCCAGATCATTTACCCTCACGGTGTGAGCCGCAGAAGCCCCCCCGGCAGCTCCCGGTGGCGACTGGCACTGGTCGCTTCCTTGGTTTGCTCCGTCTTCAGTCAGTTGGTGTATCCACTGTGGTGTCTGGGAGATTTTAGAAAGCACGTACTACTGTGTGCGCACTAGGAAAGCAGGCCTCTCACTGCTTCAGAGAGTCATAGAATAGTCTGGGTTGGACCTTAAAGCTCATCTAGTTCCAACCCCCTGCCATGGGCAGGGACACCTTCCACTAGAGCAGCTTGCTCCAAGCCCCATCCAATCTGGCCGTGAACATTGACAGGGATGGGACAGCCACAGCTTCTCTGGGCGCCCTGTGCCGGGGCCTCACCACCCTCATAGTTTATGTGGAATAGGGGTAATGAGACTTAACAAATCTTATTTATCATCAAGGAATTTTAATAGAAGAATTCTTATGCACAAAGTTGCAGAACCAGCAGCATTTGGGTGCTTGTTGGGAGTTTCCATGTTACCTTTATTTCAGTGTGATCCTCTTAAATACGTTGTGCCAAAGCATATGAGGTACCCTGAAGATTTCTCATTATTGGGGAAGGCATTATAACATATGTCGTGGGTTCAGAGATTCCACAGGTTCAATTCCTTTCACAGTAAAGGAGATTGTCTGATACTGTTCTTAAGAAAGGGTTGAAATAATTGCATCTGCTATGAAGTATCCTAAAGACCACCCTTAAAGAAGTAAACTGTTCTGTCAGTTTAATTAGAGGGTAGGTTATAGAAAAGATTGCAGAAACTTTTGGACACCCTTTTCTGCCACTCTTATTTGTTATTAAAAATCCACTACTATTAATTCTGCAGGACTGATGTTCCCTGCAAGACACCATGTGTAACAGAAGTGGTTTTTGTTCTTCAGTTGGCAGCTTTTGTTAGGTGTCAAGTGCAGACTTGTGAGAGGATGTGAGACTTGTCTCTCTGATGATAAGCAGTAATGTTTAGCTTTACAGTTACAAGGACATGTGCAGTATGACTAGTGAGTAGTCAAGTCAGTATTGGGGTTATGCTTTGTCTTGGTTTTGCCTGAAACTCATGGTTTGAATAACGTGTTTTCCCCTTGCTCTGCAGGCTGGTTGGACGCCCTTACACATTGCCGCCTCGGCAGGCCGCGATGACATTGTACGAGCGCTCATTGCCAGGGGTGCTAACGTGAATGCTGTCAATCAGAATGGCTGCACGCCTCTGCATTATGCAGCCTCCAAAAATAAGCAGGAGGTATGTTTGCTTCTGCTGCTGGAGGTGGTGTTGCTCTTAGAAGTGTTTAGTTGTATCAGCTTTACCTCCTTCTTCCTCCTTCCTTTCTCTTTCTGCCTATTCAGATTGCACTCATGCTCTTAAAGAATGGAGCTGATCCGGATGCAAGGGATCATTTTGAATCCACCCCATTACACAGAGCAGCAGCTAAAGGAAACCTAAAAATGGTACAGATCCTCCTGCAGCATAATGCAGCTGTTAATATACGGGACTCTGAAGGGAATACTCCTCTGTAAGTAACCTTTAATTTTCATTTTGTTAAATACAGCATTATCTATCAAATTAAACTCTGTTACTTCAGTTTAGTTTTTTTTTAGTTTCTTATTGCCTCAAAATAATCCCTTGCTTCACAACCCTTTGTAATTAAAAAGACTGGAGAAAATCATGCGTAGTATTTTGATTAGGTCTGTCTGTACGTACATACTTTATAAGTGTTCCTACATCTACTTAACAAAGTGTAGATCATTCTGTAATGGTTTGCAATATGTTCGGTGGCCACTAGATGGTAGAAAGCGAGCTAATGACATCAAAGTCTGAGGAAATGGGTCGTTCAGACTGGCTTACTCTGTCCTGTCAAGCAAGAGCTAACGCACCTCTCTAAGGAAACTAAGTTGCAGTATAAGTATAATCAGTTCAGTGTTTGATATTACCTTAGAGATCAGTTTGAACGTGTAAGGGTAAAACCTTAGCTGCTTTGAAGTTGGTGGCAAGACTGCCTTATCTACAGTGGAACCAAGATTTTCCATGAATAAATTCAAGAGGTATGTTTCACCTATGCATAAGCCCAGCATTGTCCTGGCACACACACGTTTATTCTGAAGATACTATGACAAATGGAAAAAAGTGTTTGCTGCATTTTCAGTAACTCTTTACTTCAGATTATTTTAAAGCATCGTACAATTTGGTTTATCACTTTCAGATCAGAGGTTACTATTTTCCAGTTTAACTGTGGATTATGTGATCCTTAGCTTACTGACTACAGAGGCAAATCCTAATGGAAAGAATTTTCATAATGTTGCAAGGGCAATAGCAAGAGGAACGTTCTTGAGTTGCTTAATGACAACAGAGTGACTGGACAGCAAGCTTTGGAAGCTGTGTAGGTAGTTGGTTGTGTGTGATCTTGTTCTAGAATGTATGTCCCACCAACATTCATGGTGTCATTTTGACAAGGCATAATTATTGCTCTTCATAAGATTGGACTGTTTAATAGTGCCTGTGGGTTTCTTGTTCTTATTACAGTCATTTAGCCTGTGATGAAGAGAGAGTGGAGGAGGCAAAGCTGCTGGTGTCTCACGGTGCAAGTATTCACATTGAGAATAAAGAAGAACTGACGCCACTGAAAGTGGCAAAGGGTGGCCTGGGAGCCATACTTAAAAGAATGGTGGAAGGCTAGTGGAGACTTGTGGCTTGAGTCTTTCCTGTTGCATTTGTGTGTAGGTCTGCAAACTTTGTATTTTGACAGTTTAACTAGGATGTCATGTGTGGACATCAGCATGGTAATAAAATGTGTATCTTTAGCTTTCTTTCAAGTACAGTGCCAAAACAAATCTTTGTACTTCCTGTTAATTGAACAGTTCACTGTTTTTAAAGTGTTTTTCAGTATCTTGCAGTTTTCTTTCACTTTACAGTGTAATCTGTATAAATGCAGTTGTTCCTTTTAATTCAGAACCTAGATTAGGATTGCTTTTTTTAAGCAACAGGACCAAAAACATTTTAACCATTTAAAGTCAATTTTACTTTGGAAGCTTATTCTAGAGTCTTTGCTTTTTGCTTCAGCCTTTGTGGTTTGTGTGTGGTTTGGGTTTTGTGGGTATTGGTTTTCTTCCTTCAGATGATTCTAAACTACACCTCTCCCTTTGTAGAATGCAGTTTGCTCAGTTATTTGGATGATTGTATCTGTGTTTACTCTTCTCAGTCTATTCAAGTGAGCTCTGGGTGTTTAAAGTTTTTCTGTTGTTTCCTGTTTTTATCCTGTTTCTTTGAATCTTTGAATGTGTATTTGATCAAGTCACTGGACTGCCTATGAAATGCAGGCACAGCTTCAGGGTCACCTCTGCAAATATATTGTCATATAATGGATGGTTCTGAATACTGCTCTGAGATGTACTTAGAATCTAATTTAGTTTTCTCTTGCTCCATCTGTAGATTTCTTTTTCTGGTCTGTTTGACTCCCATTATGTAGCACTTATATTTGCAGTGTATCATCTTATTTTATAACAGAAGCTTGGTTTAATTGCTATTTACTCATAGCAAATCTGGTATTATTAGAAGGCAGAGCTAGTGATACTGAGTCTGAAAAGTGACCTTCTCTTCTGATGTTGATCAGATCACTTTTGACATGAGTGGGATAGCTTTCCTCTTCCTAAACAAACGAAGCTGATGAAATTATGTTAAATAAAGATCTTTCTTAAACAGCTGTTTTTGGTGTTATAAAACTTTATTAAACATACATATAACAAAACCAATATTTTCTAAATAGCTTGTGCACTTGGGATGTGAACAACAAGTCAGATGAAACGCTGCCATCCATTACACAGTATGGAAATACTGTTATTCTTCAGCTGCAAGGAGAGGTTGAAATGGAAGATGACAGTTTCTACAGTTTGACTTGTAGGGATTAAGGTAATGCAATTTATTTTGATAAGCAGGACGGAAACTTACAACCAAACAAATATCTTCACTAAGTACTTACACAAATTTATTCTAGAACACAAATGCAGGTTAAATCTTTCCTCTTGAGGACATGAGGGGTAACTTGCGGATACAGTAAGTGCTGACCATGCAGACCTTACTTGAAGGAGGAACCTGACTGAGTATATGTTTCTTATACGCTGTGCAGGCATTACTGAAATCTTGAATTGAGAAAAGCTGAAGTTAGTATTCTGTGTTCATCCTTGGTGTTTGTATAGCAAAAAAACCCTGCCATAGCTCTGTGGCTTTGTAAATCCACTTCCCTAGCATATAGTGGCTTGAATGTTGGCTTAATATCTAGTTTCCATATTAATGATCCCTACTCCCTCAGGAGCAGATAAATGGGCCATGCAGCAAAGAGTGTTGGAACATCTGAGGCAAATTCTAAAAAACGTTTCTCCATCCTACATGGCTCTGCAGGGTTTTTGAGCTACACACCAGGGATCAGTGCCTAATTTAGCTTGTGCTTTGCCAAGAGCATCAGTGGAAAGCTAGGAAAGTGCCCCATCCGTTTTCATAAACTATTTTACATTAGAGAAATTTCATAATGAGAACAAACATCTGCCAGAAGGCTTACAAAAATATCTCAATGTGTTAAGAAAGTCCAAATAAATGTAACTTTTCTTACCTTCCTCCTCATCCCCAGCAATTAGTATTAAAAAAAAAAAAGGGCAAAAATAAAAAGTAAATCTATCTGTTACACACCAGTGTCGTGTGTATGAGAGGTGGTTAGAAGTATGAGAGGAATTATTAGTCTAGAGCTCATGTTCAATTGTTCTTTCTTATATCAAAACAACTTGAGCAATATCTACTTTTTTAGCAAATGTATGACCTGTAGTGTTCTAGGAAGATTGTATTTGCTGTAGAAGGTAATTACAACTTCACCAGCATAAGCTCGTATCTTCCTGTAGCAAATTATCTAAGGAATGCATGCAGAGAAATTTATGGAGGTCAGATTAAGGAAAGATGTAAAAATTATTATAATGACCACATAACATATTCCTTTCCTCAATCACATAGTGCTGGGGCAGAAAGTAAAAGTTGGAAAACTGTTGCAGCAAGAGAAATATAACCAAGACATACATACAGGAGATTACTTTAGAAGAACTAAGACAACTACAGCAGTGTTGTGAAGTTTGTTAATATTTTCCTATAAAGGGCAAGAGTAAAAGAATGCCAAGAGTGTCAGCAAAGAAAAGATTTAAAATAAATGCCACTGTCAGCCAACTCATGGCTCCCTTGGACCAGTAACTGATTTGAATTATCTCATTAGGGAACACATTTGGTAAGGAATGGCACCCAAACCAGAGTGCATAGCACTTAACTGTTCTCTTGCTGTTTACTCAGCATGCTTAATGTCTAGTTCTGCATGCTTACAAAACTTTGGGTGTGAATATCAGAAATTCTCAGTAAGCTTCTAAACCTAGTTTGAAGGATGTGATTTTGTTGATCTTAGCACAATTGCTATGAGAGTCAATGAGAGAGGTTAAGGAGAGACCTCGGTACAGGTCATGACTTAAGGTTTACCCTGGATATTTTGGGGAGGGAGGAGTATGAAGATCAACTGGTAGAATATGACAGTGTTGGTATTAGTAAGGGTTTGACTCTTGCAGTCAGGCAGAAGCAGTTTTTTAGCTAAAACAGTATTCTAAGAACACTGGAAATGCTTTTACTCTGGACTGAGGCTAAATGCTAGGACGCATGTATCAAAGGCAAATATTTGACAGCCAGAAAACTGCATAGAAAGGGTGATGAATATAGTTATGCTTAATGACTGAAACTGAAGGTTAATTTGAACCTCAGGCCTTTTTTCTTTTATTTTTTCCTTTTTTTGTGGTCATTTTCTTGATAAACAGCTGAACTGAACCTGACAGTTTTAGCACAGATATTTCCTTTTGTCTATTCAGAGATGGCTGATGTATGTAACTAATGTTTACTGCAGGCTAGGAACAGTCACCAAAGGATTTGTAAGCATTAGATCCTATAAAAGACCTAAGTGCCAAAAAGTTGTGGATCCCTGAGTCAGATACATTTTTCTACAGTGCATGAGACTGAAACCTCTGCCTCCTTGTGTCGATGAATAGCTGCCTCATGTAGTTCAGGAGGGAGCTGCTGAGGCTGTGTGTGGGTTTTTACTTCTCACCTGAGTCCTTGAGCTCTTCTGAAAGTAGGTATTTTTTCCCACTTGAAGAACTGAGTTTGTTTAACCTTAGAAACAAGGCCCAGAGAGGTGTCTAGTGGTCAGTGTTCAGGGTTCAATTTCCTTTTCTCTCTCCAAGAGAATGCTCATCACTCAGCTGTTTGATGTGGTGTGCATGCACTACTTACCTTCTTCTTGATGCCTTTACCTATAGAAAACAGTCAGTTACACTGAGCTAAAGCGCGTTTGTTGCTTAGTTGGTAGACCAGTTGCCTGGAGATAGATTTAAATCATCTCTGGCAGAGGAAGCAGTAAAAACTAGTGTGTTGTACAGCAAGCAGTATTAACTTCCAAGTTTTGAAAACAGTTCTATCTGTGTGTCAAGAAGAATCTGATATTCTGTGCCTGTCATGCCAAGCCTTGTAAGGGATTTAGATTTCCAGGTCCTGTTGTCTGGAAACCAGTCAATTGATGTCTGAACTGAGTACCTGAATGCTAGTTCCATTAAACTGAAAACCAAAACTGCTGAAACACACAACTCTGAATGCAGGTGCCTTGGGAACTTTAAAACTTCAAAATGTATTCCACATCTGGCAGCAACAGGGTAGAAGTTTCCAGGCCTTTTTTTTTTTTTTTCCTGTAAGTGGAATCCAAACACAACAGATATCATTGTTCCAGGTCTTAACATCTGTTTCTGCACTCTGATGGACATTGATGAAACTTCTTTTTACTTCTGATGTGCAAAGTCAGAGCCTTTAAACACTGCAGTGTATTGGCCATGATGATTGTCCTTGGTGCACAGGAAACAGGAGTTTGGCTAACACTGTTTCTGGAGAAGACTGCTGTGGTTCGGATCTGTATAGATCATACAGCATGACTGAGAGGTGACTGGAAAACTTTTACTTTGATAAATGCTCCAGCCCTTTTCATAATTAGTTTTGCAAAATAGGTTGCAAAATAGTCTTTTAGACTGATAAAAGACTGGTAGTCTTTTTAGACTTATATTTATGTACAATTATAACCAGATAATAAATGAAATTTTGTTAACTCTAAAGGCCAAATCTTCAGTGTGCCTGTGTAACAGACCCTTTTCAATCTGCAGCACAGCGGTTCACAATACAAATACCCATCTAAGTTTTAGTCATGCCTCTGTGTTAATTCAATGACAACAATTTTTATATAAAGGGGTCCAAAGCTGACACGGAAAACTGTATTAAAACTAGGCTGTTTCTTCTTTTTCCACTTCTTGCTTCTCATCATCCTGAGGTGTTCCAGAGGCTGTTTCATCAACACTAGGGTATTCATTTGTTGCATTGCTTGGTGGAACTGTGGTTGCAGGAATGTTTTCTTCGTTAGGTACCTGAACATACTCTGCATTGGATTGTTTCTGAGCCATTTCTCTGCAGGAAGACAGGATGAAGTGTGATTTCACATGTTGAAATCCCATCTACACTAGACTCTTTCAAAAGAATGAGTCTTTGTGGTTTTGTTGTCTTAAAGTAACCCCCATATTATTATGATTGTTCCAAGAGACATGAAAAGGCTACAACATCACTTCTGCTAAGAGAGAGAGTGTCAGCATGTTAGATAATGAGACTGATTTACGTCATTGCTTAAGTGATCCTGTTAGAATGAACTGGGTTTTAGTATATTTAAATGCTACACCAGGAAAGCAGAATAGGAAACTGAGTGCTGGCAAGCAGTGTCTGAGGAGAGGTTGCAGAACACACTGTTTGGTGTGAGCTTTCTGTGAAATTCCATGCAGATACAGTGTCCCATTAAGTGTATAAAAATAGAGTGCAGTCAGAAAAAGAGTTATGAAAAAGCTAAAATCTAGAGAGAGATTTTTAGCAACAGGTATAGATTCCATTTATCTCATCGAAATAATAAACCAAGCCCTGATATTTAAGCATTTTCACATATAAAAAAGATTAGATGCTAGTGGGTTAGTTCAATGAAGTGAGATTTATTAGGATCTGAGCACACAGTTAGATGTTAATGTACATCAGTTGAAAGCAGAAAGCAGGTGTGTGAGTGACACGCCGTTGGTGTGGGTTAGCGGAATTCTGCATCGGAGGTCTTAGACCTGTGCTACAGGGAAGGGCCCAGAGGACAAACACACTTTTCTTTCTGTCCTCAGCTGCATGTGTTCATTTAGCATTTAACATCATGGGGCTAAACACGGTCTGTGTAGCATATGAGATCATCCCTATTCTGAAGAATTAGCAATTCAAGGAAAAAATGAGCAACCAAAGCACAGAGGAAAAGACATTTCCAGAGCAGAATCAAAATGGATATTCTGGGCTTCATTCTGTTGCCTAAACCTTGTATCTCCTGCCATTTGAGACACCTTAGAGCACCCCAAGCACGTGTCCTGTAATTTCAAATAGCACTGAATTGAGCCCGCTGTGTTTAAATCCAGTAATGCACAATCCAGTACATTTGCTGTGGCAACCTTTAGCTTCTGTTCCTTCTTTTTACTTCCTCCACCAGCAATTAGCAGTCACCATTAACTTTTAAATATTAAAAACTGTTTTTCCAACTTGCCACTTTTAGTTTGCAGGGTTTAAAAACCATTTTACTAGTTTAGATACTGCTAAGTGGTAGCTGCCTATAAATATATGGAAGAGGGTAGTGGCAATGTCTCTTACGAGAGCAACAGCTTAAAAGTCACACAAAAGCAAATATTGTCACTCTGGAAGTTTTCCCAAAACCTGCATTATTGACCCTTCAAAAATGATTAGAGTAATTATATTTTACTTCAGTGCTGAATTATCAGCAGTGCTTTACAGAAATAATTGTCTTAAAATGAAGCAAACAAAACTCTTACTGCATCTCTTTACTTGGCGTCTTCTTAGTCTTTTTTGCCTTCTTGCGTAAGACCCAGACAATAATGCAAATGATAGCAGCTGCAAGAACTGCTCCAATTAATGCTCCAGCAACAATGCCACCGTCTGAATCTGCAAAGAAGAAAGGATTACTTGATACATAAATACTTTTTTTTAAAAAGTATTACTATCAAAATCCCATGGAAATTTAGAGGAGCCTTTAGCATAAAGAAGGCGTTGGATTCAGAAAACTGAACAACTGACTGACAGCTGGATTTCCATGAGGGAAGCCAAAGATTCGCTAGGAAAGAGAAATGTGGTTTTGTGACCTTTGCTGCCTCCTGTCTTGTTGGTTAGCTCCCTGCCCCAGCAAACCCAATGTTTATGCCTGTCTAAATTCAGTGTCTGTTGGTTCTCAGTAAAGGCTCTGCAGTCAGATTCAGGTTCAGCTCCTGCTCCCAGTATGAAATCAGTTGTCCAGGTCAGTGTAAATTCTGGGCATACCTGGGAGAAAACTCCAGAGAGCTCCAAAGCCCATTCTGTTCTTACTTGAAAAAAAAAATCTGTAAAGTTTTCATAGCATTTTCCTGCAAAGTGTGTATGTCTTACATCAGCTATGGGATTACTTTCATGCATGAAACTTACAGTTCGTAGTTAGGTCCAGCTCACAGGTACTGTTCCCCAGAATGTTACTAGCTACGCACCGATAATACCCAGTTTCAAAGGTGGTGAGATTGCCAATGTAAAGAATGCCAGTGTTCGGATCTGTGACAAACAGAGAGCAGAGACTGATTACTGTTTGTGTGCTGTAGAGGCCAACCATTTTCTTTAGTTGGTCATACTGAGAGCTATTAAGAGATTAGAAACAGGGTTCTCTGGTTATGCATACATTTGGGGGTGTTTCATATTCTTTAAATAAGAAGCATTTACCTTCCTTGAAAATTACTACAGTAGATTCTGTAGGAGTGTATTAGAACATGGGAAATAGGCCCTTACTCTGTAATAAGAGTCTGTCTGCCTGATGTTTTACCCGCACTGACACCACTATTGTCAGTGTAACGTCACAGATGAAAATGCCACAGGAGCTGAAGACCTTCAGGGTGGAGATCTTAGCACCTGAATAACAAATAGACTATTCTAAGTTGACTTAAATTTCTGAGGGAAGGGAAATGGAAACAGCATAAACATTTCTCCCATTTTAGCAATTTAAAATAATGGCACAGGCAAGACTTTAACCTGCCATGAAACTTGTGTTAAAACAAATAGAAAGAAGCCCTGTGTTTGTGACAGCTATCAGTTCGTTTGAATTAAGCAAAAATAACGGTTTTATGACATTGACCATCAGAAGAGGAGGATAAGGTTTAACTACTATATGTAATACGTAGTGTTAGAAATGACTGGTGCTAAGGAACTCCACATTTTGAACATGGTACAGTAGTTGTGTCTTACGTACTGAGTTGTTCAGTCACAGGCTTGAGGGTATTGTCAGCTACTTTGTACCAGCGGTAGGTAGGGTGAGGCAATCCTTCCTCACATCTGCATAAGAGGTAGATTAGATGGCCTTTTTCAGGAGTTCCTTCTATTTTGCAGAAAGGTGTTGATGGTTTGACTGTAAAATAACAACAAGGAGAACAGACACATTATGGCCATATATCAAGGGGCAAGAGAGGGGCATGAGTATATACCGAGGGGAAAGCTAGTTCTGGTATTGTACATGTAAAATTGAACCCCATCTACAGGTTCCCATAGAAGAGCAGAGTTCATAGATCTGACCAAAGGCTCTCCCATGACAATTTGAGTAATATTAAGTATATATACATATATACATGCCTAAGATACCTTTTAATAGATAGGCAAATGATATTGGAATCACATTCTTATATTGGCTTTCATTTGTCACTCTGATCAGGTATGAATTCTCAATACAAAAGCAATTATTACAATGGGTTAGTACAAACTTTTGTCTTACCGAGAAGTAATGTATCTACTGCTTTTCATCCTTTCTGCCCTGTTCGTGGTTGAACTATTGCTTTCTTCCATTCAAAACAACTTTGTACTACTTCCATCCAACATGTACTAAGTTTCTAGAGTTTCTGGGAATTGGGGTGAGACAGATCCCTTGGGCTGTAATGCTGCCTAACCCTAGATTTACACAAGTCACCATGACCAACATTAGGTAAAATTAGTAAAATTTTGGTCTTTGCTGGGGCTGACTGTAATCATAGAATCATAGAATAATTTGGGTTGGAAGGGATCTTCAATGGTCATCATTGCATATCCAACCCCCCTATAATGAGCAGGGGCATCTGCATCTAGGTCAGGTTGCCCAGAGCCACATCCAGCCTGGCCTTGAACATCTCCATGGATGGTGCATCCACCACCTCTCCGGGCAACCTGTTCCAGTATTTTACCACCCTCATTGTAAAGAAATTTTCCTCACATCCAGCTGGAATCTCCCCTCTTTTAGTTTAAAACCATCACCCCTTGTTCTGTTGCAACAGGCACTGCTAAACCTTTTAAGAACAGAAAGGTTGCAATAAGGTCTCCCCAGAGTGTCCTTTTCTCCAGGCTGAACAACCCTAACTCTCTCAGCCATTCCTCATAGAAGAAGTAAGTTGTCACTCCCAGCTGAAAGGGCTTTTTATTTTAATCAAAGTTAATATCACTTTGTTTTCCAATATGAAGAATGTAGTGAAGCTGTGTAATTCCAGATACCTGCTTACCTGATGACATGAGGTAGCATTCTGAGAGCACAAAGTGAATCTGAAGTGAATTCCACTTGCGGTATACTGGGATTTTACTGTAGGTCAAGCAAGGGGAGCTGCAGAGCGATTATCAGGTCTGCTTTGTCTGGAAGCTAGAGGGCACCCCAGGCTCTGCCTGCTTCCAGAGCCCTTGGAAAATCTCTGCATCAATGCATCTGTGAGCCCTTTCTCTGCATCATGGGCCTTGTTTATCACAGTTCTGTTATTCCCTCTGGTCCTACGTATATTGAGCTGTGAATTCAGTGTTTCATAATAAGGGAGGAAAAGGACAGTACAACAATAGAGAGGAGAGGTGCTTACCCAGCACATTGACAATCACGGATTTTTGGCTCTGTCCAGCATCACCCTGTGGACTGAAAACTTCACAGGTGTAGGAACCAGTGTCTGAGGGCTGCATGTTGGATATTGTAATTGATGCATTCCCTGGACCTGTTGCAGCTGTTATCCTGTTCTTAAACTCTCCATAGGAGTAAGACTGGCCTTCTGAATAATAATAGATCTGTGATAAAGAATCAGTTGTTAGTCTGGTAACAAGAGATATTCCTGCTGCTTTGTTTGGTGTTCATAACTGGAATACAGTTGATTTCTGATTAAGCTCTTGATGTTACCCCCTTTCTGATTAAGCCCTTAATGTTACCCCCTTTCTTGCTCCCTCCCACAAGAAAGCAGACAGGAAAATGTGGTACATTTACATTTCTAGTGGTTTTTAAAATACAACCTTTTCAGAAATGGGATTTTGTAGTTGTGTAAATGGACAGTAGGTAGCTGTTTGTGGATAGTCCAGTCACAGACTGATGCATTTTCAAAAAGAAAGGTGAGACCATTGACTGTTGTATGACAATTCTGTGAATAGATGCCAAGTCATGCACGATGAGTAGCAGTACTAATTGCAGCACAGATAATTTGTGATATTATTAACAAGCGGCGCAGTAGAAGATTGTGACAAGAATGGACCTCTCATTGCAAAAAGTGAGTGGCTGCAGGGCTTTCCAATTACAGAAGCTAGCAAACAGAACTGAAATGAATCCACAAGACATATGTCTGAGCAAACAAGGTATCTGATCTGTCGGCAGTAAATTTGGAAGCAATAAAAACACAATCCAAGAACACCAGCAGAGTCATCACACATGCAATTAGAGCAATGATGCTGTTCTCCTTGTTTGTGTAATCAGGGTCAGAGACAGTGTCATGGACTATTTTGGGTTTTTTGAGTATATACCATAGATGGAAGTCAAGAATACTTGTTGGCCCCAGTGTTTGAAGAGGCAGTTATTTGGGATCAATAATTCCCCTTTACTGAACAGTAAAAAATGTTTTGCAGAATTATAGATGTAGTAAGGACAAATGTCTCTCAGGAATGTAAAATTTCCTCCCAAGCAAAAATTTGCTATCTTATGTTGACTAATTTCACTGACTTCATTAGCATCAATTGTAATTAACAGCACTGTGCGAGTAGAATTGGCCTCACAAGTTTATAAGCCCAAACCTGTTGTCTGTTAACTGAGAGGTTGCACTGTGCTCTTTGTGGAGCCTGCTTGGTAGCCTGAGTCTAAGAATTAGGCCTTAAGTCTAAGAATTAGTGTCAGATTTCCTTTTTGGTCAAAGTTCCCTGCCTTTAGGGATGCTTCAGGCAAGAATTATAATTTTCCTTACTTTGCAGAGCAACTGATTGCATTTTGAATTAAGAGTATTTTATTCTTAATTCTATTTATCCACCCTGATACGGTGTTGACTGAAGTCTTTAAGCAAAGTTATCTGAAAGCCTTTATTAGCTTAAGGCGAGCTACACCCCAGAACTGCCAGAGCATAGCTGGTTTATGCAATGATAAGGCTTTTAAATGAAGGTCAGAACCCAGACTGCACAGCACCGGCAGCTCCAGTACTGCAGCTTGGCCCCAGCTCAAATGCAGTTTTGCCAGACTTTATCTTTCCCTGCCCCAGGATTATAAACACCAGGTACAATTGATGCAGGGCTCTGAATGCCAAAGCTACGCTACTGCCTTTCCACCGTGTGGGAAACTGAGGGTTGTACTGAGGAGCCATAAGAGGTGCAGTGTGAGCACACTGGTAGACTAGGTTGGAAAGTGTGCTGAACAGCTGGATAGACTCTGGATAGAGAGTTCCCATTGTCTGCATGCAATGTCATCAGTTTTGAGACTGATTTTATGCTTTGCAAATGTCTATTTGCAAAATATTGCACCTCTGTTGCAAAACTAGAGTCTGATAGACACACTTGTATTCCCCAAGGAAGAAAAGTGCTGAGAATAAGGGGTTTGGTTTAAACAAATCACATGTCAAAAAACTGATCTACTTGTAATTACAAAACCACACTGGCCATGCTTGTCTCATTCTACATTTATCCAAGTATGAGCAACAATACGCTATTGCTTGCAAGACTCCAAAGTTACTAGAACTGTGACTTCTGATTTCTTAAGCTGACATTCCTATATAGATCTCAACAGTACCTGGCTGGATTTGCATCTCGTCTCAATCAATTGCTTCTGTTTGAGTGGGGTAGAGAAATAGCTTCTTTCATCAGCTCTTCACACTAATGTGAAATGAAGTTGCGCAATGACTTAAACGAAGTAATATGTGACTTGCATGAGAGGAGAAGGAGGCCCATTATATCTTACTAAAAGGCCTGATTACTGGAAAAGGGGGCTAAATACTGCATGGTCTACCTTAGGGTGATCTGGGATTTATGAGAGTAAGCAATAGCACTGAGTGCTAGCTTAGCTATAGCACGTGTTCCTGGGAAATAAGACTGGCACTATAAGTCTTGAATACAGTCAGGGCATGCCATTAACATTAGGGAAGAGCAAGTGCTCCTTGCTATATTTAATCTGAAGTCAGGGTGAATTATGTGTCTAAGCCCTCATACAATACACTGAAAAATGAATCCACTGTGTTCCCTCTTCCTGTGTGAATGCATGCAGAGAAAACATTTTGTGTACACTGTTAAATCTGAGGCAGGTGTCAGCACAGCAGGGTATATTTGTCCTCTACATGGATTTAAACAGAATCTTTCTGGTTTGGGTTTTGTTTTGTGTTGATTTTTTTTTTCTCACAACTATGAACATAAATGCAGTGAAACATCTAAAGGAAACACCTTCAGTTCCTCTGCAGGCTCCTGCCTGTTCTGCTCCTGTATGATGTTTATCTCACTAGCTCTGGAGTTTGTTGCCTGAAGGAAGGTGGTAAACACCAAAAAGTCTGAGTAATGTTGTGATTAATTACTGAGTGTATATCTTGTCCTGGAGGTATGATTGGATTGTGTACACAGGACATTTCATGTAAGAGGAATATGTTTCAGTTAACTGGCTGTGAATTCATAGCCTGTTCTAAACGATACACTCAAAATGGATCTTTTAAACCCTTTTTCAAAGTGCTTTTATGCTGTCCCTGAAAGCTCATGTTTGTGGCTTTAAAAAAGCTGAAATGAAAATCGTTGCAAAAATGTTTCTGTTCCATTTCAACAGTAAAAAAATTGTTTTCTGTTGAAGATATACAAGACTGGGGGGGAGGGGGGCAACTGACAGCTAATGTTCCCCCTACAGATACACATCTCATTGACATTTCTTTCCATTTCACCTAAAATGTTCCTAAAGTGTCTGTATGGGAGAGCTGTAAATTTAGTCAATGGCAGCCTTTTCCTGGAAGCCTTTTTATTTTAATGTGATAAATAGATTTAAAGTGCAACATTTTGAATGTAAATAAAATAAATATGAAAGAGGTCTGCTGTGCTTCTGTTGAAAAAAATAAGCTTTTTATGTCCTCAAGGAAATCATGAGCAGCTCTGGTGAAGTTGATGATTTACCAGTGTAAAAACAATACTGAGGGTGCAGTAATGGTCGCTGTGTCTCCTTACCAGTTAGTTTGCTCAGGCAAGTTTTTATATAATGGTGTTTTTTTACGTTTCATGGGAGCAGCTGCCTGGGATAACTAATGAAACAACTGACAGAAAAGAGCAGAGATTATCACTCCTCAAAATGCTGTCCCTAGTAACTCCACCATCTGAAACACCAGTCTCTGTAAAACAGCTGAATTCCCCAGAAATTGTCTCCCTGACCTTCAAGAGGACTGTGGTTCTTTTGGGTGTGCAGCCTGTGGGCCAGGCACTAAAGTGGCCTAAAGCCTAAAGCCATTGATGTCAGCAGGCATCTTCCTTGGCTTTCTCAGGCAGTGGTATAGTTTTCTATGTATTTCCATAGTCACAATTTCTCCTGCAACCAAGAAAAGGATTTGGGCTTGTAGACTCCCAAAGCAGTTGAGACAATTATTCGAGTACCCATTTGTAACCTGAGTTACAATCAAGACAGGAAATTGGGAATGATCATACTTGTTTCAAAGACAATCTCAGTAATCTCTATGTGCTCCAGATGCTGGAGACAAGATTGTTTGTGTCTCTAGTTCTGAAGGATCTGGTACGTGAAATCACGTGTCCTTTCCTTCTCCTTTAGCCTGACTTGTGGGAGGGCTGCTCCTCTCCTAGTGTGGTGCTGAGAAGAGTGTTTGCCTGCAGAGGAAGCAGTTGGCAAAGCTGAGGCTGAGTTGAGGATTTTCAAAGGCTGCCAGATGCTTGGCAGAGAGTGAGGGACCTACCTAGAGGTTTTCTTTATACAGCTTCTATAGGAAGATCTTCCTCAGGGTGTGGAGGGGGTGTGTGAAAAAGCAGGCAGTAAATTAGAAGAAACATGCCTCCATCTGTTCCTTTCTTCTTGGGGCAGGACAAATAGAAACCAGAATTTACATAATATGTGATGCAGTGACACCAGGAGCAGGGGGTGGGAGGAATATTGCTGTACAATGCTCAGTACATCTGGATATCAAAACTGTAAGATGAGATGTACTTGAAGATGTGTTACAAACCTCCCTCTTCATGTCCACAGAAGTCTTGATTTCCTGACTGAGGGGCAGTTTCAGGACATGCTTTCCTTTCCAGTACCTTCTTCCCTTCCACAGCCCTTTCTCACTTTCCCCCATGAGAAGATGCAAAGCTACACCATCTTATTTGATGATGTTTCTCTAGGCTGATGTGTTCAGCACCCAATTCACGGTCTTTGCCAGGGGAGACGTAAACCTCAGGCATTCAGAAGGACCTGTCACTGGGGTGTTCTGTAATTTTCTGTTGACATTCTTTCAAGCTACTAGAGAAAAAACTGTTAAAGTCTCCTTCTCAACGGTAAACGCAAGGGAGAATATTAACAACTTCACTGCTTTTATCTCCTTTTGGATTCTGAGTACAGACAGAATTTGTAAAATAACAAGGGAAAAAAATGTTGATCACTCCTTTAAGCATCTTGCCATCTAATTAGAGAACAAATGCCACACACTCAGAGTGTTAATTAAAGCCCAAGGCTCAGTTTCTGAACTCAGCTAGATAAGAAAGCAAATGCTCACGCATGCATTGGTTTCTTTGACGTGTGTCATGTGACTGAGTCTGGCCCCAAATGCCTTTTTTCATCCACAGCTTCTTTTCACACATTTTTGTCAAAACTC